CTCGGACTCTTCTTCGGTCGCAGTCTCATTAACCTGCTGGCTGAGTACCCTCAGAGTCTGCTCGGCATCATGGTCATTGCAGCTGGGTTGGAGCTTGTCAAGGTTGGGTACTCGCTCAATCACGGGGCGCCGGATCTCTGGGAGAACTCGATACAGCAGTCTCAAGAAGGACCGACTGTGGTGAGAAGGCATCGCGACATCACAGATGAGGAGAGAACGGAGAGATGGACAGTCATGATGATGACTACAGCGGGCATAATAGCGTTTCGCAATGATGCCATTGGCTTTGTCATGGGTCTCGTATGCCACATGGCGTATCGGGTGGCGGAAAGGCTACCGCGATGGTATCATGCCAGGCGATCCGGTCTCTTCTCTGGTGCAGGAGAGCATACCCCTTTGCTGAGGTAAAAACATAGTCTCTGGCTGCAGGGTCGTTCGTCACGCTGTGGTTCCAAGGTGCTTAGGAGGAAGTGCAAGAAAAAAAAACTGGCCGAAGTGCTAGTTGGGCTCCTTTTCCCTAGACCCATTTCTCTGACAAGCATTCCGTTGTCTGTGATGCAGTGCCATTTTTTTTTTTTTGGAGAGACGCACATGTAGACAGGGAAGGCTGAGGACAGGAAGGACCTACAGTGCCAGATCAATCAAAGCGGGCAAGCGCATCCAAGTAAGTGTCAGCGCTGCAGGAGCCTCGGTACAACCCACACTTTACCCTGAAGGAAGCAATGGGCTGCTACGGCGTCAATGTCTGAGGTGCCTGTCTCGTGCTGGCCCCTTACACCTTCCACACCGAAGGTACCTACCCCTTGATCGAGAAAGACAGGCAGAGGCAGGCAGTGAGGCAAGTCTCGCTGGTGAGGAAAGAGGTACCCAACCAAGGGTGTTGACCAGTCGCGCGGGGAAAGAGGAGCCCATCGGTGAGGGTAAGCGCAATCTGGCCAATCACAAGGCGCGCTGTCCCCATCGACCCTGTCGTCCTCTAAGGTGAGCCCATCACAAGGCAGAGACCAAAGGGCGACTGGCTCTGGCGCCCAATTTTTTTGGGAACCTTCCCTTCCGCATCGTATCCCGGCCGAGCGCATCACGACGCAGTCCCGTCGCATCTGACCAAACGCCCTTGTTGGCTCGCAGAAGACGAAGGAGCTGGTCTGTTGCCATCCGCGCAGAGCAGCGATGACTTCGTCCCAAGCCGGCCAAAGCGGCCAGGCGCCCGAGCTACCGATGCCCATCCCGACGACACCACCGCCAAAGTCCAAGTCCGCCACGCCAATGCCTGCGACTGCTGCGCCAGCGACACCCATCGCCGCCGCGACGACAACGACCACTCCACCACCGCCTCTTCCGAGCGACCAGCCGTCGGCAACCGTACCCGCTGATCCATTCGCGGCGCCCGACATGGCTTCTGCCGACGTGACGGTGCCCACGGCTGGCCATCCCATGGACAGCCTTGTCGAGGGGGTCACCTCCGAATCCCTCGACACCGATATGCCCAATGCCCAGCCATCACTGGACCAGCAACAGACGCAACAACAGAACAGCCAAGGGCTCCAGAACAATCGCCATCGTTCGCAATCTCACACCCGTTCCTCCAACCTCAGCCCCTTCGATGTCCCCTTCCCGCGCACGCCCATCTCCACCCTTGATGCCAACGCGTACATGGCCATGGCCCTCGCGCAAATGGCCGGCGATTCAATGATGCAGCATCAAATGGCCCAGCCACCCTCGACAGTCACCCCGGCTCAGGTCACCCTCCCCAGCAATCTCACCAACGGCGCCGACGGCGTGACCGCCAGGGCTAGTAACCTGCCGGATGCCGGCGAAGGCCTCGAATCCTTCGCACGAATAGAATTCGCCGACAGTGTCTTCCAGATGACGACTTACGCCGTCATAATCGGACGCGACCAACGTGCCCTCGAGCAAGCCAGGAGAGATGAGAGGCGCGCCGAAGAACACAGGCGGAGGGCGGCGGAGAACGAACGGCTAGGCCTGCCTCCACCATCACCAGTGAGGCATGACAGAGGCAAATTCAGCAAGTCCTACGTCAGTGAGGAAGGTGGTATGCTGGGGCCTGAGTCCGATAGTGACGAGACTGGTCGGCCCAAGAAACGACGAAAGACCAGCACCAATGACGAGCCAGAGCATCAAGAGGCAGATCAGTCGCAGGAGAACCTGATTTCAAATCGCCAGTACATCTCGCATACGCCTGGTGCTGCTGCTGTCGACCTCGCATCATTACGACCCTCCCCCTACCATGTGCCCATCATTGGCATTCACTCTCCAGGACCCGACATCGCCAGCAAAACAAAGGCAATCTCCAGGGAGCATGTTCGCATCCAGTTCAATCAGAAAGAAAGCGTTTTTGAAGCAATACCGCTACACAAGAACGGCTTCTTCGTTGGAGACGTTCTGCATAAAGAAGGCACGGTCGTCCTACGAAGTGGCGATACTCTCCAGATCAAAGACGTTGACTTTCGCTTCCTCATCAACGGCGTTCCTGAGGGCAAGACCGGCGCGGAAGAAGAGGTCGAAGAGGAACGCATGAAGAAGAAGCGATACTCTGAAGGCGGCAAAGAGATGAGCTTTGAGTTTGAGGCATCGCATGGAAACGGCCAGCTGCAAGACACGAGTGACTCGTCATCCGTCCTCAGCCCTCCTGCACCGTCCGATGACGAGGATTCCGAGCCCGAGGCGGGCGATACAAGACCGCCCAAATCCGCGGTCGACACGACCGCCGAGGTTGATTTGGAGGCGATGGACGCTGATGCAGACGCAGATGCAGATGCCGATATGGACGCCCCTGCTGAGCCGGAACATGTACAAGTGAAGGGCGAGCTCGGGATGGACCCTCAGCCGGAGATGTTGCTCCCCCCGATACCAAAGAAGCGCGGCCCTGGCCGTCCACCAAAGAATGGCATCATGTCCAAGAGAGAACAGCGACTTCTCAAGAAGCAAGCCCAGGAGATGGCAAGAAAGACACTGCCACAGCCTCCGCCTGGTGAGCCACCGATTAAGCGAAAGGTCGGAAGACCTAGGAAGCATCCTTTGCCTGAAGATGGCGGCGACCGTCCTGAGAAGCGCAAGTACAAGCCAAGGAAACCCAAAGAGGAAGGAGGGGAAGGGTCCGATGCAGAGAGACGTGCCAAGGAAAAGAAGGACAAGAAAGTGCGGCCTAAGTCACCCCCCCTGGAGCTCAAGATCGAGGATTACACAGAGGAACAGCTGCAGAAGCCCAACAAGAATTACGGCGTTCTCATCGACGAGACGTTGACAGCTGCCCACGCCGAGGGCCGTGCCGAGGGTCTTACGCTGAAGCAGATCTATAAGCGCATTACACTCAAATACCCCTGGTTCTACTTCCATACCGAAACCAAGGGCTGGGAGTCCAGTGTGCGACACAACCTAATTGGGAACGAGGCTTTCAAGAAAGACGATACGACAGGCCTCTGGTCAAGAGTTCCAGGGGTCGAGCTTGATGCCGGCAAGAAGCGCAAGGCTACCTCGCCCGACCGCACCCTCGCACCCGGCTACGGGCCGTATGCGCACCCAATGTACCCACCATATACAGCGGCAGCTCCTCATATGGCGCCGGCAGCGCCTGGAGCACCAACGTATCAGCATCAAACCCAAGCCTATCACCCTCAAACTTACAATACTCAACAACCACAACCCGCCAGGCCTCCCCAGTATTCCCCGCCAGGATCTGTGCCGGTAGTCAGCCAAGCACCCCAGTCCGTTCCAGCACAGCCTGTCGCGCCAGCACAACTCCCTGGCTACGGCCCAGCTCCCGCCGGGGTTGCCCAAACCTCAACGTACAGCTCGCCGTACGCATCAAGACCTCCGCCGGCCAACCCAGCAGTCAAGACCGAAGACGGCTCCGCTCAGGTGCATGGCCCTCCGGCAGCACAGCCGCCAGCGCTGGCCCTTTCCGGAGTCCCGATTCAGCCACAACCTGCTACGAACCCGCAAGCCGTGTCTACAGCGCAGCGAGTAACTCAGACACCACCGGTGCAAAGTCAGCAGCGGCACGTCATTGAGCCTAGGCTCTTCCGCTCCGTGTTGGGCCTGAAGAATGGCTTGGTCGAGAACATGAAAAAGGCAAAGAGCCCAAAGGGCGAGGCCATTGTCATGTCGGCACTCAATCGTTGTCTGGGTCTGAAAGCAGCAGCAACGGAAAACCCTGCGCTGGAAGACATTTGTATGCGAGGCATACAGAAGGTCTTAGACGGCTACTCCGGTCAAAGCAAGAGTCCCACGCCTGGGGAACCCGGTACGGCCAAGGCGAACGGACCAGGTTCGGTGTTTGACCCCAAGGTCTTTGCCGCCCTCGTGGGCTTCAAGAATGTCTCAACCAATGCGCTCAAGGCAACTGTGGGCGAGAGTGTTGCCGAAGCCGTCGCGCTGTCGGCCATTGACCGGGTCCTTGGCCTAGCGGAAGCCAGTATTGTGCCACCCAAGGCACCTCCCCGTGATGGCAGCCCGCCAGAGGTCAGCAAGCAGTCTAGCTATGAGGTGATTGAGACTCGTTTGATGGCGAACGTGCGGCAGATGCTGCTTGGTCTGAACCAGAAGTTACATGGAGCATGACGCATGCCTGAAGAGGAGCATAGGAACGGCGCTTCGGAGTGCAGCCTAGCACTTGTTTGCCCGAGCTCACATGGGGGCTTCATGGGCGTGACTATGATTATGAAATCAATATCTTAGGGCAGGAGTTTAATGCACGCCTCGTCGGGTTAGACGGAGAACAACAGGTAGCGTGTGAATGATATTTACCAGACTCCCGCTTCACTAAGATCGTTCAGGGTGACTGGTGACCGAAGTATTCATTTCACAGCGACGTTCATCACATGTAGGCGTCCGTGGACAGGTCAAACTAATAGCAGCGATTTGGTTTCGTAGCATTTCTACCTTTTTCAAGAGCTAGCGCATCATCCAAACTCCAGTGATGGGATCAATGCCTGATCACAGTAGGTCATGTTGCTTGATGTCTACGCCAGGCCCTGCGATCAACTCCAGTCATACGCCGTCGGCGGGTTGGGTGGCTCAGTCAGAGCCCGGCGGAACCTCCGTCCCCCCTCCCGAGGCACCACAGGCGCTCGGCGGGTTGGACAGGGCGGCACTCCTTCTAGGTGCCTCCTAGGCTCGGACCCCGTACCTCTCTCTGGCGGCGGTTCGTTGCCCCTGGACTGGTCGCGCCGTGTCTCGCAATCTATCCCCGTCGTGTCAACTGCTGTCTTTGGGCCTCCACGAGAGACGCCGAGTGTTTCTGTAGCCTCTGTCCTGCTGTCAACTGGGCAAAACGAGCGGGACTGCTGTGGGAAGGCGAAATGATGATCATCGGGCAGAATCCGCCTCATCGATTCGTGATACGCACTGGAGATTCGGTCACCTGCCGCTTTGTTCTTGGCTCGGGCCGCGTCGCGCTCTGCCTTGAGGTGGGGGGTCTCTGCATGCTCGGAGGGCACGGCGAGCGCTTTGGCGAAGACTTGATCGTATAGGATTTGTTGTTCTTTGATAAGGGGCGGGAGGTGAGAGTCGATGGGGGCGTCGTTGTCGAAGAAGGCGTCGAGGAAGCGGAGCTTTTCCTGGATCGTCATCGCGTCCCAGCTGGTCTGGCATGATGACTTTGCTGCGACCGGGACATGGTTTGATGCCTTGTTGGCACGAAGGTGTGGGGTCTCTCCGGCAGGCTGTGGCGCCTTGGTTGAGGAAGATTCACTTGAGCAGCTGGCGGAGCCAGTGTCGTTTCGAGGAAACTTCCAGTCCGCCTTTCCATTGCCGAGATTCGGATGGAAAACCTGAGAAGGCCCGCCCAGGCGGTTGTCGTTGTCAAGGAATGCTCTGTGCGTGGTCTGTATGGCAGAGCTTGCTACAGGATCAGCATGACCGAGCCCAGGACTGGACGTCATGGCACTGGTGTTACTGGTGATAGGTTTCCGCAGGCAAAGCGGTCTGATTGCGATTTCTCCAGGCCGGAACCGCTGGTCATCCTGCAAAGGCAACTCGGGCTGGTGCTGTCTTGAGGGTATACGTAAAGGGGCGGGTATTGGGCTGCTATAGGCGGCCCCAGAGCGGAACCCATACATGTTATCAAACCTGAACTCGTCCGAGTCGGAGTCATCTTGGGGAGCACGGACAAGAGGCCCTGCGACCCTGCGGTCCCGCCATATCATGGTGTCATCTGTAATAGGGGGGTACAAAGTGTGTGAGCCTCGGTTTGCGTGGTCGCCGTGGGCAGCTGCGAGAGCCCTGTTACTGATGGTGGCCTCTTGGAGGAGCTTCTTCTCTCCGGACCTAACCGTGCGCTTCTCGGCGCTTCTGTTGACTTCCTCGTCGGACATGTCGAGGTGGCCACGAACCCCTTTCTAAAAAGTATCGACCGCCTCCGTACCGCGAATCAAAGAGCTGGGTTGACTCTGCTCGGCACCCGCACAGGTGGCATATGTGTTTGAGCTATGAAAGGTAGTCGAATCTACCCCACTGGTGATCTCTGTGCATGTAGCATCGTCTGATGGAAGAGAACCATCAGCATTCATAAGGGTATTGTTCTCACAGTGTACTCACCTTCCATTTTGCCTGTCTGCCATTCGTTATTGGCCTTGGCCTCGGCAGCACTATCTCCGGGGACTGTGGTAATAAGCAGATGCCTCTGGCAGAGAGAAACTCGATGCGGGAACTCACCATTGCTGAACGAAGGAACGTCCCTCCCGCTAGACTCATGCTTGATTCCGTAGATACGACTGTTCGGGGTCATACCGCAAGGAGAATGTAACCCTTCCGGCGGATGGTTCTCCGAGAGCGAGTCAAGTGGCTGGTTTGCAAAGAATTCTTGATACGTGAGCATCGTCAAAGAGTCCTCGTCCGTTCCAGGGACGCATGTCGGAGGCGCCACAGTAGTTGAGCCGTTATCGTTATGAGGAGAGGGAGCAGGGGCAGCTCCAGCATGGGCGGAAAGAGACTTTGGACTAGGCTGCTGGCCACTGTATGACGATGTTGGAGTGAATTTTCGTAGGGGTCTCTCAGTCGTCTCAGTGGCAACTGGCTTCTTGTGTTCGAGCCAGGAGACGATATCCCTGACAGCTGGTGTCCCTGACGCATTTGACGGCTTGCGGTCTCTGTTATTGGCAGGCGAATAGTCGGTGTTAGATGTCTTTGAGAACGCTTCTTTGCGTGAAGCCATGACAGTTGACGTTGAAACGGGGGCGACGCCTGAGCCAGGAGTCGAGGTTTGTTTGCGGCTGAAGCCCGCAGTGAAACTTGTCGTCACGCCAGTGATAGGTCGTTTCCTATCGAGGATGCCTTCATCCGGGTGATCGGGGGACGCTTGACTGCCTTCACCTTGATTGCCGGGGCTCCATGGCATTGAGCTTTCGGCACGGTGGGCCATGACGCGATGATCGCTGACGCCAGGCACGGTCTCTACACTACCGGTCTGTACACGAGCCTCGGCAGGAAGAGTGCACTAGACGCGATTTTTGGTAGTGAGTATTTGAGGATAGAAGTGCAAGGTGTCACTGGGCGATGTCGATGGTTGATCTTCCCGTGTCAAATGGTGCCCTGTTTGCGCAAATGATGGCCAAGAGTTGTGTTGGCAGAATAGAGCTTCCAAGAAACCAGATTGGAAAGAGTATTGGCAGAGTCAGGTTTCCCGCGAAACAGTGAATGGATGACAGTATATACTGCAACCATCTATTTTGGCGTCCCTACACGTGTCGTTCAATAACAGCTGTTGCCTTGGGCATCCGGACAGGCGTCGCCAAGGCAGACGGCCTTTGATGTATTCACCTGGAATTTCAGCGGAGCAATATACTCTCGCGGTGAGATCAACTCGAGTATAGGTCCTCAGCCCTCCAGAAGCACAACACAGAACACATGGTTGAGGGACATTGCCTTCGTGTCTAGGCTTACGCAACTGCTTGAAGGCGTCCATGGCATCGCAAAGGAACAGAAACGGATTAATGTATGATTGTGAATTTCCGCACAGTATCATGAGAACGAGGATAGTATCCCACTCACACCCTCAACTGCAACCCGACACAAGATATGGGGACCATATGAATGGATCACTCATGGTCGACAGCAGCGTGATCAGGGACGTATCGGAGCTGTCTACGCACGGGCCAGTTTGCTCATCCCCAGCCCCATAATTCGTGGCTCACAGGGGCCAAGCCACACGGCAGGGACCACCTCCTGAGGTGCTTGGAGGACGCTCTGACTCTGGCGTGGCCTTTGCCTGAAGCTTTAGCAGGGGGAATTGACCGTACTGACCGTACAGCTGTCTTCAACTCAACATCGAACCTGTCGACAAACTCCAAATCGTCCCATTTCGCAACCGCTACCGAAACAGTCAAGATGGATCCCTACTCGGCCGAAGGCGAACTGATCAACATCCACAACCACTTCCACCAGGGCCAATACCAGGAGGTCATCGATTATGACACTTCTTCGCTCTCCGCCGAGAACGCCCTCCCCGCCCGCGTCCTAGTCCTCCGGTCCCGCATCGCTCTCGGCCAGTCTGCAGAGGTCCTGGCTGAGCTCAAGGGCGAGAAGAAGCCCGAGCTGGTGGCCCTCGGCGCCTACGCCCAATTCGAGACGGGCAAGACGGAGGAGGCGGTGGCGACGATCCAGAAGCTCGCCGAGGCCGAGGGAGAGAATGCGACTGTGCAGATTATCGGAGGCACCGTCCTGCAAGCGGCTGGCCTGTCAGAGGAGGCCCTGACGCTGCTGTCACAACACCAAGGAAGCCGTACGTTGGAACTGGAGCTCTAGCGGGCAGCGCGTTCCAGGCCGGATGCTAACCCCGCCACAGTCGACGCCGTCGCTCTCATTGTGCAGATCCATCTGCAACAGAACCGAAACGACCTCGCCCTGAAGGAGGTCGCTGCGGCCAGGAGGTGGGCTCAGGACAGCTTGCTTGTCAACCTGGCCGAGTCTTGGGTTGGCCTGCGCCAGGTACGAAACAACGAGAAACACACATCCACGGCCAAGGGGAGCGCAGTCATGCTGACAAACAACAGGGCGGCGAGAAGTACCAGCAGGCGTTCTACGTTTTCGAGGAGCTCGCTCAAGCACCAGCAACATCGTCCACCATCTCGCTCGTGTCGCAAGCCGTGGTCGAGCTGCACCTTGGACGCACCGAGGAGGCGCAAGCGGCGCTTGACCAGGCCCTGGAGAAGGACGGCAGCAATGCCGAGGCCATTGCTAACCTGCTGGTTCTCACTGTCATTGCAGGCCAGGACCCGACGGAGCTCACAACGTAAGACATGCCATTCCGGCCATCCCCTCATAAAGTCTACTTTGGAAGTCATCCTGACAGACCACTAGCAAGCTCCTAGCGGCAGACGCAAAACATCCTTTCCTCGCGGACCTCGAGGAGAAGAGCGCCCTGTTCGACAAGGCGGCGACCAAGTACAGCGCCAAGGTGTCAGCATAGGCGCACAGTCGCCCCGCGACAGGTACGGCGGACGGCGGTCTTCATAGTTGGGCGTATGGGTATGCAGAGGAGATGGGACCTCGGTGATTCGAGGGCGAAAGACCATTCATGGGTTGTTACAAAAGGCTCGCTTCGGAAAAGCGCAAGACGAGAACCACGATGCAAATGGACACATTTCACGCGAAATCCGCGAAACCGTCTGCTTACCTACTCTTCGTTCCCGTACGACTCGCTCACCCCGATGCGACGGACGGATGAGGGGCTCCATAATGCTGGACCACCCACGTTGGGCCATTTCCGTGATCCAGGGCCTAGAATCGCTTCGATCGCCGATCATGTCGACCACTCGAAAATTCTCACCATCGCAGTTTGTTGACGGGAGCCTCAGGGCTAACTGGAGCAGGGAGAGATCGGCACATGAGAGGCCAAACCCCTCGCTAGGTACGCGCCGCTTGGCCAAGTGGCCAACTGAAGGCTCGAATGCTGCTGTTGAACAATGAGGGAATATCGACGCGAAAAACCACAGAAGCTCAAAGCGCGTCAAAGCAATGTCTCAAATGCCCCAAATCACGGTGACGGGTCGATTCGAACAAGACAGCGCCCTTGTCGTCATGATGCACGGAAGGATGCTGACTGCAAACCGTTCGATGACGGCAACGCCATGGAGTCTCACCGCTAGATGGCATGGCGGCGGCATCAGGCTTCCCATCACATCTCGCCCGTGCCGCAAGCAGCGGGCGCCTGGCTGTGAGTGCCCTCAACTCCTCACGAAGAAGCCTTGCCTTCACAGCGGCCTGCAGCCTGATGCAATGCACACGAAGGATCCACCGCGGTGAAATGCCCCCTCAACTCAACGCGGAACCCCTCCCCCTGTCCAGCACGCTTCATAAGCCCAGCCACGAACCTGGCCAACCCCCGCCATCACCATCGATGACATCACTGCCGCTATCGTGATCTCTTGTCCTACCAAATTGCCATGCCGGTTTGCTAAACCCCTCAGGCCCTTGACCCCTCGACCCCTCGACCCCTCGAATACCACCCAGTCGGCCAAGCGGGGGTTATGAAGCGCGAGCGAGCCGTATCACGATGCTGTCCACATAGGTCATCGTGCAGGGTCGTCTGTAATCTGGACGACAGCAAGCAGACGTCGATGAAATTTCCCCTGTTGCCTCCCAAATCCCCACTATTCCTGGGTTATTAGCAACGCGATGGTCCGAGACCCAACCGCAAGCGTCATCCTCAGCGTCCAGAACACTGGAATGTGGTTCCTCGGTTGCAGCAAGCCCATGTCTTTCCTTCTATCAGCAAGGGGGAGAGGGCCAAGAAGTCGCCTGGTCTAGTCGAGAGGCGAAAGGTCGGACAAACCGACATGGCGGCTCTGCTAGGGTTTCCAGACCTCGTGTACGGTGCCTGAGACTGGAGGGAGGTGGTGGGGGGGGGATCAGAATGTGATTCCGCGCGCTAAATGTCCCGATTGGATGCGCCGTCTCGATTTGGGCGCGATTGTCATGTTTCTTGCCTCTTGCTCGGTGTCGAGTCGGGGGAGGCCCTGTCGTCGGCGGCGTGCTGGACCCTGTCAACCTGTTCAACCGCCCGTCTGGCATCTGTCCCCCCGCCGAAGCCATGCACGGCTTCTGCCGCCCTCTGACGTCTTCCTGCTTCTGCCGCCACGGCTAGATGCCTTTTTCTGGACCCGTCATCGTGAAAGGAATTGGCCATGCTGGACGCTATCGGTCCCTTGTCCGTCATGATGGCGTTCTGGGCCTCACCCCCTTTTCCGTCTACATAAGGAACGAGGGTCCGTTCCGTTGCCTCTTGATCTACCTGCTTGAGACTCTACTCGCATAACAACGACGACACCTCACATCGGCTACGACTGCTCTGAACAACAGACAGTTTCTTACGACTCTCTCGACACCACCACCAACAGACTCCGACTTTGACCGACACAACCAGACTCCACCATGCCTATCGCCATCACACCCCCCGAGACCCCGGTCCAGAAGGACCTCTCCACAGTTGTTCAGGTCCCGCCGCCAACGGAGAACAAGAAGCGCAAGATCATCTGCTTCTCAGGTACGTGAGATCGACAGCAGAGTGGACCGCAGACTTGGCGATACTAACCTTGGCTGCCTTGCCCCAGATTTCGACGGCACCATCTTCATGCAAGACACGGGCCACATCCTCTTCGATAACCACGGCTGTGGCGCCGAGCGTCGCGAGATCCTTGACGAGCAGATCAAGACGGGCGAGCGATCATTCCGCGACGTGTCGGAGGAGATGTGGGGATCCCTCAACGTGCCCTTTGACGACGGCTTCGAGGTGATGCGGTCGACGCTCGAGATCGACCCTGCCTTCCACGCCTTCCATGCCTACTGCCGCCAGCACGGCATCCCCTTCAACGTCATCTCGGCGGGCCTCAAGCCCATCCTGCGCCGCGTGCTCGATACCTTCCTCGGCGAGGAGGCCTCGGCGCACATTGACATTGTGGCCAATGAGGCGGACATCACGGACGACGGCTCGGCGTGGAAGCCCATCTGGCGCCACGACAACGAAATGGGCCACGACAAGGCCCTGTCCATGGCCGAGGCGCGCGCCCAGGCCGAGGAGGCCCTCGTCGGCGACGACGGCTCCGTGCCCCTCATCGTCTTCATCGGCGACGGCGTCTCGGACCTGCCCGCCGCGCGCCAGGCCGATGTGCTCTTCGCCCGCCGCGGCCTGCGGCTCGAGGAGTACTGCCAGGAGAACGCCATTGCCTACACGGCCTTTGACACGTTTGCCGACATCCAGGCCGAGATTGAGAGGATCCGCGACGAGGACGACAAGAAGACGGCCGGCAAGGGCATGCCCGCGCGCTTCAACCCACGCGCCAACATGTGGCGCCGCGTGTCGAGCCGGAACGCCGTGCCCCGCCTCGCCGTGCTGTCGCCGGGCATCGAGAAGGACCTGGCCGATGTGATGAAGACGGCTCTCATCGAGGAAACGGTCGTGCCGGTGCCTGCCGCCGTCAACTGATCTGTTCCATCTTCTTTGTCTTCTTCTTCCTTCTTCATCTTATATTTTAGGGACCAGCGGCGCAAGGCATGGGCATATGAGTATATTTTGACTTGGCGTTCAGGCATACGTAGAACGCATGGGTACGAACACCGCTGGGGGAGACCTCTCACCGAAATGGTGATGCACAATGCTTTACATTACGGATCATCATAGACACTACCATTGAAAAGTGTTTCCTCTTATTTCACGGCGGAATCCAATTCCATCCTGACATGTATGACATGCTATGCGTACTTGTGCATACCCCAAGCAACAGTCAGGAGAGAGAGCCGACAGTACCCGGATAGCCGTCATCTCCACTAAAAGCTTCTGCGTGCTCGTGTTCACTGCAAACATGCATCTTTAAGCCTTTACCGCAGCTGTCGCGCACGCGCATCTGGTTCAGGGCGCAAACTTAGACCTGGATTGGCTGGCTTGACAAGGCTTGGGCAAACCCGCCTCAGATGCATGGCAACGAACCCGAGGACGCGGGGCGTCTAATATTGGGACAGGCAATTCAGGTGAGCTTCTATTGGAGAGCGTGGATGGTGATCTCGGATGGCAAAATACGCATTTCGGCTGCTCGGTCAGTGAGACAGCGAGTAGGCCAATTGAAGCTGTGCCGCCGTCTTCTCCTCCAAAACTGGCTGGACATGGATGGTTTCAATTCTATTGTGTTTTTCGTTCATTCCCGTGGACTATTAGACAACGCCCAGCCGGCTACTTGTCATGTGAAGACAGATGTTCCAGGTCCCAACGGACTCTTTCACAACCCCGCGATGCTGGGATTCATCGAAAAGAGGCAGCCGGCCAAGGAAAATTAGTACTCAGGTCTGGCGGTAACGTTTCGCTTGTCAAGAGCCGCGCAACCTTGCCAAGGAATTGCCAAGGAAAGAGATGGCTTGGCGATAAGGGTCCCGCTGGAACCGTTATGTTGGGGAAGACGAACAGAACGGCCCCCCTCAAAAGACATCTACGTAAACGATGGATGGCAAGACGGCTTCTGTCTGTCGATAGGATGAGAGGGGAACCGCGTGAGGGACGGGGGTAACCCCGCTACGGAGACGGAGTTGAGGGATATCCGTCCGGCTGGCAGAATCGGAACCAAAGTCGACATCGAAGAACTGGCCTCATTGGATACAGGCTCGCAAGCATGGGGTTCCGTCGCCGTTGGAAAGCCCGAGAAGCTCTAGCTGGTCAGCTGAGGTGTCCGTCTGCCTGCTCGTGTGCTACCTTCAAGAATCAGTTCAAGAAGGCCTGTCATGAACTCTGATCCCCCTTGGTCCAAATCACCAGAGAACGACACGTCTTAGACAGCAAGTGCCTGCCCTACCAATGATGTTAACGGTCAGCGATCTGTGCCACAAGAGGAGAAGAGAGTAGTCTATCGCTGAGACCTACAGCACAGACGAGGTAGTGTATGCAAGTTCCTGTCGAGCGGCATCAGGAAGAGTTCGGTCCAATCCGACCCCGCCTCTGTTACAGTAGCTTTCTCTCGTCAATCCCTCCACCCTCCTTGGACCTGGACCTGGGGTTAGAAGCTTGCCCCTCCCTCCACTCGCCTCTTGCGATGCCGTGTTAAGTGCGCCATAAAACCCCACCTCGGCCAGATGCTATACATGCGCCGATGCTGTGGATGTCAGCATAGAGCAGCGGAATCAGACACAGTGTCTTTGTGCAACTCTTCGATGCAGTTTATGTACCTTCGTCGTAGGCCTGTGCGACTTGATAACATGACGCTGGGTCCTTGTCCCTGCTGTGCCACCACCTAACTGACTGGCATCTGTTGGTGCCTAGAGGTCGGTAGCAAGTTCGCTAGACAAGCTCGAGCCCATGTGGTCCAGGTTCGCCTCAGCTCAACACTGGTGTGTCAGCCGTGGGCGCTCGCTGGTCTCAGCCTCCGCCGGTCCGTCGCGCGTTGTCAGTTTTCACTCCATCGCCAGGCTCAGCCAAGTCATTCCGACACTTTGTGGCTCGTAATTTGTAGTGGGCATGCAGGCCACGTCTTGCCTGCAGTGACCGAGGCGTTTGATCGACGAGGCGTCCGCTGCTGACACCCACCACGAACTGCAAAGCTGATTCGAGCAGCATGGCTTTCTAGGGGGGTGGGGGGGAAAGGTTGTCCCGAGGAATTCTTTTCCCCTGCCAATTGATGAAAGATGAAAGAAATGCCAAAAATGGCCTTTCGTGCCTTTTCTGCATGTCGATATTTGACTGTCGCATCTCATCCCGAAGGAACAAAATCTCTCACGCTAAGCCATGGGTTGGACACTCTTCTCTGTCCCCGTGTCGCTCTTGTGGTTACTGATGGTGCTATGTGCCGTGCTCCGATGTATCCGTCAAGCTGAAAAGGGGGGGGGAGATCGTGTTGTAGAGCTACAGTGTTTGAGCTGAACAGTAGTGATCAAGATACCAGATATCTTCCCCAAGACGGCCTCCTAGCCACTTGCCCACCCAGGTGACTACCTTCCTAGGTATGCTGATTTCAGCCAGGCAGGTACCACAGCCAGGGGAGGTGCGGTGCTGAGGCAAAGTAAAGTGCAGACGACTCATCGTCAGTTGCCCCTCACCCTCTCACCCCCCCTCCTTCCCTTGGATTCCTACTCCACAGTGAGATGCCAACAGGAGGTACCTTCCCCTCGAATCCTTATCCATCGCTCGGATTGGCAGGTCCCGTTGGTACGGAGCTTGGATCACCATCGTCACTTCCCCCAGTTTACACTGCTTTCTGATGTATCAGGCACCTGTCCATGGGGTCATTCAGAGACAGGGAAATCGGGTACTCGCTCGGGTGTCAGTGCAAATCGAGCGGGTGCACTATTCTCAGTAGCACTAAGGACACTAAGACGTCCAGGTCCAGGTCCCGCCGCCGTTCCCCATTTCACCCCTCAAGCCTCAGAGCCCCCCCCCAATCTCCTCCACCGCTACCAGAAGCGTCCGTTCCCGATCCTGAGGACCCACGAGCTTGAGAAGCTCGTGCCTTCCCTTTCCCAACAATGATTTACGCCTGCCTCACTGGCAGGCATAGCTTCTGACCTGACCTCACTGACCTCCCTCTCTCGCTTGCCCTTCTCTCCCTCGTCTTGTCTGCCTAAGTACTTACCTCGCCTACGTACCTACCTTACCTACCCAGACTTGAGCTCGCATCTTGACCGTCATCTGTTCCCTCTCTTTCTGCCTTTCCCTCTTCCACGATCACTTCTTGTCCTCGATAAATCTCCTGTGTTCCATCCCACAGCTTTCTTGCGTCCACCTTTCGTCCCACATGCGAGGCACACAACCCCTGTGTCCCTGTGGGCTGAAGCTTGACCACTGCTTTCTCCCCTGAAGTACAGCTGTCCTGTCCCTCGAGCTCCCCTCCGCCGTCACCTTGCCTGGACCACCGTCTTGACACGAATTCCTCGTTCCTCGATTCGACCGACGATCTGCCCACAAACGAGCTCAGAACCTCAAAGCTTGGCCGATCCCTTACACGTTACGAAAGAGCGACGTCAATGCCAACCCACCATTTCACCTGCTGAGCCGCACCATTCCCTACAGAGTACGCGCATCGCCATCCTCGAGCCTCCACTGTCTTGGCGCAGCACATCCGCCCCCCATCGCCTTGTACCGCTACAATTTACAGAACCCACGCCCCCTGAATACGGTAGCGGTACTGCCCTCGAAGCCTGGCCCCGATCACCTACGTCACCCCCGCCTCGGCCCGTCCGGCGTGACACGTCTGTTGCGTATGCTTTTGCATTGGCATTGACAAGTCGTCTGGCACCCAAACCCCGTCTCGGTCCATACGCGGTTTACCTCGCCTGTAACCTACGACTCGCCCGTCCCACGCACCCGTTCACAGCCCACACCCACAACCCACCTCGTAGCCTGCAGCACCGCAGCCTGGGTGTGCTGCGCTGAGCCACCCGTTTACCTTACGGCATTGGTTCGCTGTCGATTCTGGGAGCCCTTATTGTAGGGGTTCCCCTCCCCCCCGTCGCCCAACATGGTTCGCATCATCCCGACACGTCTAAAGTCCGCTTCCTCCCTCAACAACAGCCGCAGCAACAGCCCTAGGCGGTCCAACAGCAACAGCAACTCCGTCTCCAACACGGCCAATACTTCCAGCAATAACAACACCAGCGGCACTGGCAAGTACCAGTCGCGCACTCCCTCCAGGATGGGTAGCGATCTTTCCGCCAAAGACAAAGACACCGGCCTGACCTTGAAGGTCGTCATTCTGCGTGTACGTCACTTGCATGCGCCAACCCAGCGCCGGCCTCGCAGCAACAAAATCTGTAGCCCTCAATTGCTGACATTCGCTCTCCTTCTCTAGGCTCGCAATCTAGCCGCGAAAGATCGCAATGGAACATCAGACCCCGTACGTCCAGAGGCTGACATTGACCTGATACCTCAGACGAACATCTACTGACGTGGCCCTCTTCTCAGTACCTCGTCCTCACTCTTGGCGAAGCCAAAGTGGTAACCCACGAAATCCCAAAGACTCTCAACCCAGAATGGAACGTCGTTGAGGAAATGCCCGTCACATCTCCCGAGTCTCTCATTCTCGACGTCATCTGCTGGGACAAGGACAGGTTCGGCAAGGACTACATGGGCGAGTTTGACGTTCCTCTGGAGGAGCTCTTCACCGCCACCAAGACAGAGCAGGAACCCAAGTGGTATTCTCTCCGAAGCAAGCGCCCTGGCAAGAAGACGAGCGTCGTCTCCGGCGAGGTCTTCCTACAGTTCACCCTCTTCGACCGCACGAACACCGCTGCTAGCCGTGAACAGATTTTCGAAAAGTTATCGGCCATTGTCCAGCAGGTTCCTGTGGGCTCCCGCAACCAGACACCACTCATGACGCCCTCTCTCACAGCGTCGCGTGGCCCCCTGGGCGAGCCAGAGGGCGCTCGGCCGGCGCCGATTGACCCGACTGACCTAACGCCTGATGACGAGGAAGATGAGGATGACGACGATGGCGACTCTAGCCTGTCCGACGATGAAGAAGACTCCACCAAGCCAGAGGTCATTGAGAAGAGGAAACGTCGTCTACGTATCAAGGGTCTCCGAAGACGGAGGAGAAAGGGCGGCAATCAGTTCGAGTTCAACAACAGCGGCAGCGATGTGGTCGGAGTCATCTACCTCGAGATCCTAAATATTACCGATCTTCCCCCGCAGCCAAGCGCCACTCGAACGACTTTTGACATGGACCCCTTCGTCGTCGCTTCCCTGGGCAAGAAGACGTACCGGACGAAACGAGTGCGCCATAACCTGAACCCAGTCTTCAACGAGAAGATGGTGTTTCAGGTTCAAGGACACGAACAGTCATATTCATTCAACTTCACCGTCATTGACCACGACAAGTACTCCTCCAACGACTTTGTAGCCGATTGCAACCTCTCCATCAAGGAACTGATCGACAACGCCCCCAAGGCCGATCCTAGCACAGGTCTCTACCAGTTGCGGGAACCCGCCGAACACACGCCGGTTGCCCAGCATCGCTCTCGGTTCCGCAAGCTCGGCGTGTCGCGAACCTCTTCTTCGCAGAGCCTTAGTAGAATGGTCCGGCCCTCTCTCTCCAAGCAAGCTAGTGCCGCTTCGGGCATCTCTCAGCTAGGAACCCCTTCGCCACCGCCTGCTCCGGCCCAATCTCTGAACCCCGAGTTCTTGAGCCCTGAGCAGGCCATCGCCGGCGCCGGCGCCGACACGGCCGATATTGAAAGCGACGACATTCACTTTTTGGATTTCCAGTTGCCCCTCAAGATGAAAGAGGCCGACAAATGGGAGGCCAAGCACAGCCCGACGCTGTTCGTCCGCGCTAAATTCGTGACCTACCCGGCTCTGCGACAACAGTTCTGGCGCTCCCTGTTGCGACAGTACGACACGGATGAGAGCGGCCGTATCAGCAAGGTTGAGCTCACGACCATGCTGGACACTCTCGGCTCGACACTGCGCGAGTCGACAATTGACAGCTTCTTCCAGCGGTTCCCCCACAAGGCCAACGATGAATCCGGCGAGGACGTGTATGATTTGACAATGGATGAGGCTGTCATCTGCTTGGAAGACCAACTGGAGGCTAAGAGCCGTCCACAAATTAACCTTGCAGACAAGGTCAAGGGGGTCCTCGCCGATGCGGACAAGGCGGGCAAGAACCTTCTTCACCTACCGACTGCAGAGGGAAAGGAGAACAACCCACAAGTCTCGGCCCAGAACCAGGGCAGCGCGGGCTTCTCCTCCGAATCGACCATCATCGTCCCTGAACTCACCAAGTCGGGCGAGGAAGGAGATATCTTTACACAGGACGACCTCGCCGAAGACCGCAGTGGCGAGGAACACGTGGTTGAGATCAGAGAGTGTCCCATCTGCCATCAGCCGCGACTTCACAAGCGCAAGGATACCGACATCATCACGCACATTGCCACGTGCGCCAGCCAGGACTGGCGCCAAGTGAACAATTTGGTGATGGGAGGGTTCGTTACCTCAAGCCAGGCACAACGCAAGTGGTACTCTAAGGTCCTCACCAAGATCTCGTACGGAGGCTACAAGCTCGGTGCCAATTCGGCCAACATTCTCGTGCAGGATCGGATCACAGGTCAGATTAATGAAGAGAAAATGAGCGTGTATGTGAGGCTGGGCATTCGTCTCCTGTACAAGGGGTTGAAGTCTGGGAACATGGAGACCAAGAGAAGTAGGCGCCCCGCTCCTCGAAGCTGCCGTCAATCATGTGCTGATGTGTAAACAGTTCGGAAAATGCTGAAGAGCATGAGCGTCAAGCAAGGCAAGAAATTCGACGACCCTGCCTCCAAGGCGGAGATTCCCAAGTTCATCCAGTTCCATCGACTAGACATGTCGGAGGTCCTCCGGCCCCTCGAAGACTTCAAGAACTTCAATGAGTTTTTCTACCGAGCGCTCAAGCCCGGCGCCCGCCCCTGTTCTGCTCCGGACCATCCTGGTATCGTTGTCTCGCCAGCCGACTGCCGTAGCGTCGTGTTCAACAGCGTGGATCACGCCACTACCGTATGGATCAAGGGTCGCGAGTTTTCCGTCAAGAGACTCCTGGGCGACGCGTATCCAGAGGATGCGAAGCGGTACGAAAACGGCGCGCTGGGCATTTTCCGTCTTGCGCCACAGGACTACCACCGCTTCCACATCCCTGTAGACGGACGATTGGACAAGCCGAAGCTGATTGCGGGCGAATACTATACGGTCAACCCCATGGCCATTCGTTCGGCCCTCGACGTGTATGGCGAGAATGTGCGAGTTGTCTGCCCCATTGACAGTCTCAAGCACGGCCGCGTCATGGTCATCTGTGTCGGAGCCATGATGGTGGGCAGCACGGTGATTACGCGCAACGAAGGCGACGAGGTCAAGCGCGCAGAAGAGCTCGGTTACTTCAAGTTTGGCGGCAGCACCATTGTGCTTCTCTTTGAGGAGGGCAAGATGCGATTCGACGACGATCTGACGGACAACTCGGCTGGCGCGCTCGAGACCTTGGTAAGTGCTTCCCGGCCGAAGTGCACAAGTGCACGAGTTGTGGACTGCCAACTAACACGTTACGCCAGGTTCGCGCGGGCATGTCCATCGGTCACTCGCCCGACGAGGCGCAGTGGACTCCTGATATGCGCAAGAATGACGAGGACATCACGGATGCCGAGAAGAAGGAGGCTAAGCGGCGCATCCAAGGCAGCATGGGAGAGGAATCATCGAGCGGAGATGAGACGCCGGCGGCACGGCCGGACGTGCAGACAATTGCGGCGTCCACAATGTAGAGCGGCGTGTGTGGCCGGCGACGGACGGCACGGCGCTGGTGCCCCCGCTTCCTCCACATCTCACGGTCCCGGTATCGCGGTTGGCGGTGACGATGATTTGGAACGGTTCATAGACGGGGAGGGGATACATAAAGAAAGGAAGGAGAGAGAGCGAGAACGAGAGAGGACAAACGTGTTTCGACCTGGGGCGTTGGGGGCTGAGTGGCCAGCTAAGGATCTGTCTTGCTTGGTTTTTTTGTCTACGCAATGAGCGTGGCTCTCAACTAGTCGACAGGGAGCGAAGCGAATAACACATGAGGGAAGGGGGCCAAACGGCCGACTGGATTTCGAGCGCGAAAGCAGCGAGTCAACAGAATACAATGACGATGCATCACCGCGTTTGTTGGACAGATGGTTGAGTAAGCATGTGGCCAGCCTGCAAGGCCCTCGTGCTCATGGTGTGATGCGGCGAGAAGATGAGGTGCGGCCCCACACGGGGCTGCGCTGAGACGGAGTTGCGCCATCGCACGCCATCGAGACGCCCGACTATCCGGCACACTGTACGGAGACGTGGCTCACGGGCTGTGGAGATGACATGACGGAGGGCAGCAAAATTGGAGCAACTGCAGTAGGAGTAATTAATTCAATTCATAAGGGTATGGCCTGATGTTGTGCCCCGATGTTGTGCCCCCGAATTTGGTTCGGAGCAACGTGTAGCTTAGGTCAAGGGGAGCGAGAGCGCAGCTACCGAGCTCTCCTCGCGGCCTGCCCGCCTTGGTACTGTGTCCTCGGCGCGACAAGTTCCAGCCGCCGCTCTGCCACATGGTTGTCAGGTGGTCAGGCGCCACATGTGTTGATGGTGTGGGGAGAACCAGAATGTCCATCCCCGCGCCCCCATTTTCGTGAAGCCCATTCTGGTCGCGTTTGGGGGATGAGGGAGGTAATGGGGAACAAGAAAAGACAAAGAGCATACATATCCTGAGCGCCTGCGTTTCCCGAGCCCCTCGATTCCATCGATCCGTGTGCTTGTGATTACCCCCGCCATGATACGCCAACGCCGTTGTATTGCACACGATTTGGAAACATGAATTAAAAAAAAAAAATCGTCAGACGCCAAAGGTTCAAAAACGAAATGCCCTGTCTGCCCTCCCGTCGGAGGACCGAGCTGCTGTGCCCCCGCCTTGGTGTTTTGCAAGACGGAAAAAAGGCCGGCCTCCTTGGTATCAGACGAAGACTGCTCATTTGCCGGCGCTACGCCAGGAGGTGACGCTCGAGGAGCGGGTCATGATGGGGGAGTCGCTCCTGTCGCTGTCCATGCTGCGCTTCTCGCGCGAGGGCGAGGGCGAGGGCGAGGGGAAGTAGGCGGCGGCGGGTTGGAGGGTGGGGGAGGTCGGGTCGGGGGAGCCGTGGCGGGTTTGGCGCCAGGAGGAGGCAATCTGCTTGCAGAGGTGGGAGGACATGGTGTAGGAGGGCGACATGTTGGCTGTTGTGATGTTGGGAAAGCGGGCGTGGCTCTGTAGTGTAGCTATTGTGCTGTTGTGGGAGCTGGATGTTGGTTGTGTGGGTAGGTGGGAGCTCAGGCGTGTAAGTGGCAGGTGGAGTGGTGGGGTTCGACGATGGCAGAAGAAGGAGGACTTGAAGTTGTGTTCTCTGGGAGCAATGATCTGTACGCAAGGACGGGTGGTTATGACGAAAGACCGAGATCGAGAAACGGAAACAAGAACGAAACCAGGACAGCAGCGCGGGAGTCCTTTAAAGAATGCAAGAACAGGGCCACCGGCTGTTTGGGGCCAGCAGGAGGGGAGTCGCGCACCCACCTGGATGGCGTCAAAAGGGATGGAAACCGTACGGTCCAGAAGGCAGCCTCGAGCATGGTGGGGTCGCACCCCGCTTCCAGGGCTGATGGCCAATGAGCCTCACGGCATAGGGATGACCATGCGGGAGCGACCGTGCCATTTGCTTTCTGTGGCTGTGCTGAATCGCACCACCAACGCGCGAGGCCCTCTCGCTGCCTGCCCTTTTGCTCAACAGCTGGCCTGGAACCTGTGCTTCCGGGTGGATGCATTCTCACACCATCTTCAGCGTCTGGCTTGTACGACGTGTCCTTCGCGGGGGGGGGGGGGGGGGGGGGGCTTGCCGTTTTTATGTACTTCTTGGGGCTGATGGAAGTCGGGGTGGAATAAGGCACATACCGCTCGAGCAGCAGGCAGATGGTGTCTCTAGCGCACCAGCCACAGCTTGATCAGCAGGGCGCGTCCAGTGACTGATGGCCCCTGTCCCCGCGTCCGAGGCAGAGGCAGCTACTGGTACCCAGGTAGGTACCTACGTAGGTACCTACGTAGTAAAGCAGGCAGCTCATCTCCCTAAATCTAGGTACTGACCTCCTCATCGTCTGGCGCTGACTGGCCCTCACTGTTGATCACCAATCCACCCATCAACTCGAAACAGGCGAGCCGATCCCCTTCTCCCTGTTTCGCTTTGCCGCCTCAGACAGGCACCCTGCCGCCTCAGCAAGGTGCCTGTCTGACTGATTGACGTCACAGGGCTGACTCACGGTCGCCATCATTCTTGTCAAGGTACTCGGTCCAAGGCCCGGCGAGAATGCTTCTTCTTGCTCTAGTTCCCATGGATATCGATCTGAGGCGGAGCTGGCCGACAGAACGTAGAGCAACAGAAGAGCCAACCCATACGACACGAACAGCAGTGCAGCGATCTGGTGCTCACAGGACTCGGCAGCATCTCTGTCTGACCCTAGTGCCAGGCCCTGTAGCTCCCAAGGTTCACTGATCACCAAGGGTTTTGGGCGATATCCGGGGCCAGGTCCGCGAACCTCTGCTTCGACCCCTGGCTCGCGCCGCTGTCGGGTGCTACCCGACGACCAGTTTCCACTTCTGGCCCATACCTTGGCCTCCTCTACAGTACATCCTGTGCAGTGCAGGCAGCTCCTTCGTGCTTCGCGTGCGCTTCTGTCGTGACATTCATGGCCCTTTGGAAACGAATAGTACGGCATACCCTCGGTATCACATCACAGCCCACGTTTTGTCACGAACGCAATCGGTCTCATCATCTGTCATGACCGCTGAGACCAGATACACTCCCTCTCGCGTGGGGTGCGTATTTCCAAGAAGCGAGTGCCTCTTGCGAGCCATCGATTCACATACCACTGAACGCAACACAGTTGTCAGAAAACCTTTGGTGCCCATGGCAAAGTCCTGACTGCAACCGTGTAGTGCTTTCCCGGCCCAATGGATCCTTCGAAGGCACCGGGACGACCCGGTCTTCACGGACCAAGAGTAGTGCTTATCGCTGCAGAGTATTGCGTGATAGCGGAGATGCACCGCGCAGAGGCCGTTGGGTGGTTCGACGTGCCATACGAAGAGGCCGGGCATCACAGAATTCGTGCCTCATAGAGCCGAAACGTCATGTTCAGACTCCACAGAGACCTGCGAGGTCTGGTCAATCACTTATGGCAGGCCGGCCGACCGGTGTATAAAACCCCGTAGGACCTACATACCATGTTGCTCCGGCGAGACCTGACCTCGTGCTTTGCTTGCGAATAGCGGCTTGAGAATATACATCCTGGTGTCGCTGATTGACTTCCACTCATTGTCGTATTTCTGTCACTATGGCTAGCGAAAAGGGTGTGCAGCCCGAGGTGACAAGAGAGACCAAACTGTCCAAAGAGACGGCCGAGACGCACCCTCAAAAGGGAAAATCAGTCGAAGAACGAAACGCCGATGTCACCCTGCGGCTCCTCGAAGAACATGGCGACAAATTCGGACCCTTGACGCCCGAGGCGGAGAAGAAGCTTCGCAGGAAGCTGTACCTCCGTGTCATGCTTCTCCTGTCTGCTGTCAACATTATGCTTTTTGTGAGATCACGCCGACTCTTTTGGTTCGGTCCCGATGTTATGACTGCCAGCTTGCTGACAAGCCCTGGTCCAGGTGGACAAGTCAACGCTCGGCTATGCTGCCATTTTGGGTCTATTTGAAGAGACAGGCATTCGTCAAACCGAGTACAACAATCTGAACACCATGTTCTATGTCGGTAAGGGGGAAAGGAACAAGCACACACGCCCTGGCTACGCTAACGGACGAGTTAGGCTACCTGGCATTTCAGTGGCCGGGTCACTACCTGATGCAGCGACTGCCGTTTGGCAAGTATGTTGCGACCACCGTCTTCTGCTGGTCTGTCATCATTTTCCTGCACTGTGTGGCTACGCGCTATGCCGGCCTCATTGTCATGCGGCTCGCACTCGGAGCGGCTGAGGCCGTCATTGTGCCGGCTATGGAGATCACAATTGGCATGTTCTTCAATCGACATGAGCAGTCCTTCCTACAGCCCGTTCTGTGGATCACTTGTCAAGCGGCGCCATGGTCACGGGCTTCATCTCGTACGGCCTGCTGTGGGCGACGGGGCCGGTGCTCCCGTGGAAGCTCCTCCACATCGTCACGGGCGGTCTCACACTCCTCCTCGCCGTGTGGGTGTGGATCGACTACCCGAGCAACCCGGCCGAGGCGCGATGGTTGACGCTCGAAGAGAAGGTGCAGGTGATCCGGCGGGTGCACGCGGCGCAGCAGAGCTCGATCGAGCAGAAGCGGTTCAAGCGAGAGCAGTTTGTCGAGACGCTACGGGACCCCGTGTCGTGGCTTTTCGCACTGCAGTCGTTCACGCTCATGTTCTCAAACAATCTCAACTACGGGCAGAAGAACCTCATCACGACGTCGATCGGTGTCAGCCCACTGGGGTCGACGCTCGTGGCGGCGGCGGGCGGGGGGTTCGGCGTGGCGTGCTGCGTCGTGGCGACGTTTGCGCTGCGGCGGTGGCCGCGGAACCTGGCGCTGCACGGGACCGTGTGGTGCATGCCGGCGGTGGCCGGCGGCGTGGCCATGGTGACGGTGGACTGGGAGCAGAAGATTGGGCTCCTGGGGTGTCTCATCCTCGCGGCGTCGACGTACGGGGTCACGTACATCATCGCGCTCGGGTGGACGACGTCGACGGCGGCTGGGTACACGAAGAAGCTGACGCGCAACGTCATGTTCATGCTCGGCTACAGCGTCGGCAACCTCGTGTCGCCGCAGATCTGGGTGGCCGGCAATGGGCCGCGGTTCTACGGCGCCTGGGCGTCCATGATCTCGGTCAGCTGGGTGGGCACGCCGATCATCTTGTGGATCATCCGGTTCATCTTGGCGCGGCGCAACGCCGAGCGGCTCGAGTACATTGCGGGCCTCAACGATGACGAGCGCGAGGGCTTTGTCGAGACGGTGGGCGAGGACGGCGAGGTGGTCCGCACCAAGGTCAGTCTGGCTGTGCTGGACTTGACGGACCTGCAGAACAAGCAGTTCATCTATCCCCTGTGAGGTATAGGGTATCCCCTACAAAGAGGGTATCCCCTACAAAGAGGGTATCCCCTACAAAGGTTGGAGGATATTGGTCGGTAGAGTGCCACCAGTGAGTTGCTGCTTGATGACCTGGGAAGTGTGTAATCTTGTCTTAGCTCACCGCCAGTAAATGCCTGTCTACCAGGATGCTCGGGCGTCGGTAGTCTCGCATCATCTACCTTGGTCGTGATGTGTGCTCGGAACTCGAAATCTCCCAGAAAATCTCCGAGGCGCTAGATCTTCCTCAAGTGACCGAGAAGGCGCGGATGTCTACTATCATGTCACGTGGACATGGATGTTCCCCCTGCTGCCATGGTCGCTGCTGCCGTGGTCGCTGCTGCCATGGTCGTTGCTGCCATGGTCGTTGCTGCCAAGGTCGTTGCTGCCAAGGTAGAGGTGGCAGGTCTCCGCACGTGACCCGCCCAGGCCACTGGCTGCAGCAGGCACCACCCTGGTTCTCCTGCCCTGTACATGTACAATATGGGGGCAGTAAGGCGCTTTCTTGGTGATCTGCCCATGCGATGGCGGACGATTGCCGGCAGATGACACTACTTCCTTCAACATCACCAACACTCAACGAGCCATTGTGCTGGGCCACCCTCCATTGCGACTTCGTCACAACGCATGCAAGATCGCGATGGCTCATCTTGGTTCTTGGAACACACATCGTCCAGAATGACCTCTCTTCCGGGTTGCAGCGGTGCCCTGTCCCCGGCGTGCATCATGAAACGCCGTGGACCGACCACGAGCCGCATCGCGACCCCCTGACCACCATCCAGGTCCCTCGAGCCCCTTCGACGCCCCCTCTACGCGGGTCGTTGCATGAACTCGACGGCCATTCCGAGCATCACATGGCGCGAGAGCCCACAACTCACTGCTCGCTGCCCGCTGCTCACTGTACACAGCCCACAGCCCACAGCCCGCACTCCTCAGCCCGCCGCGGCCAACAGCCCACGAAGCAGCCCCCCTTGAGGCTCAGAAGACAAGAACGAGGGCTGTTTCCGAGTCAGCGCATGAATGATCTCCAATTTGTCACCCATCCGGGCGCCGACGCCTGTGCATGATGCTTCTGACTTTGCTTGTTGCGGTTCCCTCCGACCCTCATTAGCTAGCTGGCTCCCTTGCTTGCCTCGCCTTTGTCCCCGTCCTTGGTTGAGACTGTCCTCTGTCTAGGTGCTGATGTGGCACGCGTGTCCAGTGTCCATACAAACAGATCATCGCCCGCCGCGATGTTACGGTCGATCCATATGTGATGCAGCCGTCGTCCCGTGGCCTTGGGTCTTCGGCCCAGACCAAGACGGACGGAGGATCACCACGAGGGTATACCGCCGAGCACTCAGGAATCTGACATCAAAAATCCACGACTGGGGCTCAGTAGCGTCCCATGAAACCAGCCCGTGTTGCGATGCCTGCGATTCGAATCCTGCTCCAACTCCGAAGCAGGGGACTGCCGGCCGCCGTCATCACCACCGACTTTCTTTTTCCTTGCGGCAATCTGCAACTTTATGGGGGAACGTCCCCGTGCGGGTCAATCCCGCCCTAAGAAGCGAAGAAGAAGAAATAGCCCACTCTAGCAACCCCTTTCCTTTGTGACCGCGCCTCTGCCTGGCCTTGCTAGCTGGCCTGATCCATCTCGAAAGCGACACCACTTCCGAGGCCCGTGGGCTTTGCAAGGACCATCTAGGCCCCTTTGCTCATCTGAAGGTTGCGATAGCCCGTGCCTCCCGATCTCAACGCCATCCCATCTCTGCCATCCACCCGCTCTGTATAGCCGCCAACTCTCAGGTCGCTGTTGGGCCAGCCCCTCCCCCCCCCCTTCAAGAGCTCGGTACTGTCCTCCCGACGACACCAATATCCCTGACGCATTGCATCATGGCTTAGCACCCCGGCACTATGCTCCCCTAAGTGTCACGGCCAAGCCTAGTAGACCCCATCTCCATGATCTGCCATGGCCATGCAATATCCCGTCCATTAAGGGGACGTTTTTTTTTTAACGCCGCATCCTCCATAAGATGAAAGGACCATGGCTATTCTCAGACGCGTTCCGACCGCCCCTCGTGGGCATACAAGACTCATGTCGACCCCTGCCTCTCATTCTTACAGCGAGCCGTATCCCCTCCCTGTTCCGTTCTCTTTCTTTCGTTCTGTGTATCAGTTGAAACCGGAGAGTCTCATCTTCTCCGTGTGGTTGTTGCAACCCTCTCGTTTGGTTCCATGCAACGAGATATTCACTCCTTCGCAACAACCCATTCATGCCGTCTTACCCTCGCCTGTCATTCAACCTGGAGTAATTCGAAATGGAGCCTGCCAAAGTGTCGCGAGACGAGGGCGACGTGAGCCCAAGAAACCAGTCACCCGCAGCCCTGGAACATATGAGCACTCTAACAAGGTCAGTCTCTCGTCCCGAGCCAAGTGAACTTCTTCCCATCCGCCTCATACTCACACATGTAACAGCAGCAGTGGTAGCGGGCCACAGACCAGCACAATCAGCAGGCCGACAACTAGTAATGTGAGCAGGCGGCGACAGAGCAGCCTCAGCCGGCCAGGCACCAGTGCCACACGGGCGACAAACAGACAGACCATTCAGTGGCCTTTCATGCATGGAGGAGTGCCCGAAGATGCAGAAGAGACCGGCCTCGGTTCGCCTTCGTCACAGCAACCCTTGACATCCAATCGGGCCCGGCGCGCGACGTGGCAGCACGCGAAACGAGAATCAACCGCCACTCTTCTGGATTTCGTGCCGGACTACATCATCAACTACTTGCGCGGCGAGACGCCCGAGACCTTGGCGCGCAAGAGAGAAAAGCAGAACACGCCCGATCCCGAGGATGTTGCAGCCGCCTTGAAACAGCGCTTCGGACCTGATGGCTTCTTCGACAATGGCTCCACTGTGAGCCGGCTGGACTCCGTTGCTTCGCATGACGACGTTGAGCAGATGCTGGGCCACGAAGGAGGCTGGAGCGTGCGGTCAGCACGCGGCTTTTGGGCCTCCTTGGACGGTTGGAGGGGCGGCATTGCCGTCCACGTCGCCATCGCCGGTGTCATTCTTCTCACGACGATCATCTTCTTCGTCATTGCGATGGCTTTGGAGCACGGCGGCAAGAGTCGCATCTTTGAAGGATCCTGCGATGCAGCTCAGCACCTCAACTTTGGCTTGCACGTCGCCATCAACTTCTTCATTGTAGCCCTCCTGTTTGGCGCCAACTACACCTTTCAAGTGCTGAGCAGCCCGACTCGCGCTGAAGTCGAGCTCGCTCATGCTGGGCAGAAGTGGCTCGACATTGGCATCCCGTCTTTGAGGAACTTCAAGTTCATCTCAAAACGACGCGCCGCCTTGGCTGCCATCCTCCTCGTGGCAGCCATCTCTACCCAAGTAATGTGAGTTGCAACATCGTCGGCTTGTTTCTGCGCCAACCCACTCATTGCTTGCCAGATATAATGCAGTAATCTTCACCACAAAATTTGTACCGGCACATAATATTCTCATCGTCACCGAGTCCTTCTCAAATGGCGCCACCTTCAGTGATGCTGCGGACAGCAACGCCGTGGGCCTGCAGTGGCTGGAAATTCAGGCTCTCCAAGAATTGGCGTCGAACGGCCGCCTTACACGCCTCAACGTCGCAGACTGCCTCGAGCAATTCAGCGGCCCGTACCAGACAGACTTCAGCGCAGTGCTGCTCGTCGCCGACAACGACTCGCAGAGGAGCTCCCTGCTTCAAACCGCGTTACCTTCATCGCCCTTGACGGACCTTGTCAATGCCCGGAACCCCGCGAGCGTCACGTTTGGTGCTGACAAGATAACGTCTTGCCTGGCTAGACCAGCAGACGTGACAGCGACTGTCTGCGCTGTTGACACAAACGACGCTGTCCTTGGCGCCATCATCTTGCCAGTCTTTGTCATCATTGCCGCTTCAGTCGCGATTCTGGCCATTCAATTTTTCTCTCCTCTCGTGACTCTCGGCGACGCCTTGGGCTCCTTCCTAACCCTCGAGGACAAGACGGTTCGGGGGGCCTGCTTGTTAACCAAAGCCGACGTCCAGCAGGGGCGCTGGGCATCCATCATCCACCAGGCGCAATACTACATGCCCACAAACCACATGTGGGCTCGTTCCGTAAGCCTCCGGCGCTGGGCCATCTGGGCCGTGATCTGGGCAGCGCTGGTTGCGTTCGTTAGTGCTTTATTGGGCATTGCCCTGCAGTCCGGCGATGGCTTCGCCAATCCCATGTCTGGTCTGTTCTCAGATGCGAAGGCCTCTCACTTTCTCGTCAACCCGAACACCGCACACGCTGCTCTCGCCATCCTTTCATCACTGCCCCAGCTCCTGCTTGCGTGCACGTACTTGTCGACCAACGCGCTGCTGTCGATGTATTACCTCTCTAATGAGCTTTCTCTCTACGCTGTGCCGGGCGCGTCTCTGCCCCTGCGCGTCTCCTCTCGTCACCCTGTCGGTGCCCAGACTTCATCTCTATACCTCAGCCTGCCCCGCCCCATCTCCTGGCTGCTCCTGGCACTATGGGTGTGCCTCTCTCTGTTCCTCTCACAGTCCCTCCACCCCGTCGTCCTCTCCTTCCGCCCTACCACAAGTGGTGCTTCGAACCTTACCCCGGACCGCTTGATCCTGGCACCTGACCCGACATCCCTCGCCATTGTACTTGTCCTTCTCCTCGTTGTGGCCGCTCTCGTGCTGATCCTCGGCCTGCGGCGCGCGGACAGTAGGTCCACAACGGGGGAGGACGGCAAGCCGATGGGCAACCCGCTTGTTCTGCGGGCTGGGAGCTGCTCGGCCGTGCTGGCGGCGCGGTGCAGGCGACTTGCGTCGGACCGGGATGCCGCGGCGGGTATGCTCGGATGGGGCGTCATCCGCGAGGGCAGGGGCGAAGGGGATTTCGGGACGACGGGGTTCTCGTCTATCGGTGTTTGGAGGGTTGATCTGGAGAAGGGATACGCTTGATTGTCTTTTTTCTTCACGGGTCATTGTTCTTCTCCTCTTCTCTTCTCTTGTATTCTTTCTTTCGTTTCCCTTATTCTCCTCTTCTGTTGATACTTTATTCTTCTCAAGTTTTTACAGTTGGACATATGGTTAGATGGGGACAGGTTGGGTGGACAGTATAAAACAGAGACGGCGGGAATCACGGAAGGGATGGCTGGATGATACCTCGGCGGGGAAAGAGGACGGATAATGCCTCTGGAGTTTTGTTCTGGTTCTGGAATTCTTGCTATACCCGACGCGCGTTGATGATACTCATAATGTATGATTTAGTCAAGAGACGAAAGACCATGTTGCCTGCTGCAAAGCCCACTTATTCATTGTCCGGTTTGGCTTCCTCTTTGCACGCATGCCCGTCGAGTTGCTTCGAAATGTAGCAGCATGTATGAGGTGTGTGGGGATGATTCTCACTGACAGTCCCAGGACAACCGCACTCCAGTTTGCTAGGTGAGCATATTCTCATGCTTCATCACGACAGCAGAACGTGGCTGGTTCCAAACGCAGCGCTCACCCCTTGAAGTCGCATTTCATCATGTTATACATTCAGTAACGACTGATTGGCACTCTCGACCCTCTCCCTTGAAGAGGACGCCAAAACGCCGTGGGGATGCGGCAAACTCCAAACAAGTACTCTTCTCATGTCTTTCTCTTCAAAACTCAGATGGAAAAGGAAAGCAAGAAAACCCCGTACGCCATCGCAACCCCGCTCGTACAGCTCGTGCCATGATACCAAAAATGAATGAAGATAATGATAAAAACGGAACGCGAAAGAAAATCAAGGAGGAGGCGCGAGGTATCAAGCATCGTCAACGACGGCGCTCTCGTCCCCCTGCGCGGGCTTGACGGCCCCGTTCGTCACCGACGACACCTGCACGTTCCCCCTCGCCTTCTCCTGGCTCTCGACGAAGCGCTCCCAGTACTCTGGGTCCACGCGGCGCAGGGCCTCGGAGATCTCCACCCTGTCCTCGCGAAAGAGGCGAATGATGCCCTTTTCCTTGGCCTTGCGGCTGAGCGCGGGGTCATCAAGCTCCTCGACCATGTCCAGCATGGACGCCTCGTGCTTTGGCTCAAAGCTGAGCTCGTCTGGGCTGTTGAGGAGGCCGTAATGCTCGGGCTTGATGATGCCGGAGCGGAATTTGTGACCCGCGCGGAGTATGCGACCCTCCTCATCGGCAAGCGCGCGGGACGTGTGCGACATGATTGAATTGCTGCGCGACACGCTGGGCCGCACTTGGAGGTCGAGGTCGTCCTCAGGATCCGACGGGATGGCGATTTGCTCTGGGTCGAGCTCGGACGACAACGACGTGCCAAGTTGATCGGACTTGGCCGACGCGGCGTCGGCCACTGCCTGTTCGGTCGATTCGTCGACGCGTGTGTCCGGAAATTCGTCCTCGAACCGCTTGATAATATTGGCCAGCGTTGTGTCCAGGAACATCAGCTTGCGGTAATTCTCCTCGTCGCTCGCGTTGTTCTTGGCCCGCGCAATGGCTGGCTGCAGGCGCACCCTGATCTTTCGGGCACTCGCGAGTAGGTGCTTTGACATGACCTTGGCCTTGCCGTGAGGCAGCCTCGGCTGGGGAATGGCGGGTAGCGTGATGCCGCCCTCAACCTCTCTGATGAGCTCGCCAGACTGCCTCCTCGATTCGTCGCCCCTGTTCTTGAGGCAACAGGTCAAAGCCTTCACCACGCCTGTACCACCAATAACGTAGTCGTCATCAGGAGCAGACTCGTCGTCGGACGCAACTTCGTATTGATTGAGAACGTCGTGGCCGACAAGATGGGCAAGGACATCGGGATATGGCGGATCCTGTCCAGCCGGTGCATCCTGACCGTCCGAGAGGGCTTGAACGGCAGAGCTGATTTCCGCAATGGGGAAGCGCTGCAAGTTACGCAAGCAATACGCCACAACCTGCTTAGCCATCGCCTTGACGATCTCGCCCGATCGTTCGCTGGGGACGTCAATGTCGACACAGACCATTGTGTTCGACACTCGGGTGGCAGCCAGGAGAGATGCATAGAGGGCGCATGCTTCTTCCTGAGACTCCTCAGTCTGGGCGTCGGCCAAATTGACGAGATCAGGGTTCTCGAGGAAGCTAATGTGAGCGAGATTTTGCACTTCGGGTAGGATCTCAGCTAGTGCAATGGCCTGCTCAGATGACATCGCCACGTCTGCTAGATGAATCCTCCTGAGGTTTTCGAGCTTGGGGAGGTACCTGATCATGTTAGCTAAACGAAAGGTTCAAGGTAGAACATGACTTACTTTCGCAGTAGGCTGATGGCACTCGGCTCCGTTCTGCACAAGTCCTGATTGTGTGAAAGGTCGATGAAACGGAAATTGTCCAGAGGAACGAGCTTGGGTAGGATCTTGCACAAAGTCCCCGCGCGTAGATTGCATTCTGCCAGACTAAGACCCCAAAGTGGAGAGTCTGATGAAATAGCATTGGCAAACACTTCGAGGTTCTCCCGCAGGTCATTGCCGCCGAGGTCAAGGCCTACACAGTTGCCGCTGGTGACCCACCTCGCAACATGTTCCAAGCCCTTGTCGTCGATATTGTTATGAGCAAGGCCCAATCGCTTCACCCCACACTCAATGACGCCATCAATGATGGTGCCGAGTTCCTCTGATGTCGGTTCAATGCCTCCAATGTGTAGCAGCTCCAAGGTTGAGCCTGCGAGGCGCTGTCCCACAGCCTTAGAGAACAAGGAAGCCAGCGTGATCTCTTCAGGCTGGTGATGGAGATGAGGCAAGTGAAGAGGCCGATGACCAGGATGGGTCTTGGGCGACACGGGTCGTGGTAGAGGGACCATAGACAGATCCAGGTGCCTCAGCGTCCGGCAAAGATAGATGAACAGACAGGTATGCTTCCAGCCATCGACGCCCAGCTTGTTGTTCTTCAGTACCAGCCGTTCAACAACGCCACCTTGTCGAGTGAGACCTTCAGGGTGAGTAACCTGTTTTCGTCTCCTGCTCTCTGGCCGCCTGGCAGCGAGTAGTCCAGCGAGAATAACCCGTAAGCCCTCATCTGAGAGTCCGCAGTTTTCAAGAATTACTTCCTTGACGGGGACCACGGCGAGGTAATCGCCAAGGGTGATTAGGTCGGGCAGCTGCATCCAGTAACCAGTCAAGTCTAGTTTCTCCACCACACCAACGTCGGACGAAAGGTTGGCGGGGTCAATGAGCTGTTCGGTAATCCTCTTTAGGATCGGCGTCTCCCGAAGTTGGCAGCATCGCCTGTATATCCTAACGGGGTTCGTGGTTGGGTACGCCGTGGTTTTAGGCGCCTCGACAGGAGGAGGGGCCGCCGGGGAGACTTCGCCGGAGGAATCGCTGTCATCGAGATGGATTTCCATGGGGACGGTTCCATTTGCCTCGGCCAGCTTTCGTTTCTTCTCTTTGCGAGCCTTGCGCTCCTCCTCGCTCTTCTTCTTCTTCTCTTTTTTCCTAGCCTCACGCTCCTTGTCGGCGAGCGTAGGAGCGTTGGCCGCGACATCCTGTTTCTGTTGCTGCTGAGCTACTTCGCTGCCTTCCTCTTCAGGCTCTTTCGGCACCTGCTCTCCAGTAGCCTTAACGACGCCTTCTTGCTCCTTCTGTTCCTCGATCGTTTTCGGGTTCTTAAGCGCCTCACCCTCGCCCTTTTCCGTCAGCTTTCGCTTCGTGGACTTGTCGGCAGGGACCGTCGACTTGACACCATTTTCCGCATCGGTGTACTTGGGCATGGGTGCAATTTCGACGTCAACACTGAAAGCGACCCTCCGGAGCTTGGCCTGGTGAAGCGCAGCAATGGCACAGCGCTCCCGATTTCGGTCGACGTTTAGAATCTTCCTTTCGACCAGGCCGTGATTGCCCCTCTGGCTGTTGTGGAGAGCGCCGCCGGAGGAAGACAGACGGCGGAAGACGCCGAGGAAACTGGACTGGCCGCGGCTAGGGGGAGCTGGTGTGTAGGGCAGGTCGCCATCGGGCTTGGTCGCGTGCTGAAGGACGGCATTTCTGCTGGGCACCGCTTTGGGCGGGGCTGGTGTGGTGTCCTTGGGCGGGGTGGTCTGGGGCTGCTGGGCGATCGGACTGCTACTGGGGGCGGTGGTGCTTGGATTTGGGGACGAGGAGAATTTGGAGGATATGCTGGAGAACCACGAGTTCCTGCGATGCGGGGGTGTGCCGTTGGGCCCAGGCTTCTCGCTCGATTCGGTTCTTCTCACGCCAGGTCGAGTCGTGGGGATGGGCTTTGGCAAGGCGCCATTCTCAGCAACATTGTGGCCGTTGGTGCTACTACCGTTGGTGGCAGCGACGGGAGAACTGGGTGTAGTCGGTGACGGAGCGTCAGAACCCACGGACGCTGGAGAGGATCGTGGGGTTTCCCGAGACTGTTGCTGTGTGAGCGGACGGGTCGTGGTGTTTTTTGCACCTTTATCTGGAATTGATGAATGGTGCAATTAGTAAATTGGACTAATAGAAGATGACGGTCGTCCCCCAAAGATGTGTGAGATACGAGGAGGCCGCAAGAGAGGTGGGAGTCACCTTTTGGAGAGCCGTGGGTCATCCAGCTGACGTCGACGCCGTGAACATGCTCCATCTTGGGAGGGTTGCGGAGACCCTGGCACAGCACGCCCGGCGGTGAGGGGGGGCGAAGCAGCAACGCTGGCTGTAGGGGAGACGAGCCCGAAAGTCGCAAGAGCCTGGAGGGGGACTGAGGTCGAGGATGTTGGCGACGTCGGGTGAGGTGAGTTGCAGGTTCAGTTGTCCATGGTTCGCAGTGTAGTGGGGATTCCGACAGGCTGAGGGAGGCAGCAGAGTGGTCGTTGGTAGAAAGTTGAGGCAGATAGATTCCTAGGTGGTGGATGGCAAAAGGTTATTCGAGGACGGGGCTGGCGAGCGGGCGGGCAGGTTGAGCTGGATGCGGCGGCGTCGGCGGCGGCGACAGCGGGCGAGGCGGGAAGCACGAACAGGCAAGGTAGGTAAGGTAGGTAGTGAAAGGTCCCCTCAATGTAATTGTAAGCACCTTGGAACTGGCCGGCCCCAGGTCACGCAGGGTCTAGCGGGTGGCTAAGAGTGACAAGCAATGAGGCAATACGTGATGCTGGTTCGGCAAAGAGGTGGGGAAGCCACTTGCTAACGCAAGGTGGGCAAGGCTAATGTACCCTGACCAGGTAGGTACCTCTACTAAGTACCTAGGCACCTACCTACGTAAGTACCGTACCTATGTGTGGACGTGCTTCGGTAGAGCTAATGGGGCGCACAATCGTGGCATGCGTCCGTCACAAACTATGCAATCGGCTGCCCAGGACGAGAGGGAAGAGAGGGAAGAGAGGGAAAAACGAGCAAGCGAGAGCACACCAAACTCTCTTGCCCATCATCACTACCTACCGACATCATGGTTTTCGACGGCAGGACCATATCCTCATCCCTACGCACGCGCGCGCGGTACTTTACCGGGAACAAAATCTTAGCTCTTGACGCTCGCCCACGTCCCTGGTCCTCCCCGCAAACGGTGGGATGAATCTGCCCTGAAGAAGCCCGGACTAGCCAGCAGTCTGGCCAGCCCGGTCTCAGCAGCACCACCGGGGATCCGGGTGGCCACTGACGCAGCAATGCCCCCACCACGTCAGGCCTCAGCGTGCCGCTAACTACTCCGTTACCTCACCTTGGGTACCTCGCCTTGTGCTCGCTGCACAGCCCCTGTAGCCCGCATCACACTGCACTCACATCCACTGCTCTCGCTGCGCCTTAGAATGGACTGCCCAAAAACAGGTCCATCGCCGATGGCCTCGGTCGCTGGGGCCCCCAAAGATGCTGATTGCTTACTGAGGTGTCTACCTCCTCTGTCTAAGGTACCTGACTCCCTCGACCTACCCTTGCTACCCAATTTGTCAGGTAGGTACATGTTGCGACTGTACTATTGCTTGCCCGGTCACCAACGTCAGAATGCCCACCCGGCGCTCCGCTCCACGATGGATGCCAGTGTGCGTGTTTGGTCACGTTCCTCTGTGGGGAGGATTTTCCACGCCCATATGGCCTGACGGATTTTTCGACCACACCATGACGACAGAACTCGAATACCCCCCGTCCCCCCCCCCCCCCCCCCCCCCCAACCTGCGTGATACTCAGGATTGGAACATACATGTACCAATCGCCGCGTTCGCCGATGACAGTCAATTGACAACCGAACTTGTCCGAAGATTCGGCCTGTCGGCAATTCGTCCCTCTTGAGCCTTGGCCGCCGACCATGCAAATGCCACCTTACCTTGCAAACCCTATGTGTCCCGGTGCCAGTGCGCCTCCGGACGAGGAAAAATCCCCGACCTTGAATGCCGTGCGGGCTGCTCAAAGGGACGCCGCGGCGGGGAGGGCCAGCAAGATTCCAGATGCCGCTGGAAAAACGTATCCAACAGCCCTGGTCAGGATGAAAGCGCTGGCCAGCACCTTTCCCGCCATGCCCCCTCGAACAATCTGACTCCGTCAGGGTTCCCATAAACTTACATAAATGACTCTAATTTACCCACCCTCTTCGGCGGGAACAACGCCGTGGTCTGCCTGCCGAAACCGAAGCCTGCTCGGCTTCAAAGTCTCGCAATTCCATCTATATACGCTGACGTGATTACCGAAGGGTCCACCACCAAACCCGATCAAGACGCCCGTGTCATTGTGGCGGATAGTCACACGGTCGCCTCAAGATACGGACCTGTTTGATTCATCATGTTGATGTACGCCCACTTCATCACACGACACTCACGGCCAGCCAGGACTGGGGCACAGGTGCTTGAAAGGGGGAATCATCAATCATTTGTCGCAACGTCCTTTTGACTATGAACCTGCCAGGAATCCTTATAACTCCAGTACGACCCGTATCATGTCGAGACGTCATTGCTTTTTGCAGCCGCCCTGCCAGTCCTACACTAGGACAAGCGGGCCACTGCCCCGTACCACCGCCATGCACCCAGCAGACCGAGTGCCAGAGGTTTACTCGTCGCGGAGGGCGACGATCCTCTCGCGCACGCGCTTCTCCTTCTCCTCCTTGGTGAGGCGGGCAGTCTTGTACTTGAGGGACTCGGCCTTCCACTCCTCCTTGGTCTTCTTGGAGCCCTCGACCTTCTTCCAGGGGTCCTCACGGATGGCGGCGTGGGCCTCGGTGTACATGTCCTCAACGCCGTCAGCCTCGACGTCGTCATCGACGTACTGCTGGAACTGGGACTTGTAGCGCTCCTCATCGTCATCGGCGAGGGTCTCCATGTACTCGGCAACGTGGCCACCGAAGATGTAACGCTTGAGGGTCTCAGCGTCCAGCTCCTTGGACTCAATGTCGTAGCCGGGGAAACGCTTCTCGTTGTGGGGGATGAGAATGCCACCGTCGGAGGCGCCCTTCATGGCGCCGAAGACACGGGCACCGGTGGAGGTGCGGGCAAGGCCGACGTCGAGGAAGGCCTTGAAGGGACGGCGCTCGCCATCGTCGGTCTCGGCGGCCTCAGTGAGGGTGAACTCGCCATCGGCCTCCTCAACACCGGTGAACTCCTTGTCGAGGCCGAGCTTGCTAAGAGTGCGGCGGGCGAGGAGGAGACCGGTGGCGTAAGCGGCGGACCAGTTGGTCAGACCGTGCTTGATGCCGAAAGCGGGGAGCTCGTGGGCGTAAGCGGCGCTGAAGACCTTGTCGCCAGAGATCTCAGAGGTGACGATCTGGCAGATGATGTCCTTGTTTGTGAAGCGGACGACCATGCGGTACTTGGGCGCATTGTACTTGTTCTTGGCCTGGGTGATGAGGCGCTTACGAGCGTAGTAGTCGGTCTTGCCCTGCTGCCTGCGCTTGTACTTGGTCTGGAAGCGACTGTGCTACATGTTAGCATTGACCGGCGACAAGGAATTGGGATGAGTCGAGTTCCAAAAGGTGCGTGCTTACCTGTAGTACGCGTTGTTCTTCACCAGCTTGTGGAACGTCTGCGCAAAGAGAACCCCCGAGTCAGCAATTTGCGCTTCAGATTGTACCCTCGATCCGAAGCATCTTGCAAAGACTCTCTATCAAGGCATTTCTGCCGGGTACTGAGGACGATTGACTCTTGTTTGTGTCGTGGCCTGGGATAGGCAACGACATCAAGTCGCAGTGGCATTCAACTTACCATTTTGACTGTAGGTTGGCTGGCAGGCGCTCAGCAAACAGGTCAGTAGGTGATGGGTGGGTTGAGGAGGTGAAGGTCGAAAAAAGTTCGCGATCTCGAATTCCTGAAAGAGAGCCGATCCAAATTCTGTGGGCACTGGTGAATTTCTGTAGTCGCCATGCCCTATCTGCCCCGCCATAAGTCTCAAAGTGGCTGGCGTCAGGGACCCAGGCGAGGGTGGGAAGCCTGGTGGGGGACGAGAGACCAGGTTGGCCACGAGTCACGTGTGGGTATGCTTCAGTAAGGGACGCGATCGGCAAGGATACGGATATCCACCCGACGCGGAACCCCAGGCCTCTCCATCCGCTCTCTGCGGGGAGCTGTGCCGAGGTTCGCGGGACTCGGTCACCGGCGTCAATGCCTCGCGGTGTCCTCCTTTGCTCGCTGAAATATTCGTCCTCGCTGAACCTGATGCAGTCTCTCGACCAGCTTGATTCAATCCAGGTTGATTCTATTCTCGACGTTGTCGCCGACATGGTGGACTCTAAGCAGCCCAAAGTCATCCTGTTTGATATTGGCGGCGTGTGTGTAAGTTGACGGCTGCCGTTCTGTCATTCTCATGAGGTCTCATATTCGGCAGGTTGTTTCTCCCTTCCAGTCAATCCTGGACTACGAGCTGGGTCTCGGCATCCCGCCAGGATGGGTCAACACCTCCATCTCGAAGACGAAGCCAAACGGATTCTGGCACCGGCTGGAAACGGGATCCATCCCCATGGACGACGCATTCTTCAGGGGCTTCAATCAAGACCTGAGTGATCCTACTAGGTGGGAGCAGTTCTACAGTGAGCAACAGGCCAAGGATCCTAGTTTGCCCAAGGAGACCCCCCCGGTACCATCTATCGATGGGGAGAAGCTGTTCCACGAGATGATGATCAACTCCATCCCACCAGATCCCTGGATGTTCCCTGCCTTGAAGAAACTTAAGGAGAGCGGGCGTTATGTACTCGCGGCACTCAGTAATACGGTCATTTTCCCGCGCGGGCACCCTCTCTGGAAAGAAGACTTCCTTGACGACCCCGTCCGTGGTCTGTTTGACGTCTTTGTTTCCTCGGCGCATGTAGGACTGCGAAAGCCGGACCCAAAAGCATACCAGCTTGCTCTCGATACGGTCAGCGAGTTTGTCGCCAAGAATGCTGATACGGAGAGGGGACGAAGGTGCGGATGGGCCGACGGCGTCACTGCGGGCGACGTCTTGTTTCTTGACGACATCGGCGAGAATCTGAAAGGTGGAAAGCAAAAAGGCTTTAGGACGATCAAGGTCCATCTGGGCCGGGCTTACGAAGCCGTCAAAGAGCTGGAGAAGATCACGGGCCTGACACTGGATGGTGGCCACCCCAAGATTCCGGTCAAGCCTCGAGTGAATGGAAAGAAGGCCAAGCTTTGACGAGAAGTCCTCTCCTAAGCTGTCAGAATTTGGCCTTCCAGGGCGTTGTATTCAAGGGGGGCATGCTCAGCATCGTCATGAAATGTCACCGTAGTAAGCGAAGCCTGTCGGACGTAAAGAACATTTCGAAGTGAAATTGTCCGCATCATATAGGTGATCTACTAGGATAGTAGATATGTCTAGCTAGAACCAGCCGTCATTGTACTCATGAACAAGCAAACCATGTACACGCTGGTCAGTGGCGTATCGCGTCTCAGAGCTCCCCGCCCCCTTACCCCCTGCTACAGAGGCATCATCGACGCCATCGGACACCAGACCTGAAGGCCAACGACCTACGGCTCCTGAATCCGACAAGAGGGCAGACTGTTATGGCTGGCCTTGATTCGGGGAATGCCTGGGTCGATAACGAATATTTCTCCCCAATGATTATAACTTTCAAACTGCCAGCTGCAGTCCTAAATGCGTTTCGCGCTCCAACCATCTCTTCATTAATTGTATCTCCAGGAATCGAAATCTCAATCATGACGCACCGAAGAAGCGGACCAAGCCAAGCCCCCATTACGTTGCCGGAGTCTCGTCAGCATTCTTTCGCAGTGGCCGTAAACTCCGCAGGCGCCTCTATGCGCTCTGAGGCGGAGGAGCGGCACTGCTTTCAGCATCGAAGAAGAGCTTCTGCGCGTTGGCACTTTCTACCTTTGCTGGGCCCGGCTTCTCCAAGCCGGACACGCCACTGTCCGTCTCGCCGAAATGAATACCAAGGAGATTTGCGTCCTTGTTGGAGCCTCCCACATTCTTCTTGTCCTCCTCGGGTGTCTCGTCCAGGTTCATTAGTGCAGGTGGTCGGTGACGCATGGCCCTTGCTTTCGCAAGTGATATGGTCTTCTGCTGATATGTCGTGGTTATAGGTTGAGTATCGTCCCGGTCGATGGTAGCCTTGACGAGAGCTGCCATCCATAGTCGTCCCTGCTGCAGATTAGGGACTGCAAAATAGTGAACTGTGGGCTTGGTGAAGTTGACCGCGCGGGTCAGTCCTGTGCGCGGGGGTACGAGCTTGAAAATAAACATCGAGTCGTCTCCCTTGTCCAGGGCGACCTCTGGTTGCGCGAGAGTGCTGGCGGCAGGTGCTGCGGCAGAGCCTGCCCCAGTCAGAGTCGCGTGAAGACCTGTCAGCTTCTCATTGTCTGCAGGCAGAACACGGTGGAAAGAGATATCGATCAAGCCCTTCTCTTGCTGGTCATCTTCTGAATAGTAGTAGGCCAGACGTCTTCCTTTCAGGACAAAAAGTCGAGGCTTCCAAGTCGTCATCAGATTCGAGCTCTTCTTTTTCATCCATGCGCTGTAATCTGCGTCTTTCATGGCCTCTTTCGGTCCAATCTTCTGCAGTCCTCGTTGATAGGCGCTGTTTCCTTCTTTCCTTTCCTGCGACTGGATTTACTAGCGGCTGTTGTCGTGGTGCTAGGGCTCATTTTCCCATTCCCAGGCGAATCCAGGTCGAAGCTCGGCCCTGCAGACGGCGTGCTGGATCCCGTCGGTGCAGGAGAAGGTAAAGGCGAATCCTTGACGGTGGTATCGACAGGTGATGTGATTCGTGCGCGCTCCCCAGAGGAGATGTCCGAAGTCGCTCTCAAGCCGCCAATCTTGACTGTGGGCTTGTTGACAAGCGAAGCCAACCAGTCAGAGTTTACGTTTTGCCTACTGGCAGGCGACCCCGACACAACAGGCAAGTCTCTGGACGCGCTATCAAGCTTGGTGACAACGGGTGACGGTGCTTCCCAGATCGAGGGTACACGTGGGATAGATCGAGTTGTGCTGGTAGACGTGGCACGCTTATGAGGGCCTGATTGGAGACCGTAGTACTTTTGTGCAGCTGCAGATGGTGCACCTTCGCGAGGAGCATCAATGCTCCCATACCGCGAGTGTCTTGATATCGCTGTTGCACTTCGCACACGCTGCTCGTCAGCGTAGCTGTTCTTCTTCGAATGAGCACCGCTGTCGCGTTTCCTCAGCACATTGCGCCGCCGGCCATCCACTTCATTCCCACTGAAGTATCCGCGATCCAGGTCAGGCGCAGTTTCCTGCACATTAAGTCCAGACTGATGCATTGCGTCCTGTAATCCGGCAGAAGAGAGGGGGCGGGGCGATGAAAAGGCATTCCCGAGAGACCAGTTCCTGTCAAATGAGGGTTGCTTCTTGTGTGTAGTAGTAGTAGGAACTTGAGGGAATGTTCCGCTTGTTTCCAGTTTCGGGTTTATTATGTTGGCCGCGGGGGTTGTGCCGGTCCCGAGATAATCGGTGGAAGAGTGACGTCGCGAGTGATGTAAGTCTCTAACAGAGGCGGCAGACGGCCGTTTGATGTGAGATGGTCGGGGGGGGCTGTCTCCTAGCGCCGTCGAGGAAATGGGCGAAACGAGCCCGGCTGCTTCCATCCGGGGTGTTTGTGTGATGGATAGGCGTCTCGTTTGTATCGACATGGTCCTGTCGTCGCCCGGTGGTAATCTGTGCATGGAGTTGGTCATGGTGCTTGTCCTACTTCGGGTCCGTCTACCATCCGAGCCAGCATCGCTGCCGTACGTCTGCGTCGTCCTTTTAGTGGCAATGCCCTGCCCATTGCACTCATCCTGCAGTGCTTTGATCTTCTGCCATGTCTTCAGCCGCCGTCCCACGGACCCCAGGTCAAATGCTTTGATGAAAAGAGAACTCTGGTCCATGCCCAAAAGGACATCGCCAGTAATCTCCTGATCGCGAAACACTTCACAGTGATGCTTCTCAACACCCGCCGTGAACAGATGCTCCGCGACTTGGTCAGGCGACCATGCCTCGACTTCGAGCCTGGAGTGAGCCCCCTCCTCTTCTTCATCTGTCTCTTCACCCTGGATGTAGGAGAGCCGATGATCGAGTTGGGTGCTGTATTCGCTGCCCGAATCGTTGGTGGCGGCACGTAGACCACCTGAGCTTGGCGGAGATCGTAAATCGGTTATGTGTTCGTCAATAACATTCAATGTCTCGTGGAGAACGTGGCTGTCCGGGCCAGCCTCGAGACTGTTGAGCGAGCCAAAACTGGGTCCGGAGATTGATGGCTGAGGCTGGCTTGGGACGTCGTCTTTTTTGGCTGCATTCAGGGGAAGCGTTATGGGAGTTGCAGCGTCCGTACTTGAAGGAGACGCAACAGGTGGTGTGGCCGGAACGAGCGCGCTTTGAGCAGGGTCGACTGTGTTAGAACTCCCTATATTTTGCGATGGCTCAGCTGGTGATTCGACCGCTTTGGCGCTGGGTACATGGTTGAGAGGGGCATTCGCGTGTTGGATTTTCGGTGCAGGTCGTGTGTATACTAGAAGGAGTAGGGTCAGTCGAGAGGCGGATTTGGAGCCAAGGTGGTTTCGCATACCTTCGGGGAAGAGCCCGCTGTTGCCATTCGCAAGGTGTTTGCCCAGAAACCAGCCGTCACCAAATTCATCGTCTCTTTCGATCAGCTCGACACGGTCACCTTTGACAAGACTTAGCTCGTCCGAGCTCCTCGCAAGGAAGTCATCTGCAGAAAATTAGAAGCAATCCAGGCATGCGTGCGAGGATACGACAACGGTAGATCACCGCGGAGAAAGCACGGAGGATCAACATCGTCAACCGGACTTACGAATGACAAGAAGGGTGTCGCCAACATCTGGCTTGGGATGACCCTCGTTTGGTGGTCTCGCAGCCATCACGTCCCGCGATGGCAGTCGCAGCTTGACAGGAGCTGGAGGCGCTGGTGAAAGACAATGAGGCTCGACGAAATCACATCCGGACTACGGGAACAGCCAGCGGGTGGTGTGCGCAATAGAGGGCCGAATGGAGGAGGCGGAATCTCAAACGTGGTCGTCGAGTTACGCCGGATAGGGCAAGAGAATGGGGTCGTAGTTCGAGCTCTGGCGGCAATGACAATGGGACTCGCACCCAGAAATTGTGTCGTCAGGGAGTCGTCGCCTGTCTCGTTGGCTAATGGCTGCCTCGTTGCCGAGGTGGTGGCGAGGTGGTTGAGGAGTGGCACAAAAAGTCGCCGTGAAAGCTGCAAGGTGGAGGGACGGAGGTTGGAGGCTGGAGTATGGAGTACTGATCAATGGCGTCGCATCAAGATATGATTGGAGGGGATCGTCGAGAACAGGAACGAGCGTGGAGGATGGCTATTGGGCATGGGTGAATGGCGCAAAAGAACCTGGTGGCCAGACGAGGCAGGTCGGAGGGTCGGCGCTCAATTGTTCGACGGGGGGTTGGACAAGGTACGGTTAGGTAGGTCGGTTTCTGTGTTAAGGATAAGGAGCAGAGCCACTACGAATGGGTGGGATCCCAGCGGTGGGGTGAGATTGTCCCGGGTAGTTGATCGGCAGGGAGGAGGGGAAGGTAACAATGATGCAGAGGAAGGGCCTTGAGGAAAAAACGTGGATAGGAATCTGTCACGACTGTCAGCTCGTCAGGGTTGAGTTCTGACTCGGATGCATCTGAGTGTGGATTGATGGACTGATTGGTGAGCGGCCGAGACAGCAGATGAAGATGGCGGAGGAGAGGAAAAGGGAAAGGCGTGTTGAACCTCGCGCCGCCTGAAGCCAAACAGAGTGGAGTCAAAAATGACGAATGGTCTGGCCAGGTACCGGACCCGCCACAGGGGGCGCGAAGGGTACTTCCGCTGCATTGTCGAAGGGCAGATTACATGTACTTCCGTCTGGATTCTAGGTAGGCAAATGCACATGGGCACCAGAGTGCAGTGACGCTCAAGCGATGCAGGATTGTTATGTTCTGCGTGTTGACGGGTCGTCTGGACCAAGAGATCCAGGGGGGAACCAGAGCAAATATCGCTAGGTAGGCAGAGTATCTCGTCAGAAGACGAGGTCAGATGGTGCCGCAGACCGCAGCTCAAAACTCGATGAGTTACATGAATGCCGCATCCTCATTGCAGTGAAGGGATTTCCGACAACGCCAGCCATGCACACACCAGCATCCCCCCTTATTGACCTGAAAGCCTGCCCCAACAGTTGGCTGGGTTGCTAGACCCACTACTGCCTCAGGGTGCCCCATCTGTGGAAAGGGGCAGCAGCCCAACACAGATATTCTGAGCCTCACATCTGACTTGCCCAAGCCTGAGTCTTGCTGATGTGGCAATCCATTAGGTACCGTGCTTCAACGGGTAGCTATCTGGATTCAATTGTCTCTGGAAATCACAGGTTTCCCACTGCATCTACGTATGTACCCAACAGTCAGAGTGAACTCATGAAAAGATGGTACATGCCTTTGATCACTGTGCACTGCATCTGAGATACCACCGTGATGAAGAGTAGCAGACGGGTTGTGTTGGCGTTGATAGGGCCTATTCTTACGGAACACGGCTCTTTTGCCGACTAAGTAGCTCTTTTGAAGCCAAGTCTATTCATCACGACGAATTCAGCTCCAATGTCCTTTTCCTTTGATATGTCGCTTGCCGCGATGTGATGTCCGTTAGAATTCAGGGCTGACAAGCATATGCACTAGGATACTGTAGCAGCAGCAGCAGCCAGCAGGCCCCGCCTGTCAGGACAAGCCTGTGGCCGTGCATCCTAGTGGAGGTCTTTCAAGATGAAGTAGCACTTATTAGGTACCTACCTAGCCAGGTGTCTGAGAGGGGACTAGGTATCCTCACCAAGCGGTCTAGCCCTTTCTGTTCAAGAGACCCTGCTTTGCCTACCTAAGGTAATTAATTACCTTACCTCCAAGTTGCCTGCCTTTCAACTACACTAGCGGATCTGCTCCATTTTAGTCCATTACCACGCTCCACCCAGACTTCATTTTGTCCATCTTCAGTCGCACCCCAAGCGCACTTCACCATACGAATAGCGAGAACATCAGACGGCTTGTAGTCACTTCAAGGAGAACCGAAGAACTCCGTCAAAGCGTTGGGACCACAAGCTGCTTCCCGATCAATGTTCTCCGTCGCATCACCATCCTTGCGACACGGCGCTTTATTACGCAGCCCGGGGTAGTAACGTGTATTACAGCGAGCCTCCGACATCTTTCCTCCCGCTTCTTGCCTTCCGCCGCATCGGACATCATCGGCCTGCCTCATGGTTAGTTCTCCCCTGTACTGATACTGCCTCTTGCTTATGACGATGTTGACAGTTGTCCCCTAGCAGACTCGCGAGGCTCTACAGCATTTCGACAGGCGTCTATTTAACAAAGATCTCTCGCTCCCATCTTGTGCTCGAACATGCCTCCGCCAGGGCGTCAAGGTATGAACCTCAGTGACGCCCAGGTTACGGCCTCGAATCGAGCTGTCAACGCCTTTCTCGGTGATCCTCGGCCAGCATGGATAACCCCCAAAATTGGGCATACCCAAGCCCAACCACCGCAACCTGCCCATGGCAGTGGTCGGCAACCTCCAGCGACATCTAGACCACAAGGCCCTCCCCCGTCAAACATCGAACGAGACCCGTTTTCTAGAATAGCTCAGCAGAAGGGCACTGCGGCAGGACCAAAAAACGCCACGTAAGTGCTCTCTGCCCTCCTGTTACTTCGGTAGGCAAGGACAGGCTACACGATTGCGAAGAAGCCGAAGCTGATCATCGACAGTGAGGAATCAGAAACAGCCCTTCCATCGCCGTCCCCCACAGACGAGCCAAGTCCTTCATCTACGACTCCCCTGGCGGCAAGTCCTGCCCCGGGTCTTTCTACATTTGAGCGGCCAGCGAGCTTCAGAGTTGTGGCGGCTTCTGCTCCTGAACCCACTCCGTCGCACACTCTCCGACAACACCCTCCCCGGCTTGCAGAACCCGGCCAGTTGCCAACACCCACAAATGCGAACATCTCGCGCCCCTGGGAGACTCCCACTCCCGCGAGTCGCGAGGGCGCTCAAAGCTTGCCTATTCCAGCAATAGTACCAAGCCAGTCTGCGACAACGGCCCAACTGAGAACTGGAGGCGCCCCGCTCGTTCACCAGCCTACCACTTTCAGCTCCAGCTCAAATCCAGGCTCAACTTACAATGTGCAGCCAGTCCAACCACGGGCCAACATCATTATGGACTGGGCTTGGATGCGTCAAACTCTTAGCGCACGGATACAGCAGGTCAAAAGCCAATTCTTGGAAGTCAATGACTCTATTGTCCTGCCGCGATCCCGGATTCTCATGTCTGCATTGGCGTCCGGGGACGTTTTCTTCTTAATTCTGCATCAAATTTTCTGTGCCTGGTCCCTTGACACAACCTCTGTTCATCATTTGACCACTATCTTGCCCGCGACGATGGACAACGCCCTTTTCCTCTTGCAGACTGTACTGAAGCCCAACACCAGCATGCCTGCAGACCATCTCCGTTGGTTCGCGTCTTTCCCATGCGCGTTTCCCTCCCAGTGGCCAAGTGCGCATCTTGCCCCGATTGGCATCTTCTTGAGGAATTTCTCCCGGATGTGGCAAACCGACTTGCTACCGCGTGTTACGAACAGGGGATTCCCTATACGGATAATGGAGCTTCGAAACGAGCTTGCCCTTGCATCGCCTTCGCTTGAAACTGTTCTTTTCACTGTGGCAAGACGACACTTGGGCGTCCCGGACGGGCGCATAGCTCAACAAATGTCTGCAGTGTTTGCCCAGGATCAAAACAATTACAATCATGAGAGTTGTGCCACCGGTCAACAAGACCTCTCCGCTGTCATTGTTGATGCGTATAGGAGCCTACTGCGACAGTCTCGGGTCGAAGTGCAGAATCAGGGCAAGCAAGCACAAGTTCCACTCAACGCAGGTTCAAGTCCAGGCTCAGCGAATAATACAAATGGGCGGAGGCAGCAGCAGCAGCAGCAGCAGTCGCCGCCCCTTCCATCGGCACAACATCATCTTCAGTCCCACCAAAGCCAGAATTTGCACCTTCAAAGGCAACAAGAACGTTCACAGCTGATACCCAATATTGCGCATCCCCTCGCGACCATGCAGCCTGCAACGGGCGGAAATATTATACATCCGTCTCCTTTAGGCAATTCCCGTGCAGGCTCATTTCAGATGCCTTCAGCGACCGATATAAGCCAACCCTCACACCACGAATACATCTCCCCATACCCAAGGCATCAGGGCCAGTCCGTGCAAGGCTATGTCTCTGGTAGCGGACCCTACCACGTCGACCAGCAGCACGAAGTGTCTCCCCTAGCTCGCCAACTGTCTCTGAATTCGACAACTCAAGGGCCCCTATCTCGATCAGCAAGACCAGGCCAAGCGAGCCTGCATAGTTCTGGCATTGTTCAGCCTTCTGCACGACCGAGGCTAACTACCAATCACCCTTCAGCTCTTGCACCCGCGACTTCCGAAGTAATGAGACCCAACAGTCTGTTACCGCCCCGGGGCGTGACGCTAGGTATCGACCGGATGGCGATGTCGCCCTATGACAAAAAGTCGATCGATATGGCTCTCCATCAGGTTGATGTGGCCAGCCCGCGGCGTGTCCCAAGACAGCTACCCCCTGAACAGTCGGTATCTACGCAGGAAAAACATTACCAATGCATAGGGGAGATTGTCAGTGGGCCCTTGGCCATCAAGCCTGATCAGTCCATTCACCAGCTTGACTTTGAGGTCTCTGACGACGAACTGAAGCGCCTGAGCACGTATAGCATGTCTCCGGGCGAACGACAGGTTCTGTGCGACTATTTTGACGGTTCGCTTCGGTTTCGGCTTCGTGTCTGCGAGGTCGATCTCAATAGCCGAGGGTCGTTGTCGGAAGCAGCGTGGTCGACATTGTCGACACAGTGGCCAGGCCATATCTACGTCATGTGCAACAGTCAGGCAGTCAAGATTCGGCGCAAACTGCACAACGGCCAGGACCAGCCAGCCGAGCTGACGAGGCTGATTCGAGCAGGGCGGAACGTGCTGAAGCTGTCCGTATCGAACGTGACGCCCAAGGCAGGGCATGCCACGATGGTGGCGGTGGAAAAGGTGGTGACGCTCACCCACAGCCGCATCATGGCCATGGTCTCTGAGCGAGGGGTACTTCCCGCGGAAGCGACGAGGCGCATTGTGCGAGAGCGACTGACACCGGTGGGCCAGAACGGTGGTGACGATGACGACGTGCCCATCATCTTCAGTAATCTCAGCATCGACTTGGCAGACCCCTTCACGGCCACCATGTTCAAGATTCCGGTGCGGGGCTCCTCGTGCACGCACCTAGAGTGTTTTGACCTCGAGGTCTGGCTCGGTACGAGGCTCGGCAAGTCAACATCGGTTCACTCGCTCAAGTGCGGCTGTGGGCTATGCAGACGCAGCAGGGCACTGGGCGCGGAGCCGTCGCTGACGGACAAGTGGAAATGTCCACTGTGCGACAAGGACGCCCGACCAGGCAGCCTACGAGTTGACGGATTCATGGTGGAAGTGCGAGAAGCTCTTGTGCGCCGGGGTCTGACACGCACCAAGAGTATCAACGTCGGACCGGACGGAACATGGAGTCCCAAGGCGGAGCAGCCGGATAGCGAGGACGAGGAAGATGTAGAAGCAGATTCGCAACGGCCGCCAAAGCGGGCCAAGACGGGTCACCAGACGGAGGTTCGGGGGGCGGTCGAGGTGATTGTCTTGGACTGAAATAGCCATTTCCATTTTTGGGTCAGTCTCTCCTGTGCCACGCCTGGACGTGGCAGGGCGAAAGGGATTTTTTTTTTTTCGTTTTCTGGCTTTTGCTTTTCCAGCTTGTTCTCTCCTTTCTTTTTCTCCCGCTCTCTCCCTGTCTCCTTCCCACTTGAAAACAAGGTTTGCGATGATACCACGTGGCTTAGGCGTTTAGGAGGAAGAGAATGTCGGTCGTCTGACGACGATTTTGATAGCGGGCGGCAAGGTAGTCGTGGCATGGGCTGCGTAAATGTTGCAGCGGCGAATGGATGTGAGCCCGGGCCTGACTGGGAAGGACTTTCGATGGCCTCCTTGCCCTGCTAGATAGCTGATATGTGGTACCTACCTAGGTATCTAGGTGGTTAGGATAATAGTTAGGCATGGCTTACACTACTTTGTGCTCCTCTTGAAGACGGCCTTTGCGACTGCCTACCTACCTACCTAACTTGGGCAGGTACCTATGTAAGGTAGGTAGGTAGGTCAGCTCTGTACTGTCCCTCGGTGCCTGTGGTAGCTCGGCGGCAGGTGGCTGCCGCACTGCACCTGGATGCGGCATGCACGTACGACACAGGAAAGGAGGGACGAGGCGGACAGGCGGCAATGACATCTGCCCCACGAGCGCCACCAAAACGAAGCAGAGCGTGGCCCGTGAGAGACACTGATGAGGTGTGCAGGCACCTTGGCACCTACCTACGTCTTGGCAAGGTACGTGAGCAGGTGCGCAGGGCAGGTGGGCGGGCAATTGGGCAAGTGGGCACGTTAGGTAGGTACCGAAGTGGGTTGCCCCATGCACAGCCTGCCTTGGTGTTCAGTGACCACCTTCATCCTGGCGACGAAGGGACGTCAGTTTGTCCCACTGTATGTCTGCCAATTTGTCAAGTCTGCTTGTCTGCCTGTCTGCCTGTCTGCCTGTCTGCCTGTCTGCCTGTCTGCCTGTCTGCCTGTCTGTCTCATCGCGCATCGTCAGTCCGCCAACTGCTTCGCCTCGGATCACCCCAACAGACAAGGTATTGGAGTACGTGGCCCAGTGCGCGTACCGCGCGGCTGGTCTCTGTTCTGGTGCTCGGGGGACAGGCACGAAACAAGAAAGACGCCTGGACCCGGACTTCTACTATTCGCTTGTCAGTAGCTGTATCCATTCTCGATCATCTTCCATCGAATCAATTCATCAAGCCGCGTTCCGCAAATCCCTCGCTCGCCACGTCTCTTGTCTCGACAAGCCTCGCTCGAACCAGCCACAGTCACCACCAAGCAGCCCCGAGCCACCTCTGCTCCTCGTCGCTCACTTAGGACCATCTCACAGCTTCGCGGTCTCACTCAAAGTCCCACAGTCCTACGGCTTAACAGTCACAGTCCCACGGCTTTACAGTCACAGTCCTACGGCTTTAAGTCTCACAGTCTCACGGCCCCACGGTTCCACCACGTACCTACAAGTAACCCCCCGACGCCTCACATCCACCCCCGGCCGCCCTCCTGACGTGACCTGGCCGCTGCTCTCGGGTGCAACCCGCCACCATGTCGATTCGCATAGCCTTGGACGATCAACCCGAGTTCTACACCAACCTTGACTCCATCGATGGCCGCATCATTCTGTCCTTGAGCCGCCCCGAGAGCGTCGGCGGCATCATTGTCAAGCTCGAAGGAGAGTCCAAAACGGCTCTCGCCATTCCCGGCGGCTTCGATGACTACGGCACCCCGCAACCGCCCCGGCTTCCCGGCAGCGGCCCCCCTGGCAACGTCCTGAGCGAGAACCACAAGATTCTGTACAAGGTTCAACAGGTCTTCCCTACCTATGAGGACGATGTCGCCAACGGCTCCGTCGGCGGCAACTTTGTCCTCCCCAGCGGCCAGCATGAGTTTCCCTTCAAGTTCAAGCTGCCCCTCAACAACGCCTGCAGCGACCCCGTCGCCATGTCCAAGATCGGAGGCCTCGGCGGCCTCGGCGGCTTTGGCGCCGGGGGTGGCATCTTTGGCATCGGTGGCATGCGTGTTATGGACGGCAGCAAGCAGCTGTTCATGCCTCACGTCACCAAGACACTGCCCCCCTCCTTCACAGGCATGCCCATGGCTGCTGAGGTGCGTTACTACGTCAAGGTGACCATTCAGCGGCCGGGCCTGCTCAAGGAGAACTGGCGCTACCAGATCGGCTTCAAGTTCATGCCCATCGAGCCCCCTCGCCCTCCCCGCACCACCCAGGAAGCCTTTGCGCGCCGCCCCTTCACCTTCAAGCCGCGCATTTCCACGCCAGCCGTTGCACCTCCTTTACAGAAGAAGCGTAGCTCCTTCTTCATGACAGCCAAAGACAAGGAGAGGGAAAGGGAGAAGGAGAAGGAAGAAGCCTCGAGTAAAGCGTTCGCCGAGGCCGCCCCGCCTTCGATCGAGCTGTCTGCTCGTCTTCCTCATCCCCCCATCCTCACCTGCAACCAGCCCGTTCCGCTGCGGCTCATCGCGAAGAAGCTGGTGCCCTCGAACGAACAGGTGTATCTGACCTCTCTGCAAATCGAACTAGTGGGCACCATGACCTTGCGAGCTCACGACTTGAACTACAAGCACCCAAGCCGCTGGACCATTGTGCATCAGGTCAACCTCAACACGCCGCTGCTGCAGAATCCAGCGACGGACGAGGTGGGCGTCGAGTCTGTCGTGCCCGATGATGTCTGGCGGCACGTCCCTCTGCCCAACACGGTTGCGCCTTCCTTCGCCACGTGCAACCTCCAGCGGACCTACGAGCTCGAGCTCAAGGTGGGCTTGAGCTGGGGCGCGCCCACACGCAACGGAGGCCTGCTGGCCCGCAAAGAGCCGCCGCCGCAGACCATCTACCTGCCGCTGACGTTTGCCAAGGTCCAGGTCTACTCCAACATTGCTCCGCCGCCGGGGCTGCTGCAGTCCCTGCAGGAGCAGCAGAACAAACCAGCCGCGGCGACTCTGAGCCGGCCCCCAAGGTTACCGCCGCGAACGAACACGGCGGGCATGGCTTCGTCGGCTTCGACGCACACAATGGCGCATCCGCACCAGGCGCCGCCGCAGCCACAGCATGACCCGCTGTATCCGCCACAGCTCAGCAACGACGGTGCACCGCCGCCGGACGACGCGCCTCCGAGCTACGACGAGGCCATGGCGGACACGGCAGGTGCGCCGTTTGAGGGGACGGCCCAGGCGCGACCGGCGTTTAGCGGTGTCACGAATGAGAACGCGCCCAGTGATGTGCCGACCAAGAGCTAGGGAGGGAAGGGGGGCGAATGAGTTAGCGCGAGGGACGATACTGTAACGAACTGCACGATGAATGGCATGATGGGGGCATAGATACCAGGAGCGGACGGGCGGTGTCACAGGCTAGAGAGGCGTTGCGGTTACTTAATGGTCATTGGCTCCGTTTGAATCTAGATGAAGGGCACACGATAATCGATGTCTATATTCCGCTCCCTTCTCACTTTCTGCAGGCTTTTCATGTATGCCTGGAGACAGCGTACACGGATTTTTTTCTTTTCGTTTAACCAAGACCACGATGTGTCCGTTTGAATTTCCGTTTGACACCAATTAGAGGCCCTCCTTGGCCAGCATGTCAGCAATGTCGAGATACAAGGCGACGGCGTTGAAGGGCCGGCGCTGCCCGGTCCAGATGCGCCTCGTCTCCCAGCGCAGGCGGTTCGTCCAGTTGATGAGGTCGAGATGGCTCACGCCGCGGAGGGTGCCGCGGTAGTCCCCCCAGCGGCTGCTCTGGACGCTGACGAGGCCGTCGTTGGGGCCCTCGTCGCGCGTGACGACCCGCCAGCTGTGGCGGAAGGGGCTCAGCAGGCCGGGCAGGTCGGTGGCGGCGCCGAAGCTAAAGTAGCGCGTGTCCGGGTCGTCGGGGGTGGCCGGGTTGAAGTCGTCGCGCAGGTAGGCCGTCGTCAGCTGGTCGAAGGCGCCGGTGCCGAGGCCGACGGTGCCCATGACGCCGTACCAGTCGGACAGGCGGGCGGCGTGCAGCATAAAGTCGGCAAAGGCGCTGCCGTGGTGGGGCGTCGAGATGGTGACGAGGCTCGCGACGCGGACGCCGGCGGGCCGCAGGCGCGCGATCATGTAGCGCGCGTCGAGGCCGCCCATCGAGTGGGCGATGATGTTGACGGGGCGGCCGCGGGGGGCGCCGGCCTCGATGGCGACGGCGAGGGCCTCGGCGCGCTGCTCGATGGAGCCCGTCGGCGGCACGGACGGCGTGATGATGGGCAGCGAGGGCGCCAGCGTCTGCAGGGCGTCGGTGATGCCGTGCCAGTAGTGTATCGCCGGCAGGAACTGGAGGGGCGCGCGGATCTCGGAGAAGCCCAGGAGCCCGTGGGCCAGGACGAGCGCGTTCTTGGGCGACTCTGCCTTGCGGTCAGCTTGGGACAAGGGGGCGTCGGCGAACCTTCAAAGGGAGAGGGTCGAGGGGTACCATAGTGATCTCTGACTTGGGCGTAATCGTCCAGGATCTCCCTTCCGAGCTCCTTGAACCTCGGGTCATGGTGGTCCTTCCATGGCTGTGGCGAGGTGTGCAGAGTCCTCGACCGCGTTGCTCGAGACGCTGCGACGGGTGCTGGTGACGCCCGGAAAGCCAGGCGCGCCCTCGATATCATGATACGACTGCGGACATGGAGATTGGGGGCATGATCGTCGTCTAGTCTAGGTGCTCGCTGTGCATCATTGGATTTCGGTCACAGGCAAAGATTGACACCGAGGCATGTGGGCAAGTAGGCAAAATAGCAAGCGCCAGCGCGTCTCGTTCTTGACGTCACCGAATCCAGCCGTCTGTGGCGGGTCTGTGGCGGGGTCTGTCATACTGCCGGGCTACTGCCTGGTGGTACGTTCGTATGGTACTAAGGTGCCTTTCCCTTAGCTGGTGTCTACCTAAGGTACCTAGGTACTTAGTAGCTCATCAGGCCTCGCTCCAACAACACCTCGAAGGCTGAAGACGATTGCATAAAATGACTTGTCTGCCGCTGAGAAAGACTTACATTGATCCGTCGTGCTTTTCAAGTGCTGCTCCCTGCTGCCAGCTCATGGGCGTCGTTCAATCTGGCACACACGCAAGTCGGATACTGTGAGACGCTTTGGAGTTTGGACTGTGGACTTCTCGCGCAAGCGCAAGAATTCTGAGTATACGATGCTGGCTCGCTGGCCTTGACTACGAAACCTTGTAAATGCGCAACTCGGTTTGGTACTACCTGGCTAGTCTGATGGCGGCTTCACGATCAACGGCATTGGACGACGTCGGGGCAACGGCCACACAATGTCCCTTTACGCCGCCCAATGGAGCACAAATTGGATGATTGCAACGTTGGGTTTGGGTATAGAGGTTCGAAAGCTCCCATGTTACCCTCTTCTCCTCTACAGTATGTATGCATCGGCCGCGACAGACCTCTATTCCAGCAAAGCCATGCAATTCAAGGTGCTAATGGTGAATCTTGTATCCTGGCAGCCTGGATTGCCTAGTCCGACGACACACGGCATATACGCCAGCAGGAGACACATTTCATCGCGACCCCGAGTATTCCGGGACGCCCTCGAGCCCCCCTCGAATCTGCCTTGCGTCAATCTGTAGACAGCGAGCACACGTGCACAGGACACTCACAGCCATCCGAACCTGGCAGACATCCGGACGCTTTTGACCGACGTGATCCATTCTCACGCCTCACGGGGGAAGATCCCCTCGCACCATGTTGGTCACATCTGCACTTGGTCCTTTGACTTTGCGGCCCCCACTTACATGAGGGGTTGGGTCTGGGTCTGGGTCTGGAGCTTCGGCATACGATGCTGATCCTCGTTCGAGATGTGGTGTTTTCTGCAACCTCGACACCCCGTCTTGCCCAAGATCCGCAGCATCACAGGCGAGCGAATGGCGCGGGAGGGCGGCCGCCAACGAGGCCATGCCAGAGAAGCATCACTTTTCAAGTGCCAAGTAGAAACCCAGGTGCGCATCTCCGGCACATGCCTTCACGAGCATAATCGCGACGCTGGGCTAGGCACCGCGACGCTGGGCTAGGCACCGTCGGACAAGGATCTGTTCGTGATTTGTCCCTAGGCAACAGGCGAATAGTCAGAGGGCGTGAGTTGGTCCACCCCTGGACGAGCGCATCTTGCGCACCTGTCAATGTCTGTCATTGTGACCATCAACCACGAGACGACTGCGTAGGGTGACATTTGTGCAAGGGTCGTCGAGCACGTTATGCACGTTTGGTCTTTGAACCCGACTCGAGACGTGCTGAACCTGCCGAGGGCGCGTCTGTCGAGATGCTAAGCCCTTGGCAGCTCCGTGTAGCCGCGGCAGCGTAGAGGAGTAGCGCGACGGCCGAGCCCCCCGGGGCTAGTCTCAGCCACAGGAACAGGCACCACGGAACCAGAGAGACGCGGAAGACGGGAGGAAGTCTGGGCGTTGAATGGCGGAGAAAAGGCTGAGGGCGAAGCAAAGGCTGAAGGGCGAAGAAGAGGCTGACTGAGTGACTGCCTCCTTGCTGTGGGTGCAGCCTGCTGTGGGTGCAGCCTCGCCCTCGACATTCGTTGCCTCAAGGCCTCAAGTGCTCTTCCTTCGTGCTGCTGCTGCCCTTTGACGACCTCCCGACCTAAACACATGGTACTTACCTAGGTACCCAAGGTGTCCTTGTCATCTGTCCCCCTCCAGAGTCCGAAGTAGGTGCGCCTCTAGCTTCTCCTCGTTCCGCATGCAGTTATTCTCTCGTCTACGTTTTCCGCGTCTTGTGCCTCTTTTCCTTCCGCCTTCTCCATCCGGCCCGTCTCCATACTTACTGTCTTCTGTCTGTTGGCGCCAACGTCAATTCCTGACTCGAGCGGTCATGGAGAGCCAGCCTCCCGCAGCCCCCCCCCCTTCTGGCCCCATCGACATGCTCATTTCGAGTTATCTGCATCATGCAACCATCGGCATTTCCATCACACGATCGTGTGCTCGAACCATGATGGGTACAGATGGACACTAGATGGAACACAGATGGGGAAAGATGAGCGAAGAAGAGGGGAAGCCGGCCGTCCAGAACAGGTGACAACAGAACAATGCATTGTACTGACCACCAACCGCGCACCTCATGTGGACCGCCACCTCTTGCTTATCGTGCGCATATGCCTGAGAGGCGGGGGGGTGTGGGAAAGATGGAGAAGACGCATCTGCCGCCATCGACTTTCTTCAGTCCAGGAACCGTTCCGCCCGCCCCTCCCGAAGATCTCTGCCCTACCTGCCCTCCTTGGCACAACGGCCTGCCTGACGAAAGCTGTTCATCATTGTGAGCAATCAAGGCAAGCAGGCAAGCAGGCAAGTAGGCAAGCTCGGCAGCCAACAGGCAAGCAACCCTAGCTGCATGCATGCCATCACCAACGACGACTGGTGCGCGATGATACGGAATCTGCCGCCCCTGCAACTCGGCCAGTGGGGGGGAGGGAGCAGAGAGCCTAGAAGAGAGGGCCTCAAGGGCCTGGAGAAGAGGAACCTGGCAATGAGAGCCTGCGGGGCGGTGGCACAGACGCGTGATAGCCTTTGCCGCACACACCACACTACTCAACTCATTGGACCAGAGGGACGCCAGAAGCGCCGACAGCAGACTAAGGTCGCGTTCATTGCTACCCTGTCATATGCGCCGTTGTGGCTAAAGGGTGCTCCCGCCAGTCGGCCTTCCATCATTGGTGCTTTCTCGCGGCCGTATGGGGTTGTCGCCGGGGGGGAAAGCCTGAAGAGAGACAGTCTGAGTCTGGTCTGCAGACAGTCTGAGCCTGGTCTGCAGATCGCTACTCTCCTTCGGCATAGCCCAACCGGTCTGTCGGGTCCGCAACACGCCAGCTCCTCCGCCCGAAGACCTCTCCACAAGCCGTTGTGCCCCCCCCCCCCTTCGTCGGACGGCCCTCCGACAATTCCTTCCCGTGTGAGCCGATCTGAAAGGTGGTGGTGGCGGTGGGGGCCAAACAGCCTTCCTCTAGTCCATGCCGAATCTGCCTGAAATCTAGAAAGGTTTTCCTGTCATTGGGAGGGTGCCGTGGGTGTTTGCGTCTCTACGAATCATTCAACCGGTCCAACTAGGGGGGAGGGATTGGCTCCCCCCCCCTCCCTTTTCTCGTGCTCCTCATTCTCCGGCCAAAAAAACTACCTACTTGGGTAGATGGGCATGGTTGGTCGCAGCAAGTTAGCTGCTTGCTGACCTGGTGTTGGCACACAACACGACACAACACAACACACCCCGACACGGCAGACAACATGCGCGCAAGTGGACATTGCTGCCTCGGGATCGGGGTAAGGGGGTGCAGGGCGAGTGGGACTCTGCACCTGTGAGGCCTTTGTGCGCCCCCAAAAACATCCATGGTATATCCAACGCACCATTACTTTGTAGAACCGGACAGTCGGGGCATGCTGGCTGTCAACGTGTTGGTCTCGCCTGCGTTACCCTCCTCCTTGTCAGTTCTCGCCCTCGCACCTTACCCTCGCCCTCGCCCTCAACTTGCGTCTCGCCCCTCCACTGCTCCTCGAATCCCTTCGAATCAAGGTATATAGCCCCAGGCCTGCCGAGCTCGCCCTCTTGTCCTTGCCCTTCCCCTTCCCCTTCCACCAAGCCTGCTCAGCTAGGTCCATGATGAGATCAACTCATCGCTGCCTGCCCAGCGAGACCAAGTCATGGCAGGTGACTGTACCACAGACACCTGTCCAGTGAGCCAAGGCTTTCTCAACTACCGTCCTACCCGACCAGGCAACGCCGTCTTCCTCGCTGCTTTCGCCCTGCTCGTACCCGTGACCCTGGCCCTCGGCTATCGATTCAAGACGCCCATTTTCGCTTCCATACTGACGACCGGCCTGCTTCTAGAAGTCCTCGGCTTTGCTGGACGACTGCTTCTCTTTGACAACGTCGCCAACAAGACCTACTTTGCCCTGTTCCTTCTCGGCACCGTCCTCGGCTCGACGTTCATTGCCGCCTCCATCTTCATCATCCTGCCGCACGCCCTCTCGGTTTACGGTGCAAGGGCCAGCTCTGTCCAGCCGAAGCACATTGCTCTCGTGTTATCTGCTGTAGCTCTTGTTGCTGCCATTGTTGAGATCATCGGAACTGTCTGCGTTGCCTTTGCTGTCTTGGAGGTGAGTCTTTTGTCCTGCCAGACCCGAGGCTTTCCTGCCCACCAATTTCTAACTAAGTCAGGCCCCGCAGAACGCCAACATCCTCGTGACGGGCCTTGCCATACAGACTGCTGGTTTGGTGGTCTTCGTTGCTGTCCATTCCTGGTTCACCATCAACCTGAACGGCGAACGTAGCAGGCTAGACCCAAAGCACGCCACCGTGTACCGGTCAGCACGCTTCAAGCGTTTCCTCCTGGGTATGTAGTAATCCACAAGTGCACTCGATGATATGGGTTGACTGAAAAATATCTCCAGTCACGCAAGCTGCGACAGTACTGCTTCTCGGCCACACGATCTACCGAATCGTGGAAACAGCCAGTGGCCTCGACGGGCCTCTCGCACAGAGCGAGGCTGCTTGTATGGTAGTCAACGGTGCACTTCCATTCATAGTCTGTGCCCTCCTCGCAATCTTCCACCCCGGCGTGGCCTTTGGCAAAGCTTGGGGTCCCACGTCACCTTGTTTGCGCAAGCGTTACACCCGCCCAGCACCTCTCCGTTCGCCAGTAGCGACCTTCGAATACAGCCGAAGCCCCGATCAAACAGCCTTTGACAAGATGACGACTCCCACGTCGGCAACCATGCCGCTGCAGAATGCCACCATGGCAACCACAGTCAAGCAAAACCCCGTCACGCAAACCACCACGCAACAGCCTCTGTCTGTCGGGATGACGCAGAAGAACAGTCCGACGTTCTGGAAGGAGCAGCAGAGACGCCACTCGCAGAGGCTCAGCTCGACCTTCCTCAGACAGTCGCCCAAGACGAGCCCTACCTTTGAGACGAACCAGATGCAACAGCCCAGGCCGAGCCCGACAGCCCAGCACGGCTCTCGGCCACACTCTCAGTCGCTGTCGGGTCACAGGACGAGTCTCAAGTCAGAACAAGCCGCAACGCGGGGCAAGTTGGTGGACAGCGAGACGCTCTGGTAATTCAGGGTACCGAACGAGGTAGACATGGTTCGACTTTTTATTCGGTCGTGCTGATTTTCTCACTCTTCTCTCCTTTATTTCTGATACCTGGCTTCGTTTTGTTTGTTTTTGGTGTTATAGGAAGTGGCGTCCTCCTCCTTATTTTAGATGAGATTCATCAAAGTTGAACCATTCGGGCTTCGGATGCAAGACCGATAGTACCTTTTTTTCTTCCTTTTTCTTGCCATCAGTGGAAGCAGGAATTTGATGGAGCAGTCGGGAACGGCTTTACCTTTCTGGCCTTGTGAGCCAAAACAGCCACTCTTTAAGGTAGTCAGGCAGGGCCTGTCAGCTCAGACCCCTTTGTTCCCAAACGGACAGACTGTCATTCCTCGCATCGCGAGACATGTTCATCCTCCAGAGGAGGGGCGTCCGTTCCCAAAGAAATTGATCACACACTCCGCCAATGTTCTGCTCCCCCACCCATGTGCCGATGATGCCTCGTACATAAAATCGCGCCCATCCACACCACTCGATTCCACGTTGTCGGTCATGCCAGCCACAGTTGCTCCATGTCCGTTTGCAGCCACCAATAGCCATTCTTACAACAAAGAAGGGAACACCAGGGTGAAGAAAAGAAAGAAAGAAAGGAGAACAAACGAACGAACAAAAAACGCTTACACAAATGGCAGAAGCACCTGCTCAGCCCCCCGTCTTGCCTCTGCCGTTCAAGCTGTCGAGGTCAGAGAAGAGAATCATCCTCTCGTCCATCAACGGCAGTCTGCTGCGGTCCCACGCCGCCCTCGAGCTGGCGAGGGCCCTGACGGCGCCCGACGGCGCCCGCGCCCCCGACCAGCGACGCGGCCGCGACGCGTACCTCGACGCCCTGGCGCACGCCAGCGAGGCCCACAGGGACGCCGTCGAGTTTCACCGCTGGCAGCAGGCGGCGCGCGCGCAGGGTGTACCGCGGCCACTGCTTCCGCGGCTCGGCGCGTGGCGGCGCGCGCACGCGTGCTACGTGCGCGGCGCCAGCGTGCGCGGCGGCGCCTGGGCGGCCGTGGGACATTGAGGGCCTGACGCGGGAGTGTCAGGACAAGATGGGGGAGGAAGCGGCGGCGGCGGCGGCGGCGGTTGGGACTGGCAGATGGCCGGACGAGGGGCCCAAGACGGTGAGCTTCAGCCCTGTTGAGGAGCACCTTCTCGATCAGGCGTCGGCGGGGGTGCCGGCCAAGATCGCGGATGTGACGTCCGAGGGCGATGGTCCGCTCGCTGGTGAGTCGTGCTGGATCCGGAACGCCGAGGGACGCATCGTTGCCTACCGCTGGGAGAAGCCACAGCTGAGGAGGGTCGAGGGGACGGCGTACCTCAAGTGGTGGGAGGAGGCGGTCAAGCCCATTGAACTTGACGAGAACGACATTTGGTTTACCAAGTGAGCTTGGCATAAGCCGACTACGCACGAAAAGCAGCGCCGTTCAGTGGGAAGCTGGACTTCTACGAGGTATGCATTTCATAACATAGAGCACTCCCACATTGCTGTTATTAAAAAATAGAAAAGTCGATCCGTAAGAGACACGGGGTGAGCTATGCTAATTCTCGTCTTTGTCTTCGCAGAGTAGTCGGGCTGGCTCAACAATGTTGCCGCCACCTCCTTTGTCGTGCCTTGAGCCTCGACGCCGGCCTCTTTCTTTGAGGGTACGGTCATCAATGCTTGGCTTCAGAAGTAGGTGCTTCGCTAGTCGTCGTGTCGTCTTTTGATAAACAGCAGCATGCGATGGCCTGTCTAGGAGGTTTTTTTCCCACCCTGGCCACCTCTTGCTTTTATCGGACTCAAACTTCAAACCACGGCTTTCATCTTCACTAATAAGAAGGAAGGTTTGTCACAAAATGGCAGATGACCACAATACCGTTGAGGGTGACAAAAGTCCACCTCACAGTCAACAGCAGAGCGAGCACTCAGAGAAGAAAGAAGACACGGTCGACTATGGAAAAGTGAGACCGTTCCCGAGCCGAGATCATAGAGAACTGCGCAAGCGTGTTTGGGTCAAGCCCAGACCCATGAGCGATGACGAGAAGAAGCGCATCATAGCCAATTACGAGGCAGACTTTCACGACTTCGAAAAGGATGCGGAGGAGGCGGGCATTTTGGAGGAGGGCGGATCGAACGAAGGGTCATGGGATGTCGACGAAGATAATCCACACGGAATAGCCACCAAACGTGTGCACTTCCTTCGGGCAGATCTCGAGGCAGGTCTCTCTCCAGAGGAGAAGGCGCTCGCACGAAGGCAACAGCTCGAGCAACAGACAGGCGAAGAGGTTTCCGACGATGGCTGGTTTGCCATTTGGTCGCACGAGACGGCCAACGACGGCATGATCGAGCGCCTCCGCCGGTGGGCTGCCGGCCGAGACTCGGTGCCCGTGGCGTACTTTAACGCCTTTATACAGAAAACATATGCTGCAACATATGACGCCATCACCGAAGAGGATCGTCTCCGGGCGCAGAAGCTGTCCATGCAGATTGACTACGACGCGCGGCTCGAGCAAGATCAGAAGGACTATGATACCCGGGTTGCCCGCTCGCGTGCGGATGCGATGGCTGCTGCAGAGGTAGCGCTCCTGACTAAAATGATACAAGACACACTTGAACAGATTTTGGAAGAGTCGAGACTACAAGACGAACCACCGTCTGTGGCCTTTGCCAAGGCACACGCTGAAGCAAGCAAGGCCCTCACAGACCGTACGCGGGCGGAAGAGGCTGTGGACGAGACCACAAACCGACATATCCCCCCCAACTCTCAGATGATGGGGGAGAAGGACGGTCACCTGCGCACTGCCATGAATAGTCTGCATGCTCACCTTGGTAGTCAGCCCTCAAACGCGGCATCTCTTTATAGACTTGTTGACGCCCTGCTCACTTCATCGGGTGGACGACAAGAATCTCGACAGGGCTTGTTTGATACCCAGGAACGGCTGCGACAGAACGCAGATGAACGGGCGAAGAATGCCTTGAGGGTGCAGAACTTGGGGTTCCAACACTTTATTGAGCTCGAACAGCAACTTCATCATGCTACAGCAACGGTCGCACAGGTCCAGAAAGACCTTCGAGACCGCGATGATGAGCGGAAGAACCTGTGGCTCGTCGTTCACTCGATGGAAAACTCAATGATGAAGCAAGCCGTTGTCAGCATCAACAAGTATCGAAGGCTCGTCGCGCAGCGAGTCCGAAACAATCTTTCCGAACAAAGCCACAGACTTCTTACCGAGGCCAACAAGCTTGAGCGCTCAATCTACTCGTTTGAACAGCTCAGTGAGGTGTTGCAAAACACCACCCTGCCGCCCCCGGCCGATATCGCAACCCGCATCACCGACGAGCTCACACGCATCGCCTCGCTCTTTGAGAGCGCACCGGACAGCATCCGCAGCCTGGCATCAGGCCTCCTGGACCAGGAGATTGAGGAAGAATCAAAGTCCAGCGAGCGGTCGGCCGAGGCAGACACTCAGGCGAAGCTGCAGGTTCTCGAGGACGAGGTCAAGCAGCTAAGTGATGACAAGAGGCGGCTCGAGGCACAAATGCTGAGTATCAAGGACACGACAGACATCTCGGCGCTCCTCGACGCGCAGGACGCCGACAGGAGGCGGGCCGACGAGTGCCAGCGCGAGGCGCAAGAGCTACACTCGCAACTGCGCGAGTCGAGGCTGCAGGGTATCGCGACCGCACGTGAGGTACAGACACGTATCAGCGCCATGCAGAGGAGCCTCAACCGGGCGCACGCCCCAAGCAAGGTGCTTGAGCGGCAGGCGGAGCAGGCGAGAGAGGAATGTCGAACGGCGGAGCTGAGGGCGGAGATTGCAGAGGCCAAGGTCAAGGACCTCATGGCGACGCTGCAAGAGGTGAGCGGCGACTGTATGAAGATTTTACCCCAGTCCGAGACGGAGACCACGTCACCCACGGCCACGGCCACGGCAGCGGAGGTGAGCGATGACAAATGCACGAGGGAGAATCACAGGGGCCAGATCGAGAGGCTCACGAGCGAGCTGGAGAAGCTGAAGACGAAAAAGGAGGGCGCCGCGTCCAAGGCCTCGTTTGCGGCACGCCGCGAGCTCGAGAATGAGTTGCGAATCAAGACACTAGACGTGGAGAGAGCGAAGGCGGAGCTCATCGAGGTCAGGGAGTCGATGGCGGTTCAGGTGCTTGCGGGGGTGGACGAGAGGACGAGTGGCATCTGTAAAGAATTGGTCGCGAGCAGAATAGCGGCGAACATGAGCAACGACGAGGTGGGGGAGGAGGTACGGAGCGCCCTGGAGAGGTCGCTTGACGCGCACAAGGTGTTCAACACGAAGCTCCTCGACAGCAATTGTGAGCTGCGTAGGCTGCTGAGCGAACACAACCAGGCGTACGCCAGACTGCAGCTGGCGCGATCAGGTGAAGCACTGTCAGGCGAGGATTTCAGAGGAAAGCTCGTGGAGCTTCAGCAGGAGGTGGCGGCGATCCTGGGGCGCGGCGAGGACGATGTCGAGGCACCGGCGACGACGACGTGGGGTCAGGGGCAGCGGCAGTCGGTGATGCGCATCCAGCAGGTATTTGCCGGGAGGCCGTCGGCGGAGGAGGCAGCGGCGGGCCTTATGAGCCGTCCACAGATCGAGGCGTACTGGAAGTACCTGTCATTTCAGCGGCAGCGGGCGCAGGCCGTTAGTGCGCTACGACACGCAGACTGGCACGGGGCACAGGCGAGGCTCGACAAGCTGGACAAGTGGTTCGAGGGAGCTGGCCCGTGGCACCAGTTCTATCGGGAGTCTGAGATTCAGGGGTCGCTAGCATTCGTGCGCGCTTTCTGCCTAGCTCGGACTTCTGGCGACATGCGGAAGAGCGGCGATGTAGGCTGGACAGTCGTACGGGACGCTTCAAAGCAGGAGCTGGAACGTGCCAGGAATATTTGCTATAGCGATGGTGGTGATGGTGTCGACGAGAGTGATATTTTGTCAGGAGAAGAGACACGATACGTGCAAGTGTGGCGGAATTTTGGGACACGCGCTGAGCACGAGTTGGATGCGTTGTTCTTGAGGGGGAATGATGGGAATGAAGGGGCCGAGGGCGATGAATAGGAAGGAGAATTACTGCTTGGAAGAACGAATGCTCGAAAATCAGCTTAAGGACTGTGCCGTTGTTGAGATGAGGTCGTAGACAGCGGGGTAGGAACCATGGATTGTGCCTCTCGAGCCTAGGTAGGGAGGCAGGCACCACCTGTGCATGTGCAGTACAGGCATACGGAAGGCGGGCACCTGCCCACTCACGATGATGCCCCTTTCCCCTCGTCTCCCTCGATTCTTTCCCTTGGCTTCAACTTTGCTGTGCCTTCTCTGTTCGATCGATGCCACCACTGCTACCTATGTTGAGCAGTCGCATCCGCCCGGTCCGAGCGTTCTTGTTACTACTGCTGCCTGCTGGGCAGCCTTCCAAGTGGGCAAACCATCGCCAAGGTAGGTACCGAAGGTAGCTGCAACTGTGGACAACGGCTGCTTTTTGAGTTGACCCATTTAACTTTGCAATGGCTACTCACAATTGTCACTGCTATCGGCTGAGCAACTGTCTGGCCTTCCTCAGTTATTGTCCCGGTGAGATACCAGTACCTGAGGTAGGTAGGTACCTACCCACCTGGCATCTCAAGATAAGATTCTACAGTAGTCCCTCGCTAGCTGCACTGACATGATGACATGGGACGAAGGGAGCATTGACGATTCTCGTGTCTAACCTGTCTAACGGCTTGGCACAGACAAGGGTCTCCTATCCACACACGACCAACAGCCATCAACAGGCGCTTCACAGCCAGACACCTCGGTCGAACGAAATATCGAGTCCCGAGAGTTTGGTACGGGGAGCAGATGATTCATTTTATTGCTGCAACATCTGCAGCACGCTTCGCCTCGATTCTTGCGCGGCAACTCCGCCCACTCCATCTGGCTTACAGTAGCCCGTTCTGGTCCTTTCTCCTCGACGCTCATCGTCCGACTTCTTACGCCCATGGACTCCTGAAATCAGAGTAGCATGGTCACATCCCAGAAGGGCCCAACATGTGCCCTGCACCTCATTTTCCTATGAGAGGCTCGCCTCCCGCAGCACCAGTGTCGGCTTGGCAAGCTGCTGGATAACTGCCCTCTGCCAGTCGCCGTTTGCTCGGTGGAGGACCATCCCCCCCCCCTCACCTTGACGCAAGACGGAGCAAAGACCGAGTACTCTTCTCGCTGACTTGGCGATCTTCTCTCCCCTCCACTCTTTTTCTTCCACCCAGCGCCCCTGGAGATAGCGGCCTCAAGCACCAACAACCACCATGAAGGTGCCCTTTCTTCAACAGCAGGCTCAACTCGAGAAAGGCCATTCTCGAACCACCTCGCAACCCGGGTCCTTACCGTTTATCACGGATCTCAAGGCAAAGCTGCTTCCCCTGACCCAACACAGCTACAGCATACCGAACCCTCTGGCGAGAGCCCTCAAGCTCGTCGCCGCCGTCCTCGTCTTCGTGGTCTTGTGCTTGAATCTACCTTCGAGGCGACCCTACGCGACAGACTTGGTCCTTGAGACGGCCGACCTGCGTAATGGCGCCCTTGTCTCTGTCAAGCCGGTCAGGCCGTCACATGCCGCTGACGACCTGGCCAAGTCCGTCAACGAAAGTACCCGCGACGCCCCCCCTACTACGACCCACGTCATGAACTGCAACACCGACGTGGGCAGGCTCCGCGAAATCGGGGCCGCCCACGATCTCGGGGACCAGATCGAGTACCTCAAGCACTACGTTCGCTTCACGCGCAAACCCATCGAGCGGCGGTCCTATACCATGCTGCAACAGAGCCTGCTGCCCGACAGTAGCGAAGTAGGCCAGAGCTTCCGCACGCTACGACTTTCCGAGAGCAACGTCCACGAGGCTGAATGTCGCAAGCCTCTCGACCTTGAGGTTCCCCAGTCACCCTTCCCCGCCAATGTCGATCTCTCCGACTACATCTTCGCCCTCACCACGACTTTCAAGCGCCTCAAGCACCCCAAAACGATCGAAGAGTGGGCCTACTGGCTGACAGATGGCAACGGCAGGACGAACGGCGGCAAACTCCTCGTTCGGCTCACCGACGCCTCCGACGTGGAGCTCAGAGATGTGACCCAGTGCCTCGCTGATGTGGGCATCGACGCCGAAGTGAGCGCTTGCGACAGTCGCATAGAGAAGGAGATGCCGTGCGCTATGTCGGCCTGGTCCCTCTGCTATATTCCCACAAGATATCGTCCACGAAACAGTGGTTCGTCTTGTGCGACGCCGATACCTTCTTCTCAGCCATGAACAGCCTCGTTGCGAAATTCAAACAGTACGACCCCACAATGTCGCTCTACATCGGAACCTTGTCCGAGGATGCCGGCGCCGTCAAGCTCCATGGTTCCCAGGGCCTTCGGCGGCGGCGGCGTCTTCCTCAGCCGGCCTCTGGCCAAGATTATATCAAGTGTCCATGATACGTGCAATACGCGGGTCAAATTGAAGGAGTCCAACTCGGGCTGGGGTCCTCAGGGAGATATCCTCCTCCGCAAGTGCATCTATGAGAATACCAACGTGCGCTTGACTCAACTCGATGACCTCTGGCAGCTCGATCTCTCGGGAGACGCGGCAGGCTTTTATGAGGGCGGTCTCAAACCCTTCAGTATCCATCATTTCAAGGGTCACAAGAATTGGTGGCACGCCTCGTTCCCGCTCAATACGACCAAGATTGCCCGCACTTGCGGCGGGGACTGCTCGTACCAACGTTTCGTCACCGCCGATAACTTTATCATCTCCAACGGCTACAGCATCGCGCAGTATCCCCAAGGCATCGACTTCGACCTCAACCAGATCGAGGGCACATTCCGCTCAGACATCAAAGTAGACGGAAAGAAAAACGGGTGGGGCTTTGACTACACCTTCGGCCCCCAGCGACCGCCACTCAGCAATACGGGTAAAAAGATGGCCTGGGACATTTACGATTCGCAGTACCTTGAGGACGGGTCCGTCTCACAGGTCTATGTCCGGAAGAAGGACGACGAGCGATGGACGACGAAGGACGGAAAGCCCATGAAAGCCCTTGATGGTATCATTGAGCTTATATGGATCCCAGCATGAAGTTGGGAAATGGGAGAAAAGTGAATACCTGCAGCTGAATCATCTGCGGAAAGAAGAACAAATGAGTAAAAAGACAAAAGGGGGGACCGAGTGCCGAGGCCACAGCGCTTTCACCATCGCGCTGCTGGGTACAGGATACGAGGAACGCGGGTTGACCAAACCTTCGGACATCAGGCGAGCACAAGTTCGTGTCGTTCACCTCTCATGCGCATGCAATCCCCCTTGAGTGATGCGTTTATACGCGATGAGGTGATTGATGGTGGATGGGCTGTTTCCTGCGGTTTGGGTGTTAAATCATTTTACCTACGTCGATGCACCTCATCCCACGTATTCTGCCTCACCTCGCATTAGGGTAGTGAAAAGGAGCTCATAAAACGAGGGCCGCTGCTGCCCCCCTGCTGAACAGACCTTAACTGTGAGAGGCTACATGTACAATCCAGGCCGGCGAAATATCGTCTTGGCTTTTCGCGAATCGGGGCTGCGGCACAGCTTCGTGACCGCTCATCTGCTGCGCCCAAGATACAAATTGAGGGTGCTGCCCCGTGCACTCGCATCAGATAATCGAGTCGATTGCCTGTATCATGCAAGGGTGCTTAAAATTCCCTACACCTCACAGCCTCGAAGCGGGTTTTCCGCCGACATTAGCAGATGGCAAGGGTCGAGCGACCACCAGGAGACGACAGGCTGCAGGCTGCGGACTGCAGACTGCAGATGAAGAATGCGTGCGAACTGCATCCCCAAAAAGGGGGTTCTGCAGTTCGTTCGCTGCACTGGATTTGCATATAGTCTGCCCAGGTTCGCCGATGTCGCAATTCCTTCTGTTCACCCAATAGTCCGGTGCTCATCAGTCGTCAATTCCATCGAGAGCAGCAACAATGCCGAGTCCGCGGGCGAATATGACGGTCGGCGCCTTACTGGCCCTGGGCGGTGCGGGCGTGGCGTCCAGGAGCTGCGTGTCCCGTTGCGTGAGCACGATCTTGATCTCCGGCCAGGAGATCGATCGCGGTGATTAGGATGATTGCTAACCTTGCGTGGCTTGTAGTGCTTGGATTTGAAGAACGCCCCTAGTCTCGAGGGTAAGGTCTACTTTCCCGACTCCGAGGCATACGAGGCTCGTCTCCAGACGTACTGGTCTGTCTCAGCGGCCCTCGAACCGTGGTGTATGGTGCAGCCGTCGACGGCCGAAGAAGTCTCGGTAGCGATCAGGACGATCGTGGCAGGTGACTGTCCCTTTGGCATCCGAGGTGGCGGACACGGCGCGCACGCGCTCTCCAATGGCGTCGAGCACGGCATCACGATCGACTTTGGTACGTTGAAGCTGCCCGTTTATCTTGACCACAAGTACCGTGTCTTCGAGAGGAGTCTTTCTGATCGATTCGGTTGTCATCAGGCCAGATGAACGGCACGACCTGGAATCCCGAAACCAGACTTGCATCAGTCCAGCCCGGAAGTCATTGGCAGACCGTGTACGATGAGCTTGCACCCTACGGCGTTGCAGTGACGGGCGGCCGAGCGGGCACCGTGGGCACCGGCGGTTTCATCAGCGGCGGCGGCAATTCTTTCCACTCGGCGTCGCATGGCATGGGTTGCGATACGGTGGCCAACTTTGAGGTTGTGCTCGCGGACGGCTCCATTGTCAACGCCAACGCGACCAGCAACCCGGACCTCTGGCAGGCGCTCAAGGGCAGCAGCGGGAACCTGGGGCTCATCACACGCTTCGATATGTACCCGATCGAGTTCCCGGATCCTGAGCGGCCGGTGGTCTGGGGCGGCAACCTGTACTACGACCTCAAGTCGGGCCCGGCCCTCGTCGACGCGCTGGTGCAGTTTACCGACAATGTGCACAAGGACGAGAACAGCTCGTCAATTGTGTACTGGGCACACCTACCCCAGATTCTCGGAGGCACCATCCTCAATGCTGCTGTGGAGAACACGCTGGGTGAGGTCAAGCCGGCAGCGTTCGAGGTGTATTACGACGTCGAGGGTCTTCACGACGACACGACCAAGGTCGATACGCTCTCCGCGGTGACCAATGCATTGGGGGCTGGACAGCCGGCAGGGTTCCGGTAAGTGGCGAGGTGGCCTGCCGTTGGAGGTCTCGAGACAGTCGAGACGATGTGTTGGCTGACACGTGTACCAGAAATGCCTGGTTCACAGCATCCTTCAAGAACGACGCACGACCGATGAACTACGCCGCGGAGAAGTTCCACGAGCTGAATGCAGCGATCGAGAAGATAGCACCGGCGTCGGTATCGAACTTCAACACGCTGTGCATGCTGCAGCCGATCACCAAATCCATCGTCGACAAGGGCGTCGCCAATGGAGGCAACATTCTGGGTTTGGAGAGCTACGTCGACGAGGGCAATGGCATCATGTTCCTCGTGACGCTGGCGATCAACGGGGCGGAAGCCGAGGCGCTGGCGTTGCCCCTGGTGGCAGCCTACCTCGAGGACATTGACGCGTACTCCGAGTCGTTGGGGTTGAAATGGGACTGGAAGTACCTCAACTATGCTCACAGCAGCCAGGAAGTCATCGAGACATTTGGCAAGGAGGCCGTCGAGAAGCTGCAGCGTGCATCTGCGAAGTACGATCCGCAAGGTGTGTTCCAGAAGCTGCGTGTGTCGGGCTTTAAGATCCCGTCGAAGTAGTAGCGACAGATTTGTGTCGTGTCTATGGAGGGGCAAGAGCGAAGACGCGCGCAGGTAGCTGATATGCCACTTGGCTTTGGTGGTTGGCCCAAACGGCAGGCGTCTCCCTTTGTTTGTTTGTTTTCCCTCCCAAGCTCAGAGCGGCGGCCACGTCCAGGTCGTGCCTAGGTACCTAGGTACCTACAGTACCTCAGGTACTTTGCCAGCAAACACACTCCACAGATTCACCTAGTCGCTGTCGTTTCCCGTGGCCTGATCTGTGACGTGAATGTGTCTGGGTTCGCCACACACTGACGCTCGTCCGCAATTGCCTCCGAAACCGATGCGATTACTGGCGACGTTGATGTAAGCCACGATAAGGCGCGCAACATCTACAAGAAGAAACAAAAATGCAGGTACGGATGCGGGGTAACAGCTACATCCCGCCATGCCCAAAATGTGCTCCAAGACATGTATGTGTCTTGCCTCAGATCTTGTGTTGCCCCTCAGGTGTCCGCTGGGACGTCGAGAGGCCGCCGAGAATTGTTCGGCGGAAGGGCTTCTTCCATGTGAGATGTTGACCTTGTCGTCACGCAAGCCTGGCCCTTGCTCTCCCTCTGGTCCTGTCTCCAACCCAGTTTCCACGTCCGAGTTGGGCATGCAAGCATGTCAATCGAGCCGACCGGTGCAACTCTTCACCTATCTCCACACGCATCTTACTTGACGGCGATGCTCCGAATATTTGCTGCACTGCCGCGCTTAACGCCGGGCCACAGACTTGAAGCCCCAGCAGTTCTTCAAACATTAATCATGTCGGTCGCCATGGCTTCTCCTCCCACGATAAACCTCATTGGTCCTCTGCGTCACGTCACCTACGCCTCCCACGACCAACAGTTTATGCGTTTCAGAGTCGTTCTCCCACACTACGATTCCCCTCCCCCCCCCGCGCCAGCGCGGATTGATAGTTGTCCCGCGCTCGGCATGCGGCCCACGAGTTGAGTCACTTGGTCATTGCGAATCCTCTGGCCCTCATATCAGATCTCGGCCGACCAGGGCCAGCCCATGCAACGCGATCTGCGTCCACGGCACCTTTAGATCCTGGACGGCCCTTCTTCGTCGTGCTAGGCATGGATGGCGACGACATGGGCAGTCCGGTGTCATGAACCTGAGCAGTCAAACTGATGACCCATGTCGGTTGTGAGTTGGGGTTTTTTTTTTCTTCGTTTGGATTGCAACGCCAGTCACTGCCATCCCTTCGTTGCCACCATCGCGGCTGCTTTGTGGGGAAGAGCCAAGGTTGAACCCGCATGGATGTTCGGTACTGCTTCCCCGGCTTTCCTGAACACGGCTGGTTATCTTGAATTTACCCATAGTATTCAGCAACCCCCGGCAGCGCACCCTACCAAGCAACCACCCATCCATCGGCCGCCGTGACGAGAACCGATCACGCTGCTTTGTCAAGCTGAGCAAGCAGAGACTCGGCCCGTTCGAGCAGTCGTACCGTACTCCTTGCTCCGTACCCATCACCACGCGGACACGCAACCCGACCTCAAACATGGCTCTGCCGCTCCCGTCCTCAACTTTGACCCGTCACTACGAGTCAGCGTGCCACAAACCCCAGGCTTGACCCGCGGCGGACCGCGAGCTTGATTGGACGCCGTGCGGTTACTGGCAGATGACGACGTGCCTTTCATATGCCCATCGGTAGTGCACAGCCTGCTCCTCGCCTTGGTGCAGTCATCCGTCGAGTTTCGACCATGCGAGAGTGTTTCTTGACATTTCGACACGGTCGACTCTCTTGTCAGCAAGAAAGCTTCACTCTTGCAGCGGAAACAGGCCCTCCTGGACCCAGAACGACAATTGTTGAGGAAAACATGTGCCCTCGCCGCATGTGTTACTGTGTGAAGAAAATTCATGACCACGTACATCGGGTCGGGAGACGAGGGCCGATATCGACATCCACGAGGCAGAGAGACGCCATGAGCATCAGCTGCGGCGCGATGGCAAGACAGCAACGAGTATTGCAAGAGATGAACCAACTCGATCACGTCGGCACATATCAAACATGCTGACTCGACCTGGTGTAAGTGGGATGGCTTCGTGATACCCTGAATGAGCTGCAACTGGTGCGTTGCGATGCACGGGATCTGCTTTCTGAATCGGCTTACACAAAAGAACAAGCCACAGGCACCCTGCCTGCTGGCCGTGAGAAATAAATGACCAAGGCCATGTCGCATCCTCTTGTCTGGGTCGGTCGGAATTCCGGGAAACATGAACCAACCTCATATGTGGCTGGCCCCGTCGCGCGCAGCAGCCGAGGCCATTTTCGACAGACCGGATGGAACTTGCTGCTGCAGCTGCTGCTGCTGCTGCTGGCCACTCTTCCCTGCCCAAGGGTACCTTCTCAAGCCGGCAGCTGCCCTACTACTTCTCGCATTCTATACTGCCTACCTCCTGTACCTCCCTAGGTACCTGGACACGATGGCTTGCCGATGCTTGTCGATACTTGCTTGTCGGCCATGCGAGGTCATAAAGACAAGTTTAAAACCCTAGCCTCCCACCTTTGAGCCTTCAAAATGCACTCTCATTCCGAATGCTAAGTGCTCGCTGCTTCTTTACCAAAGCCCAGACCTGGCCCGTTCACGAGCTCATAGTCCTATACGCTTCCCAAGACAACACTCTTCATCCCCTGCCTTCACCTTTCGCAGCTCAGCATCTATCTATAGCTCCTTGTCATCAACTATCTTCACCGGAAGCTGAAATTCGTATACAGCTCCGACATGGCAGGCCACGGAGCGGCCAGTGGCCCGTCCCAACTACCTGAACTGTTTGCGGCTCGCTTGGCTCTAAACAAACTTGCCGTCACTTACTTTGCCGCCGCTTTGGTGTCCCTCATGGCTATATTCATCGGCTTTCACTTCACTCGCGTATTGGCTCACAAGTCGGGTCTTGCGCCTCGGCTCTCTATCCTCGCCACCCCCTTTCTTATCGCCTCAAGGTACGTGTCTCTCCTTTCCTGCTGAGCTGGAATGGGAAGCAACATGTCTGACGAATGCCTTTGATCTAGAATCCTCCGAAGAAGGCTCCTCGCCAAAGCTCCATTCTTACCTTCCGTCGGCCATGCTGGACTTGCCTTGATCTATGTGGCACTCAATATTGTCCTGACATTTAAACCCCTGATGAATCACCCTGCCTTGGCACTCCTATCCAATATTGCCTCGCGGACGGGATGGTATGTGAAGCCTACCCCACCGCCCACCACGACCCTACCTGACCTGACGTTTTAGGCTTGCACTCGCCAACATTTGCCTTGCTGTCTTTCTCGGTCTCAAGAATACGCCTCTAGGGTATCTGACGACCTGGTCCTACGAAAGACTGAATGTCATTCATCAGATTGTAGGTTACACCGCCATGGCTATGACAGCTGTGCATGGCATCGCCTACTCGGTCTACTTTATTCAGCGAGGAAACATGGCGCGACTCCGGGTCCAAGAGGAGATTTATGGCATAGTCGCAGGCTTCACCATGCTGACACTTGTCATCGTTGGCTTCACTATTCGACGGTGGTACTACGAGCTGTTCTACCTCGTGCATGTCTCCTTCTTTGTCGTCACCATGGTTTTTATTGGTCTTCACCAGCCTGAGACGCACAAACATATTCTCATCGCCACAGGCGTCGGCGCCGGCATGTGGGCGCTCGACCGTCTTCTCCGCATTCTCAGGGTCAGTCTTTACAGTTTCAACAACCAGGCCACCATACATCCGCTGCCGCACGGAGGCACCCGCATTGTGCTACGGAAGCCTCCTATTGGTGCGAGGTCTGGCGAGCACTGCTTCCTGTGGGTTCCCAGCATCAGGTCAATCGAGATGCACCCATTCACGATTGCGGCGGCAGACCCCCTGGAGTTTGTCGTGGCTTCCTATGACGGCTTCACCCGTGACCTTCACAAGTACGCCATCCAAAACCCGGGTGCCAGTCTCAGGGCCTCTGTTGAAGGATCCTACGGCACTTTTCCCGACCCTACTTCCTATGACAAAGTGGTCTTGATAGCAGGTGGGAGCGGGGCAAGCTTCACCGTCGGCATGGCACTCAATATGATCAAGCACGCCAACGCTGGCTCTCGACAGAGCGTTGTGTTCATCTGGATGGTACAAGACAATGGTGAGTCAACCTAGACAAACTCCTGTTGATGCGGAAAGGACTGACGTGCTATACCAGCGCATCTGGAATGGTTCTCTGACCATCTTGCCACGATACGCCAGAGTCTCAACTCATCCATCTCCTTGTACGTGACCAGATCATCAAGGCACGAGACAGGGGCTGTCAATGACAATGCCCTTGCATCCGCCGCAACCGTGTACCGCAACCGTGCAGCGACATTTTCGTCCTCGGACAGCTCCCCTGACACCCCTGTCGACGACGAGAAGAGGCTTGCCGAGGACAGGCCGGGCCGCATCTTGACACGTCACATCTCCGACCCCGAAAAGTCGGAGCACGACTTGGAGCTGGAATCGCCCACGTCCCCTTGCGACACATCCGCTGCCGGCGTACCTCGATCACACCAGCAGTCTACCGGCAAGTTACACATCCACGGAATTCCCATTACATACGCGCGGCCTGACGTCTCGGCTTTGATCAAGCATGCCATTGCGCAGACGCCTAGCAGCCAACGGGTGCTGGTTATGGGCTGCGGCCCGGAGGGGCTGATGACGCAGGTGCGCAATACAACAGCCGAGTCAGTCAGGAGAAAGGGTCCTGCGGTAGAGCTTCACTGCGAGCAATTTGGATGGTGACAGGGCCGTGTTCTTCGTGTGGCTGCTTGGCGTCTGGTCTATAGCATATTCGAACCCAATGTTTGGCTTCCATAAGACTCCATCAGCAGGGCTTCCTCGGTGCTTGTCTTGTGAAAACGCGGCGCCATGTTTCCTAGAAGTTAGGCAAAGAGGAACCTGTCGCGGCACGGCAAGTTATCGACCGCAGCAAGCAAGTGGCTGATCCAGGGGAGATATTCTGTCCACGTGAACACCGTCTCCGCCACGCACTGGCAGAACGTGGTCTCCTTCGCAATCTCTGGCAAGTGTCAATGTCGATCGTCAGTCGCAAAAACTTCTCCCGAGAAAGCCCCTTCTGGTCTATGACCGAGTGCTCTCCTAGTGTACCTGCCATATGTGACGATCCCCCCTTCCCCTCGCCCTTTGCCCAGATGCGATCAAGGCAAGCTCCAAGCAGACAAATGGAGCATCGGGCCGAGCAACATGCCGGCCGCGAACAGGCCGACATGTGGCCTCGAAGTTAGCCCTCCACCCCCACGGGCTGCCACGATCGGTTCGGTGGTCCAAGTGAACACGGGGGCCTCGCTTAAGATTTGCAGTACCTGCCTGCCGCTGGTGTTGCGCCCCCCTGCCTCCCCCGCGTTTGTTCGGCTCGGTTCGTTCCGAGAATCCTCTTCAATCGCGGGTTGAACAGGACGACCATGTCGGATAGATGTGACGACAAGCTTCATCGTGGACATGACCAAATGTTTGTCTCGGCCGACGAGTCGTGCTGAATGAGCCCATCAACGTGCCGCGTTTCTTGAGGCCGCTGGGGAATGGCGTTGCTCAAAACGACTTTGTCGATTGCGGCCATCGCCGGCCAGTTGGGGCAGCAGAACGTCGAGGTTATGTCCTACCTGGTAGCGGCGCGGTCGAGTTGATCACAGTGCACCGCGCACGACTGTTTAGGCGCAGACTGGATCACGACGATTCGTTCAAATGCAAAACATCATGAAAGAGAGCAGTGCCCAAACCAAGTAAGTCAGTCATCTTGACAGCGTTGCTGTTGATAGTTTCTTCATCTGCTCTACTCTTCCCGTGGTAAAAGGATGGAAGGTATCAATGTTGAACGGATAAGCCCCAGCGCCAATTTGTTGAAGAAATGCCACTCCTTCGCCATAATGCATTCAAAAATCAACCCTTAGAATAAACCCTGGATCTCACCAGTCTCCACGTCAACGTCCACATTCAGGTAGCCAGGCGCGGTGGGCAGACCTGGAATGGTCTGAATGTCGGCAGCAAGCGCATACCTGTAACGTCGTCAGTACAATCATCTGCGGGGTATGTTGGAATTCGAGCACGACTTACAGGTAGCCGGCTCCGGCGGCCATTCGCACGTCGCGGATGGGCACTGTGAAGCCCGTCGGGGCACCCTTGAGCTCGGGATCGTGAGAAAGCGAATACTGGGTTTTGGCCACGCAAATGGGGAGGTTGCCGAAACCCTGCTTGGTGAACTGGTCGACCTTCTTCTGCGCCAGCTCGCTGAACTCGACCGCCGCAGCACCGTACATTTTTTTCCCGATGGCCTCGATGCGTTCCTGCACCGTGCCGTCAAGATCGTACAGCAGCTTGAAGTCCTTGGGCTTCTCACTCGCCGCGATGACACCCTTGCCCAGCTCGACGGCACCCTTGCCGCCCTCGGCCCAGTGGTTCGCAAGAATGGCATCCTCGGCGCCAGCCTTGATGGACTCTTCCCGGATGACGGCAATCTCAGCATCCGTATCAGTGGAGAATTTGTTGATGGCCACAACAACGGGAATGCCGTATGCTCGAGCGTTCTGGATGTGCTTGGCGAGGTTCACACAGCCAGCGCGCAAAATATCCACGTTCTCCTCCTTGTACACAGCGTTCAAAGGCGCACCTGGAGAAATAGGGGGGCCGCCACCGTGCACCTTGAGAGCACGAACTGTGGCCACGACGACGACGACATCGGGCACCAGTCCGGAGGCGCGGCACTTGATGTTGAAGAAGCGCTCACCGCCCATGGTGAAATCGAAACCTGCCTCGGTAACGACGAAGCCGGCCTTTTCGGCAGGGTCCTCGTCTGCTTCTGTGCCCACAAGCTTCAACGCCATCTTGTCAGCGAGCACAGAGCTGTTACCGATGCTGATGTTCGCGAAGGGCCCGGCGTGAACAAAGACTGGGGTGCCTTCCAGGGTCTGCATCAGGTTGGGCTTGATAGCGTCCCTCATGAGAGCCGTCAATGCGCCGCCAGCACCAATGTCGTCGCAAGTCACGGGATCACCGCTCCTGGAACTGGCGACGACCATGCGGCCAAGCCTTTCCCGAAGATCGCTCAGGCTCGTGCTGAGGGCCAGGATGGCCATGCACTCACTGGCGACAGAAATATCGAAGCCGGTCTCACGCGTCTGACCCTTCTCCGTCGCGGCTGTGCCAACAGTAATTCCACGCAGGTGGCGATCATTCACATCCAGAACACGGCGCCAAGTGATAGTCTCAGGGTCGATATCCAGACGCGCGAAGCGACTGATTTCTTCCTCTGTAAGATCATCAGGGTTGGTCTTGTCAATGCCAAGCTTCTTCAGGCGACGGAACATGACAGGCGCAAAGGTACGCTTGCCGTTCTTTGCGGGGACAAGGCGGCGGTACAGAGGTCCATCCTTCTGCGTGTTTTCATGGAAGATACGAGTCTCGATCGCAGCGGCGAGAAGGTTGTTCGCTGCTGTAATGGCATGGATATCACCTGTCAAGTGCAGGTTGAATTCATCCATCGGAATGACCTGGCTGTAGCCTCCGCCAGCAGCACCGCCCTTGATTCCGAACGTTGGGCCCTGGCTGGGCTGACGGACGTTTCCGAAAGTGACACGACCAAGGTGCGCGCCCAGAGCCTGGGCGAGACCCATTGTGGTGGTCGATTTGCCCTCGCCAAGAGGGGTTGGGGTGATACCAGTCACAACGACATACTTGCCGTTGCGACGGTGCTCCAGTCTCTTGAGCAGGTCGAGGTCCACCTTGGCCTTGTAGGCACCATAAGGCTCCAGCTCGTGCGAGGCAATGCCGACTTCCTTTGCGAGGCGGGTGATCTGTTTGGGGGTCTGGGCCCTGGAGACGTCAATGTCCGATGGCACCGGCTCCTTCAGATGGAGCGGCAGGGGTACAATCTTTCGCTGCCTCTGTCTCTCGAGGGATTGTGAGGCAGAGTCCACGACGTTTCTCAAAAGCATGGCAACGGTCATGGGCCCGACACCACCTGGCACAGGAGTAATATGCGACGCAACCTGCGAAGCAGATTCGAAGTCGACATCGCCAACTAGCCTCTGGCCAGACTTCTTCGTGTCGTCGGGGATGTAATTGGTGCCGACATCGATGACGACGGCACCCTTCTTCAGCCACTCGCCCTTGACGAAACCAGGTTGTCCAATGGCGGCAACAACAATGTCTGCTGCCTTGACGTGTTCCTCCAGGTTCGCGGTCCGAGAGTGACAGACGGTGACAGTCGCGTCAGCGTGGCGCAGGAGGTAGCTGACGGGGCTTCCGACAATATCACTCCGGCCAATGACCACGGCATTCTTGCCCTTCAAGTCGACGCCAGTCTGCTGGAGCAGAACCATGACACCCTTGGGAGTGCAAGGCACGAAGAGGGGCCGACCGCCCTTCTTGGCCAACTCGCCGATGTTGGTGGTGCCGAAACCGTCAACATCCTTTTCATCAGCAACGGCCGAAGTCACAGCGTATTCGTCAATGTGCTCAGGGACAGGCAGCTGAACCAGGATGCCGTGGACCTCAGGGTTGTTGTTCAGGCGGTAGATCTGATCGAGGAGCTCGGGCTCGGAGATGGTAGAGGGGAAGTGTAGCAATTCGCATTGAATGTTGGCCTAGCAAAATATGACATTGTCAGCGACTCATCTTAGCGACGATCGATGTGGCAAAAGGGTGGTGTACCTCTTCGGCAGCTTTCAATTTCATGCGAACATAGGTGGCTGCGGGGTGATAAGTTTCAATGGGGATTTCCAGCGCGGGGGAGGGGTAGACGAACAAGAGTCAGACCGGTCACCAACTGCACAGCAAACACACAGTTAGCCTCGCCAAATCATGTGCAAAAACATTTAACAGCGAATTCACGCCGAGGACTTGCCTTGGATAATCTTCAGCGAGGGCTGGAATCTGGGGTTGGCTTTCTGTCGCTCGAGAACCTCGGCAGCCAGATCCCCGCGGATCTTCTTCGCAATGGCTGTGCCATCGATCTTGTTGGCAGCCATGGTGCGTGCAGCTGTGGTAAAAGGCCGCGGGCGCCAGGGATAACGGTGAATGAACAGGGAAGAAACGCTCGAGACAAGTCGTAATCGCAGAGGCGAGAAACCGGGCGAAAGGGAGGTTGTGGTTTTGGCAATGGGCAAGAGTGACGACGAGCGGGAATCTGGGGTGGAGAGCGCTGAGGGTCCTAAGGCAAAGGCGGAGCCGCGCCTGTGATCGGTGAGAAGTCGGCCAAGCTCGGGATTCGTTGACGAATCGTGCATGGATGGATGACCGGATGGACCCCCCAATCTTGCCGGTGACCTGCCTGCTGCTGCGGGCTTTGCAATGGTGTGTGTCACCAACCACTCTCGACGGTGACCGACAGATAGAGAACGACGCATCCTGGGCGCTACGTCTGTCACAAATGGCATTGGCCTCACTTTGTGCGTCAGAGGCGTCTCGACAACATACGTTAGAGTGACTCAAGCCTCCTTGAATCGAGTGCCCTGGGTGACTTGTCGTGCGAGTCCCGGTCAGTGACTGACTTTTGAGATTACACTGCGAGTCACTCCGGCCCCGAGAGGAATAAGACCAGATCCTATTAAGTCAGGTATGTGAAGAAACAAAAAGTGACAAGAATGATTGGCTGGAGGTAGCTAGCAACTTGTCGTCAACCATGTGAGACTACTCTACCCGGCACGGAGAAAAGGGACCCTTGATCTGATGGACAGCAAGTATACAATATGAATACAGGGTGTAAGACAACAAAGTAGAAAAGTAATGGGAACACGCTTTCTAAGGCGTCATCATCTTTGAGACGTTATTGATAGACGGTGCGCGATGCCGGCTAGTCTGGGTCCTAGTTGGCTGGACAAGGCTATGGGCGTCGGACGGTCGTGGCAGTATCGCGGCCGCTTCTGATGTGATAAAACGACACTCGTATTGAAAGATTTCGAGTCAGTGCCGAAGAGGGGCGAGGGTAGTTATGGTCATAGCCGTCTGTCGAAAGCTCCTTGTCTCGCATCACACTTGGTTTGCCGCGTCAGGATGGATACCAGCAACCATGAAGATGGACAGGCGAATAGACAGCTGACTCAGCCGGCAAGTCACCACCCAATATAGCTAGGCGGTCAGCACGAGACACGGCAGAATCGACAATCGCGGGGAGGGGGGATTCCTTTGGCCCCACTAGAAACACAAACCCACAACCAGACGTGAAGACGCTGCTGTGCGGAGGCCAAAAATTCAGCAGCAACCAGCGACGAGCGACTTCAAATAGCGACCCCTTCCCGCGACTTGGCCACCCTTGAACCCGATATCGCAAACGAGACACCTAAGCCATCGAATCCAAGATTAATTCCGTCAATATGAGGCCCATTCTTCTCGCCGGCCACGAGCGTGCCCTCACGCAGATCAAGTACGCGACACCCCAAAGACACCATGTCATATCACCAATCCGAGCGCGAGCATGGCAGTGGTCATAAGGAGGGGCAGTCGGCTAACCCGCCCGATTAGGTACAACCTCGATGGCGACCTCATCTTCTCTGTCGCCAAGGATCAGCAGATCTGTGCTTGGTACGCACACAATGGTGAGCGTCTCGGCACTTACCACGGCCACGTCGGCGCCATCTGGACCGTCGATGTCGACCCTACCAGCACCATGATCGCCTCCGGTTCTGCCGACAACACCATGCGCCTTTGGGACGTCAAGTCTGGCAAGTGCCTCAAGACCTGGGAGTTCCCCACTGCTGTCAAGCGCGTCGAGTTCAACGAAGACGGCACCAAGCTGCTTGGTGTCACCGAGAAGCGCATGGGCTACCTCAGCAACATTGTCGTCGTCGACATCAACCCTGACGTGGAGGCCGAGCAGAGCGACGAGAAAGTCCTGACCATCGTCTGCGACGAGAGCAAGGCTACCGTCGCAGGCTGGAGCTTCCTGACCAAGTACATCATTGCTGGCCATGAGGATGGCTCCGTATCGCAGTTCGATGCCAAGACAGGCGATCTCCTTTACAACGCCCCCGTTCATGAGCTTAACACACCCGTGACGGACCTGCAATGGTCGCCTGACCGTACCTACTTCATCACTGCCAGCAAGGACAAGACTGCCAAGGTTCGTACATGATGCTTCCGCATCTGATCTACATTTCCCCCCCACCAACTAACTTTTTCGCCAGCTCATCACGACTAAGGACCTCGAGGTTCTGAAGACGTACCCCGCCGATACCCCCCTCAACAGTGCCGCCATTACCCCCAGGAAGGACTTTGTCATCCTCGGTGGTGGTCAGGCCGCTATGGATGTCACCACCACTTCCGCCAGGCAAGGAAAGTTTGAGGCTCGCTTCTACCACAAGATCTTCGAGGAGGAGGTTGGCCGTGTCCGTGGCCACTTCGGCCCTCTGGTAAGCCCCCTATCTCCCGCACCTGTCTCATCTTGACACCGCTGGCATGGGCATGTGCTGACTTTTCAACCAGAACACAGTTGCGGCGGACCCTACGGGTAAGGGCTACGCAAGTGGTGGTGAGGACGGCTATGTCCGCGTGCACCAGTTCGACAAGGGCTACTTTGACTTCATGTACGAGGTGGAGAGGCAGAGACTTTGAAAAGGGTGAAGTCTGTCTGTCTTCCACTCCCTCTTCGGGACTTGGCATAGTTCGGCGTTCTGGGAATCTCGAGATGTGGGATGGCCGGTTAGATTCAATGGGTTTGTAATTTAGGGCATTCACCACAAAAAGCCGGCCGAATGAGAGATGTTCAACTCGGAAGAGGATTGTCCCGCAGGTGATGTATTGACGACATCTGGACGCGACCGTGGATTATATATTCCTCCACTTGCACCAGCTTGCTAGGACCCTGCGTTCAGATGAACAGCGTATTGCGAGCGGGCCGACTCCAGCCCCAGCCAACCTGGGAGTATGGGATGCCGTTGCCGACTTGATCACGCCAGCAAGCCTGAGGATCAGGTGAGCTGACCTCGAAGTAATAAGACCATTGTTGGATCTCCCGTTAGAGGAGATGACTCACAGGACCCAAGAAGCCACTGTCCAGCAGCTCAATACAACCAAAAGTGGTCTCCATATGTGCAGGGGCTGTTATTGACTTTGCATGATAAAGCGAGCCAAATCGAAAATCAAGCCTTTTTCGAATTGTCGGCAGGATATCTGCCGTTCCACATTTCTCTAATCTGGACTGAAAGCTGCGCTCACATGTTCGTTCTTCGGTAAGATGCGCCCCGGTACGGTATGAGCACATGTCAGTCGCAAGGGACGGTAATGTGAATAGCGGTCGATGCCTGAAGGACGGCTGGCTTGAGCTCCCGCAGCCATGCGGACCCTTTATTTTAGCAGGCAAGTATCGTATACACGTGTCAGTCAACACAAGGGTCGGCGGGCCGGGTTCAGTTCACACCGCAATTGATGATGCATCACCACTGCTGCTGCACAAGGGACGAAAGTGGCGAGTGAGGCACGCTGGAGCATTTGGAGCTCATCATGGGTAAGTAGATACATAGAAAAGAAAGACACTCCTGGCGTCGTTCATGACAAACTATCGCCAGAAGGCCCCCCAAGCTGCGACGCCAACAGCACCCCCTATCGCTACCGGAAGATCAAAAACCCAACACCACAAATGCACATCATGGATCGTCCCAACGCCTGCCGCCACTCATGCTTACCGTGTTGATCCCCATGCTATGCTTTGACGCCTCTTGAATTGCGTACGCTACCCTTACGGAACCCCCGATCGCTTTGATAAGAGTTCCGCGTGCTCGTGCACGCATACTTTGCGTGAGCTCATAAACTGTACTTCAGATCTTGCACTCTTCAGGAGTGCCGACTTCGCTTACTTCCGCCGCCGAACATGTTCTTGTCGTGGCCGAGGCTGCCCAGATCGAATATCTCGCCAAGATTGATCTTCCTCTTTGATCCAGCGCCGCGCCCAAGTTGATTGGCTTGCCTGGCCCCTAGTCTCGCTCCCACACCAGTGTGTCGTAATCGAGAGGCACGATTGGTGGGAGCGTTGGTGGTGGTGGTGGAGGTAACATGTGACGGGAGCGAGTCGTGACCGCGAGAATCGGATAGGTCGAGGTTTGCGATATTAAGATACGCATCTTGCGGGTAAGGGTGTGATGACTGGAAAGTGAAGCTATCCTGGCTTGGAACAGTGACTTGCGCGTTGTCGACTAGAGCCGGGGAAGCGGTGGGTGGTGTGGGCTCTATTTGGGTTTGACTGTCCTCGCGCATTGTTGATTGAGGGTTTCCGCTCGCTGTGCGTGTCAGGTCTTCGTCCTCGCTTTCGGCTGTCTGCGATGGAGAGTCGCGACCGTCGAGTCTTTCTGTGGCCCATTTGCGAACCCTCCAACCCTCGCCGTCGCCTACGCCCAGATTTCCTTTGTCGAGGAAGGCGAGAAGATCGTCCAAACAATCCTGGTATCCGTCGAGGCGTGCTTTGGCCTGGCTAGCTGCAGAAGTCTTGTAAAGCTTTGTGACAGAAAGGGCGGCGGCCTTGAAAGCATCGAGGAGTTGCTCAGGAGAGTCATTTTGCGCTGTTTGCTTCTGGCCCGATGACCCGGGCAGGGATGTGTTTAGACTCCGCATGGAGTCCATGTTGCGTGGTCTCGATGAACGACTTCAAGGCTTGAGGCGGTCCGTCAGTGATGTCTCGCAAAGAGAGAGATCAAAGCTTTTCTGTCGACTTACGTCGTTGTTCTTTCGCAAAATGCGGTGGGTAGACAGGTCTGGAACGCCCGAAGGGCTTGATTTCAGCAAGTGGGTGCAGTGGGGTACAGCCTATCGCTGTTGTGCCTGAAGTGGGTAGGCAAGGTTGTTATGTGAGGGCGCAGGTGTACAGCCTGAGGAGGATAGCCGGCAGCAGTGAATAGTATGAACGTAGAGGGGGAACAATATTAGGAGAAGGGTTCAAGTTTGGCCGACGTTGAACCAAGCGTTCTCGTGTGTGGCGTGGTCGACAAGTGCAGTCGAGGTGGTGTTTGATTGATGTTGATGACTCGGCGTTGACTGTATTATCCACGGGCGCTCGGGGCACATGAAAGAGGAGGGACCAGTGGTGCATGGCCGCCGCCACGGCGGTAGCCGCTAGACGGTCCCGCCCGCGTGACTGACGCCATCAGGCTGTCGCTTGAAGAGTTAATCCGACCTCCGAGCCCCAGACCACGGTACCTTACGCTGCCTGGCAAGCCCTCAGGGCCCGACCGTGGGAGCGCTCAGACCACTGACTGAACCAGTGGCGGGAATGCCGATGCCCCGATATAATCCTAGTACCGTATCGACCCTGCAGCTCGCAGCTCTAAGGGCCGTGAATTGCGATTCCACCTTTCCTCCTCCCTCAACACGACGGGGACCTTATATCTCAGCCAACTACTGTCGCCTTTTGTTCCACGGATTCTTCGCCAGGCACATTCACGACACGAAGTATTACCCTAGTTGCACGGCTTCGGATTGTCGTTACCCGACCCCTCTCTTTTGCCTGCCAACGCTGTTTGAACGCGTCGCAGTCGCGTAAAGCGAATCTCGATTGTTGCGATGCCTCCCTCAAGACCACGCCCCAGTGCGGTAGACACAGACACGTCAATGTCGGATGCTCCAGATGCTCGTCGTGATGACCGCATGGTTCGTTCAATTTATTTTCTCCCCTTTTCGCTCCCAATACCAGTCATGACTACGTCTTCGTATCGAGAAGTGTTGCGCGTACAAGAGCTAACTAAGAATCGCGTAGGAGGTTGACGAAACTCCCGACTACACCGACTCAGATACCAATCCCAACACGACAGCGAGTAGCGTGGTTGGAGATGCGGCTCCCGATGGACGCAAGAAACGATCCGAGGCGAATCAGCTCCGCCGCAGTATTTTTGGCAGGAAACACGACCGCCTTGGGGAATCAAAGGTAAATCTTGCCTTTTGCCCTGATTGCGCTTGATGGATATGATGCTGATGTATGGATGTTCAAACAGGAAGAAGACACTCTCCGGAGATTTCGGTACCTGCTCGGCCTAACTGACCTGTTCCGCCACTTCATCGAAACCAATCCCGACCCTAAGATTCGGGACATCATGATTGAGATTGATCGTCAGAACGCTGAAGCTACCAAGAGCAAGAAGGCTGGCGCTCGTCAGGGTGGTGCCACTAATGAACGACGCCGTCGAACTGAGGCAGAAGAGGATGCCGAGCTTCTCCGCGACGAGAAACATGGCGGATCAGCGGAGGTTGTCTTTCGAGAATCGCCCTCTTTCATCCAGGGTGAAATGAGAGACTACCAGGTTGCCGGTCTCAATTGGCTGATCTCACTGCACGAGAACGGTATCTCTGGCATTCTCGCCGATGAAATGGGTCTTGGCAAGACATTACAGACGATATCCTTCCTCGGGTATCTTCGCCACATCATGGGCATTACTGGACCCCATCTCGTCATTGTTCCCAAGTCAACCCTCGATAACTGGAAGAGAGAGTTCGCGAAATGGACGCCCGAGGTCAATGTCCTGGTCCTGCAAGGCGCCAAGGAGGAGCGTCAGCAACTGATCAATGAGCGCTTGGTAGAGGAAAAGTTTGACGTCTGCATCACCAGTTACGAGATGATCCTCCGCGAGAAGGCCCACCTCAAGAAGTTCGCATGGGAGTACATCATCATTGACGAAGCGCATCGAATCAAGAACGAAGAGTCGTCACTGGCTCAGGTTATTCGTCTTTTCAACTCGAGAAACCGTCTTCTGATTACCGGAACACCCCTTCAGAACAATTTGCATGAGCTGTGGGCTCTCCTCAATTTTCTGCTGCCGGACGTGTTCGGTGACTCGGAAGCCTTCGACCAGTGGTTCTCAGGCCAGGACCGAGACCAAGACACAGTTGTTCAGCAACTACACCGCGTGTTGAGACCTTTCCTCTTGCGCCGTGTCAAGGCTGATGTCGAGAAGAGCCTGCTGCCGAAGAAGGAAGTCAATGTATACCTCGGGATGTCTGAGATGCAAGTCAAGTGGTACAAGAAGATCCTTGAAAAGGATATCGACGCAGTCAATGGAGCTGGCGGCAAACGCGAGTCCAAGACGCGATTGCTCAACATTGTCATGCAGCTGCGAAAGTGCTGTAACCATCCTTATTTGTTCGAAGGTGCTGAGCCCGGTCCTCCGTACACGACTGACGAGCATCTGATTTACAATGCCGCGAAGATGAAAGTCCTCGATAAGCTGCTTATCAAGTTCCGACAGCAGGGCAGCCGAGTCTTGATCTTCTCGCAGATGAGCCGTTTGCTGGACATTCTCGAGGACTATTGTGTGTTCAGGGAGTACAAGTACTGCCGAATCGACGGTGGCACAGCCCACGAAGACAGAATTGCTGCCATCGACGAGTACAACAAGCCTGGATCCGAGAAGTTCGTGTTCTTGTTGACAACAAGAGCGGGTGGTCTCGGTATCAACCTCACGACTGCTGACATTGTCATTCTCTTTGACAGTGACTGGAATCCGCAGGCCGATCTGCAGGCTATGGATCGCGCTCACCGTATCGGCCAGACGAAGCAGGTCGTAGTCTACCGATTTGTCACCGATAACGCTATTGAGGAGAAGGTCTTGGAGAGGGCAGCTCAGAAGCTCCGTTTGGACCAACTCGTCATCCAGCAGGGTCGCGCACAGGCTGCGGCCAAGGCTGCGGCCAACAAGGACGAGCTGCTTTCCATGATTCAACACGGCGCCGAAAAGGTATTCAGTAGCAAGGGCGCGACCGATGCAGCGGCAGAGGGCGACAGTGTTGGTGACGATGACATCGACAAGATTCTGGCGTTCGGTGAAAGTCGTACAAAGGAGCTCAATGCCAAATACGAGAAGCTCGGAATCGACGATCTGCAAAACTTCACATCTGAATCTGCTTACAACTGGAACGGCGAGGATTTCAAGAGTCAGAAGAAAGACATTGGCATGACATGGATCAATCCGACCAAGCGCGAGCGCAAAGAACAATCCTACTCCATGGATGCCTACTTCAGGCAGACGATGTACCCGCCAAAGGAGAAGGACAACAAGCCCAAGGCTCCCAGGGCCCCGAAGCAAGTCGTCGCTCACGACTGGCAATTCTTCCCACCAAGACTCAGAGATCTGCAAGATCGTGAGACGGCGTACTACCGGAAAGAGATTGGCTACAAGGTTCCGCTGGCTGAGGGCGAGGGCGACAATGTCTCAGATCGCGAGGCCGAACGTGCTCTTGACCAAGAAGAGATAGACAACGCTACGCCCCTGACTGAAGAGGAACAGGAGGAGAAGGCAGAGTTGTCACAGCAAGGCTTTGGCGATTGGAACCGACGAGACTTCCAACAATTTGTCAACGCTTCGGGCCGATACGGCAGGACAGACTATGAGAGCATCGCCGGCGACATTGACCACAAGGAGGCTTCTGAAGTCAAGCAATACGCCAAGGTTTTCTGGCAGCGATACAGCGAGATTGCAGACTACACCAAGTACCTCAAGACGATTGAGGACGGAGAGGAGCGCATGCGCAAGATTGAGCACCAGCGCAAGCTGCTGCGAAGAAAGATGCAGCAGTACCGCGTTCCCTTCACGCAACTCAAGATTAACTACTCGGTCTCTACCACCAACAAGAAGGTTTATACCGAGGAAGAAGACCGGTTTCTCCTGGTGCTCCTTGATCGTCACGGCGTCGACACGCCGGGTCTCTATGAGACGATGCAGCAGGAGATTGCAGAATCCCCCCTCTTCCGATTCGACTGGTTCTTCCTCAGCCGCACGCCTGTCGAGCTCAGTCGGCGGTGTACGACACTGCTTACCACAATCGTTAAAGAGTTTGAGGACGTTCAGCCAACCAAGAACGCTAATGGGGCGAACGGCAAGGTTAAGCGGGATGCTGATGACGACGAAAACGACGAGGATAGTGTGTTGGGTATGGCACCATCCAAGAAGAAGTCGAAGAACGGAGTCAAGGTAAGGCCCCCTCTTGATTTCTGTGAAATCGCAAGTAGCTCACCCATGGCACAGAACAAAGCGCTCGACAACATCAAGTCAGAAGCAGGCAGCAAGAGTACTTCCGCAGCTCCTTCAAGGGCGTCAAGTGTCGCATCCACCAAGTCAAACGGGCCTTCCAAGTCCAAAGCCAAGGGGAAAAAGAAGTAAGAGTTGCTCAAGTTTGTGCTTGGGGGCAAGGGATAACTGGCAACGAGTTCGTCTGGAGGCCCGGCAGCCAGGGCTCGTGGCATGGTAGACATGGCGTTTGGTCAGGTATGAAACGGACTGACGGGATATTGTCCGGCTCAACAAGTCAGGAGAAAGAGTGCGATTTGTGTTGTATTATTTCTGTTGCCAATGGTAGGCTTCAGACCTTCGTATAGAAGGATTAGGTACTGGTTACACAAAGAGACTATGGCTCGTGTCTTTCTGTCCGAGTCAGATTACCAGCGCTGTGAAAAAGAAACAAGCATGGGGGTGATATAAGGACGCCAGTGCAACCAGAAGGTGATGATGGGATGAGTTTGGTGACAAAATTGAATCAAACTCCACCTAAAAAGGAGTCTCCCGAGGTGGGACTCGAACCCACAGCCCTTGGATTGTTATGCTCATGCTTAAAAGTCCAAAGCTCTAACCAATTGAGCTACCCGGGAAGGGTGAGAACCGGCTGCACCAGAGCTATCTTGTTCTGAAAACCAGACGATCAATTGGTTTGTACGTTGTGAGCTGTCAGAGGAGTGGCAGGAGGGGATCTGACATGTAACAACAGCACTCCGTTGATGGGGCCTGTTTCAAGCTTTACAGGTTCTCAGGTTGGAACTGTGGGCAGCAATGCATAATCCGCCCGTGCTTGAGGATTCAAAGCCTCGATATCGCAGTCAACTGTTGTGAATCTATGAAGATATCATATTCAGAGTTCCTTGTCCTCGGTCATGTCCTGATTAGGCACCCCTGGGAATCTAGCTCTATACGTCATTTTCTTGTGTCTGACACCGATGGTCTCGTCTGCCCCGCACTTGCTTGTCCAGGCACCGCGCCTCCCGTGTCAGGGGTTGACTGACTTGGCCGTTTCCACTAAACTGCCCCGCCAACCATTGCCTGGATCGTCGCCTAGGAGCTGTGTTGCCTATTGCCTCCTAACCGATCTGGATCTTCCTGTTCAACGAGCATAGAAACACTTCCAACCAGAGAGTTGTGCCTGCGAAGTACATCAAGCCTTCAACACTGTCATCGTTACCAATCTGCACATTTCTGCTCTCTCGCCCGTCATGTCCCTCACGCTAGAGAAGATCCTGGCTCCTACGCCAGCGATCAACCCCCTTGGGTCTGACGAGGGCCTGCAACCAACCCAGCTCTCCGTCGACAGCAAAGGCGAGCGGATCGCATACGCTGTAGGAAGATGCCCTGCGCTTGTGATTCATCGGGACATTGTCACACCATGCTAACCGCGTGTCCACCTCCAGTCCGGGAAATCCATCTTCGTGCGATCTATCGACGAGCCGTCCCTCTGCAAACAGTACAACGGGCACAAGAACGCCACGACCACCATTGCTCGATTCTCCCCCAGCGGATTCTACATAGCTAGCGGTGATCGAACTGGCGCCGTGAAAGTCTGGGATGCTATTGAGGCTGTCAACACCAAAGGCGAATACCATATTATCTCTGGGCCCATCAAGGACATTGCGTGGGACGGTGACTCGCAGCGCATCATTGCTGTAGGCAAGGGCAGCGAGCGTTTCGGCGCTTGCATTACTGCCGATAGCGGCAACTCCGTGGGTGAGATCAGCGGCCACTCCAAGTCCATCAACGCTGTTGCTCTGCGCCAGCAGCGCCCACTCCGCGCCGCCACCGTGTCTGACGATGGCACAATGTGCTTCTTCCATGGCGCTCCCTTCAAGTTCAACTCGAAGCACGCTGACCTTCACACCAACTTTGTCTATGGCACTGCATTCTCTCCCGACGGCAACCACCTAGTCACGGTCGGAGCCGACAGGCGCATCCAGCTCTATGATGGCAAGACTGGCGAGCCCAAGGTTCAGATTTCGGATGGCGAGCACAAGGGCAGTATTCTGGCTGTATCCTGGGCCAAGGACAGCCAGACCTTCGTCACGGCTAGTGCGGACGGTACCGTCAAGCTCTGGGGCTTGGAGGCTGGCAGCGCGAAGCACACGTGGGAGCTCGGCAGCCAACAGTTTGGTGTTGTCTATCCCCACGGCAGGACTGATGGTCTCATCATCAGCATCAACCGTAATGGTGATCTGCTCTACCTGTACCCCGACAGCACCAAGCCTTCCAAGGTGATCCAGGGTCACAACAAGAGCGTCACGGCTTTGAGCGCCGCGTCTGATGGCAGCGGCAAGACGCTCTGGACCGGCAGCTTTGAGGGTCGCATTTGCAAATGGGATGTTGGCAGCGGAGTTGGCACCACAGTCGAGGGCTCAGCGCACACGAACCAGATCAGCCAGCTAGCGGCCGCCGAAGGTCGCGCGTATAGCGTGGGCTGGGACGACAAGCTTCGCACCATTGACGAGTCTACGGGCGTTCACGAAGGTGACGGCGTGTCGCTTTCTTCGCAACCGCGAGGTGTGGCCGTCTCAGGCGGGCGCGTGTTTGTCGCGACTGTGGACGGCGTCGACGTCTTTGAGGGCAACAAGCTGGTTACTGAAAATCGCTACGGATACAGTCCCAGCGCTATTGCCGCCTTCGGCTCTACCATCGCCGTGGGCGCTGGTAACTCGGTCAAGGTTTATAAGGCGGACTCATCTGGCAAGCTCGCCGAAAGCAAGTCGCTCGACCGGTCTACGCATCCCATCTCTTACTTGACCTTTTCCAGGGACGGTAAGTACCTTGCCGCCGGCAACGACAACGGCAACATCGACCCATATGACACCAGCTCGTGGGAAATTGCTGCCAAGTGCACTGATCGCTGGGCAGCGCACAACAGGAACAAGATTACCTGTATCTCCTGGAACGAGGCCACAACGCACGTTGTGTCAGGATCTCGCGGCGCAGACGTGGTGATCTACAGCCTGGCGAGCCCCGGACGTAAGGTCAAGGCTGAAGGTGCGCACCTCGAGGGCGTCACGGGCGTGGCGTGGGTCGGCGGTGACAAGGTGGCCAGCATCGGCGCTGATGCGGCTGTCAAGATCTGGGGAATCGCCTCTCTGCCGTGAGCTAGCTGGGTCCCTTAGTGAAGCTAGCTACATCGATCCTCCTTCATCAATGAGAAATGACAATTTTATGACCTTCCAATTCCATTTGCCTTTCCGTGACTCCTGCGGGTATCAAATAGACTGCACATACTTGAATACGGAACATGGGACCCGCTAACCATTCATTCATCATGTCACGTTGGCCGACTTGTCCTGACCGCGTCGTGTCATCTGCGCAGCTTCCTAGTCCATGCTCAGATGGACAGCCTCCTCACGCCCCTGTTCTGCGGACGATCCAGTGGGCCCATCCTCTGCCCGCCGCTGCGGAGAGGCAGCCTCGGGCTCCCGATACCTGCTCATCATGGCACTGCTGACGCTCCATATGTTGAGGCCCTTGGCTGCCGCGCCCTCGGGCAGTGGGTGCGAGCGGAACGTGCTGGCGTTCTTGGCGCACAGCAGCGCCGACTGCTCGAGGGCGTAGTCGAGCTGGCCAAGGCGGCCCCAGATGGCGTAGCCTTGCTTCTGTATCTCTTCGGCGAGCTCCTCCTGGTGGTTGTCCTTGAGCGTCGGGTTCGGCACCACAATGAGCGGGGCGTTGATGCGGAGACCGTCCAGAATGGTGCCGGTGCCTTGGGTGGGCAGGTTAGCTTGTTGAGGCATCGACACGACACACAAGTCTCGACCTACCAGCGTGGCATATGACAAGGCCATCGCGGCGCTTGTTCGTCTCGGCACGACACAGAGCCATCTCGCGAGTGAGATTGTCCACAAAATCAAACGTCGACATGTGAAGCGTCGATCGGGCGGCAAGAGCTTGTACTTCATCGCGGAACCAGTCGATATCCTTGCCGCATTGTATGGTGAGGTGCGTGAACCCTTGTGCAATAAGCACGTCAAGAAAGGGCGCGTCAATCGCCTCTTTGAGAAGCTGTGTAAATCGGGCCGTTGCGCCAATGGTGATGAGACAATGGCGTTGCAGACCGCTTGGGTCTTGGACTTGGACCTTCGGATCTGGCGGCGGCATCGTATTGAGTACCAGACAGCGATCAAGTTATGGATTGTCGCAGAGCGGCTGACACGTCAACACTTAGACAAGTGGTGACCAGCGGTAAGAAGGAGTTTGTATTTCGAGTCAGGGAATATGAGCGAGTGTGTCGAAGGGTGAGGTCATCATGGCAGGCTGCAAGTGTCAACGCTCTAGGTAGCTAACGCTCGGGTATCTTCATAATGCCGTTGGCGGGCGGGCATCTTGAGGAAGCATCTTACATAATGCGCCGCCACATGGAAGCCGCATTTTACGATACCGAAGACAACAAGCCAGGTCAATTGACTGGTTGTTCATCATGCTTCCCGTGAAAGATATACGATACGAACAGCAATACATTCACCGCACACACTGCTACCTAAGGTATTGCCTCGTCTCCCCTGAAGCAGCCATATCGGCGGCCATTTTTGGTTTCTCGTTAAACTACCAGTCGTGTCCCAAAAAGCAGCAAACTCCTATTTTCGCCCAAGAGAGTCAATCGCCTTGCTATTACTGCCAAAATTCATGAAGCAAATGGCGTCAAGAAATGTAAGTCGGTAATCATGTCTCATGTCAGTCGTTCAGTCAGTTCTCACAAGTCGTAGTGCACGCCGCTGGGCGCCAGACGAAGCACGAGGAGCAAAGTGCTGCCCAGTCTCAGTTGTCCACCTCCATCTTGTCCTCTGTGTGCTCCGCGATAGCCTGCGTCGTTTCCACATCCTCTGATTTCGTATCGGGCATCTGTGTTGATATCGCATCCCGTCCTGATTCTCTCGGATTGCCGTCAAGCGTGCCGCTGACGGGCAATAGACGGTACTCTCCGTCCTCCTGGCGCTCAATGATGTTCTCTTCCAGCGCCCACTTCGCAAGCAGGCGGTCTACACCTAGCCGCTGGCCTTCACCTTTTTCCATATGCCTACCGACATGCTCTGTCCACTCATCCCACGACCCAGGCCCCTCAAAAACACTCTTGCAGTCTGGTTTCGGGCAGGCGGAGCGCTGAGGAGGCAGTCTGCGCGTTACGAGGCAGGACTGCTGCATGTCCTTGACGTGGCCATCCCATTCGGCTTGCAACTTGCCATCGCCCTTCGCAATGGCCTTCTTGATTGCGAAGGGCGCATGCATACGCCGGAGGTGCTGCGTAAAAAGGTCCTTTCGATTGAACTCATTGCCCTTCCCCTCTGCTGTGCTATGTGGACACGAAGAGCACCGATAGTACTGCAGACAAAGATGTTGAGATGCAATGTGGCGCTTCCACTCATTTTTGGAACCAAAGGTACTTGTGCAGCCGGCGAAGAAGAAGGCACATGGGAACGGTCGCGTATGAGCCGCAGCAATGTGTTTTCGCAATGACGAAGAATCCTTAAACGGCTCGTGGCTGCAGAGCGTGCATCGCGTCTCCTGTCGAGGCGTCGACTTCTGGAGAGACCGCCGAGGCTTCGGTCGAGAATTCGGCGTGCTGATTTCAGCAATGTGAAGAGACTCGTCGGCACCAGACTCGTTAGCATCATGTGATGAGCCCGTATCCCCAGGGCTTGGGTGCATTGCGCCGTCCGGAAGCGTGGTGCGTTGCCGTTCTACCAAAGGACCAGCCTCATCACTGAGGTGCCGCACATGGCTGAGGGCTTTGAGCTGCTCTGCTGCCTCCTGCATCTCAGCAGAGTCCTCCACCTCATGTTTCCCATCAATCGGCCCTGTCGGGCCTGAAGGGGGAGCTGCAGACATGGCAGCAGTCGGCGCGTCCAACCGGCTCGCAGTATCCTGGAACGGCCCGTCCTTACTGTCAACAGACCTTTTGTGCCGTCCTGAAGCTGCCACTGCAAGTCCTCTTGCTTCTAGAAGGGTGCGGCCATCCTGAACATCTCTAGCGGAAGCTTGAGCGTGACCCGTGGATCCGACAAGCTTTTGGTAAAGATGTATCATGTTGTGAGAGCTGATATAGCCCAAAAAGCAGCAGACTTTATCGTGCTGTACGACGTTCCAGATAGAGTGCGGCATGGAGATCAATAGCATAGTCGGCGGGCCCAAGAACATGCCTTCGACTGTGATCTTGGCCCCCAAGGGCGGCGTGTTGCGCAACCAGCCATTGAATGATGACATGTCTGGACTGGCGTCCCCAACAAATGTCGTACAGACAAGAACTCTTGCTTCGTCAAACCTCAAGTCCGAAACTGATTCCGGGTCAATGAGCTGGTCCTCTCGTGAAAGTCTGGACGGTATTGTCTCTCCATCGACACCTGCACGTGGCGATGGCAGCCGGCTTGTCCGGGCCAGCAAGGGAGCTAGGCTCAAGCTTTGGTCCTTTCCAGGGGTTAGGGTGAACAGTACGGGGGTGACGATGGCTGGACGTGGGCTCGTCACATTCCCGTTGGCCAGTTTGAGGGCAGACGCAAGTTCTTGCTGCTTCAGCGACATGACCTCGTCGTGTAGTTTTTTCACACTGAATATCCTGCCGGCACTCAATTTGTGAAGAGCTTCAATCAGCAGGTACGTGAATGACCGGCCGGGGGAATCGCGAGGATTCTGATCAGGCGTGTATGCGGCAATGGCTTGCTTGATGCCGTGACTCCCTGACAGGGGCACGTCTCGCGCTGAGCAAGAGTCCAGGAGCAGTAGAATATCCGATTGGGCATCTTCGAAGAGACAGCGCACGCCGTCCCATTTTAGTTTTGCGGCATCGTCACGAGTGTTGCTGGACGGAAAAGCGGTCAGACACACGAAGACGGCGGTCCAATAGCGGCATGCCGACTCACCAGGCCCAATAAAGCTGATTGTCCGCTCCAACATAACCATGACCGGCATAATAAATTATGAGAAGATGATCGGGGGCTCCATGCTCGAGGAAGGAGGCCATCTGCACGCCGAGCTTGATGCTGGGATTGGCGACGGTGGGAATGTTCCAACGTTCAGTGGCATAGTTGTAGCGGTCGCGAAGTATGGTCTCGAGGGCCCCGAGGTCCGCTTCGACAGTGGCATCTTCCTCCCATCTTAGTAGAAGTACAGACACATGAGCATATGGCAATCGCTCGGTTTGACGCTGGATCAACATGGCGGCATCCTGGAGGTGCCTAGCAAAGGACTCGAAGTCATGGCGTTCGGCGAGAGGCGCCTCGGGGGCGGCGAGTGGTTGTTGGGTCTGCTTGACAATACAAATCAGCTACACATGCGGTAGAGTCGCTCTAGGGTTTTGTGACGGGCTGACCGATTCTATGGGGAACGACGCTGGTTGAGGGTTGGCATTGTGGTTGAGGTGGTTCGAGCTGTGTGCTGAGGGCGGCTCTTTGGGCATAAGACGCCGCTTCTTGGAGGGCTGCGATGGTTGTTCCATCTACTATATGTGCAGCAACTGCGGGTGTCACGGCAGTTGGGTCGGTCGAACGTATAGAAGGAGGGCACAATGGGTTCGCGATTTTCACACGGCAGTGTTCAGAGATCCATGGGCCGATATGAGGGAGCGAAGTTCAGGCGGAGGAGGGGGGGGCGGCGCTTTGGGGGTGGGAGAGAGAGGGCTAGACGAAGGCGAAGGCGGAGGCCCGATAGTAAGGCTGGTCGGCTGGTTCGAGCCTTCCAAAAAAGCTCCCAGCGAGGCTGTGGCTGTCAAGCGTGTTGGGGGGAGGGGCTTGAGGGGCTTCAAGGGGAGGGACTGCGAGAGACTTTTGGTCTGGGCCCGAATTCAGCGAGAGCCTTGCTGATTGGAGGATCGGCGAACCCCCCCCTCCCCGCCCTCTTCGCACCCTTGTCTGCTCTGACTGCGCGGTGTTTGACAACGCTCGAGGAGTTGTAGATTCTCTTGAGAGATGTATGTCTCAGTTGGACC